CGGTTTGCCGCTACTGTTGTAGCTTGTAAGTAGAGCCAGTACTCCGTAGTAGTGCAGGCATGGATGCCAACTGCCAAATGCACAACGCACACGATGAGAAACAGTCCCTACAACCGACCTACTACCGTCTTTCACGGTATTACAACCCACAGGCTGGCACTCCATCTATACCTTGTGCCGGCCAGCTCGCCTGGCCCTCCCGCTCGTAATTGGGTGGAAGAATAGCTTTGTCGGATTCGAAAATGCCCTGGGAATCTCCCTGCAAAGTTGACTCGGTCCTCGCCCATTTCCCCTTTAACTTCTTGGAGCCGGACACGACCTCGATGTTAACGAGTGGATATAATTCCTGTGGCCCAGGGCTGATCCTCTGAGTCCTCCATATGTACTCCGTACAACTCCATTCTCAGCTCTTCGTTACTTCTCGTAGGGGTTCCGTGTCGGACCCGCTCAAACTAGAAGTGATCCATAAAAGTCGTCGTATGGGCTGTGAATCAAATTATCGCCTGATACTTAACGGTCCTCCAGCTGCAAAGACCAATGTATCATACTCGGTACAGGAGGACCTCGTACCTATACAGATACAGCGTGAGACGTCGGGTTGCTCCATGGGTCGTTTAGATGTTGCCTCTTGTGTCTTGAGTCTTGGATCTTGACTACGGAGTACGCCTCCTACTGTACAGCACTCGGGCCTTTGGTTCATCGCCCCCTTTCTGGCGCCCGGTGGTATGCTGTTCTATGCTGATTCTTCGATGTAATTCTCGGTGCCACCATCGTCCTACACCGTCCATGTCCTTGCGGGTGCACGAGATGTCTCTGATGCTGACTTGGGTTGCCTATCTTCGTTCAGCCCATGACCTACCCCTTGGGCCCTTGCCCTTTTGGCCCAACATCCCTTCTGACAACTCGGCCGTTTCGTAATCATCGTCGCGTGTGGCACCCAGCAGGAGTGGCTCTGCCGAGAGTTCTGCGTCTCCTCTTCGGCAACCCTTAGGATTTGACATTCAACTTTCTCACAATCCTTCCCTGACCGGTAGCAGGGTTGTAGGCAGGGCAAAAAATGGACGCCACCAAAATAGAAAAATGCACTCGCACTCAACGACTGCACTGCCAGACCCGCTTTTCAATTCAAATCCTCCGTCCGGGAACTTAATCCATGCTCGATTGCGAAGATTGTTGTGGAAAACGTGTTAGCAACTTAGTACTGATGAGTATGTACTCGTATCACTAGTAGTCAGTATTATCATGCTTCTACATCACGGCCACTCCCTGGCACTATTTCGTGCATCTCGCTCTAGGGTTTAGTGCTTTGACCGCTGTCAACAAAATGGCTGATATCCGCAAGCAAGGGCCCAGTTCCGTATTACCGTGAGACCTTCAACGATTTATGATTATTATTGGCATTGGGTGTTTGAGGCTGCGAAATCGAGATCTTGATCCAGGATCCATAACCCTAACTCACGACCTGGTCCTTTTCCCTCCCTCAAATCGTGACCCTTCTCTTTTTGCATGTCCCAGCTCATGGCCACGGTCAAGACTCGTCAGCCGTCAACACGCCACAGACCTTGATCCCTTCCGTCCACTTGCTCTTGCACTTCGCTCCACCTGGAAAGCGGAATATCAACCCAAGACGTGTCGTCTGTGGGAGAACTAACAATTAACCCCGTAAACCGTGCATCGTCATTATTCAGTGCTACATTCCTAAATGTAGCCCTTCACTCGTTCCTCGCTTAGACTAGCGACTAGTATTGATGCAAATCCAAATGTTTCTGGGTGGACTTATCGGATCCATTACTCACATGCTCTACGCAGGTTTTATGCTCTGGTGTTTCTCCGACCATCGATCGTCTCCTATTCTTTCGCGGCGCCGGATCCAACATCCCTTGCACATCATGGTCATGTTACTACCGCATGCCTGGAACCCCTCTGACTGGCTCCGGCCTCGGTTCTGCATTCTCGACAGTTCCACCCATATACATCTCACTAGTACGACTACATTATCGTTTGACGCTCAGGATACTTGTGGCTTCAACCTCCCGAGCAGGTGGGTGGCAATTGCGCATTGTAGACATTCGGCCTTGATGATGAGTGCTCCGTGGCACAGTAGCCGCGGCTTGCCTACCGACCGACTGCATCCATCACCTGGTTCAGGCGGAAGGCTTCAGCCTGCTCAGTCCCTTGTACGACATCTGAAAATGTGCCCTGGCTGAATGAAACAGTCAAGAACGAAATCAGCTGGAGTATCCGCATTTCGGTACTTTTCTTGATGCATCGAGTGACGTGCCTGAACCCGTGCTTGTATTAGGTCCACTCTACAAACTTTGGGAATTGCGGCCTTGACAAAGTCTGCACTTGGTAAGTTTCCTCGATCCTAGGCTGAGCAAGGACGCGTCGAATCGTGTCGGAGGATCAGCTGCATCAATTTCAGTGGCAGCAATGTCAAGGAGTGATAGTTTGGATTAGTGGCTAGTGCCTAGACAACAGCAAGACTCTGGAACACCGCACCCGCGCTACGGCAGGAAGCATGACTTCCTAGGGTGTCGTGCTGCTTAGCCCGTGCCTATCGCCTGAGTGCAACCCGCCCATATCACACCGTCTACGGCCTGTGACCGCCTGGGATCCTGGGCATTCTTACGCCCCATTTTTGTTCATTTTTGTTCACTGAGTGGTGTGTGGATGTGCTGCTGATCCAGACGCTATGACCCAGGCCAGCGCCGATAGCCCTGCTGGCCACACACACCCCCCGCCCAATGCCGCTCCTCATGTGGTTACAGACTGGCTTAGCGGATCCAACCAGGCCCAAGCCAGCACCCTCAGCAATTTTCAAACCTGCCTTCCTCCCTCCTAGTTCTGCTTTCAGGCTTCACACTCAATTCTTTGCGCCCCTGGCCACGCCGCTCAGCGCTCATCATTGCCGACACCCACCTGGAATGCAGCCTGCAGCCAAACAGGAAGCGGCGGACGCTTTTGCAACCCAGGCTCCAATTTCACCTGTAATTCCATTAACGCAGAGCCGTGCGTCTACTCACGTCACTTATTCAGCCCTTAGCGCACTGGAGCTGGAGTCTGGCGCCGCTCCGACGGACGCTCACGAGTCACCACCGTCTCACCTGACCCTTGACTCAAGCCTAGGAAGAGTGCGCTCCCTTGACTTTGTCATTTGACCTGCCTGGTCGGACTTGACCATCGCTGTTACCGTCAATCACCCATTCTGGGCTAAACCCTTTACAGTACGAGCTCTGGTACGAGGGACTGAGAAGATTTCTCCCACAATCGTGACCCGCACTAGCTAAATCAAGCCCTTAGCCCTAGCCCTTGCCTATCGCCCAAGGAAATAGAAGTGCACTGTGGCCACTTAGGCCTTTTGTAGCACGTTCCTTGCGCCCAGCATGAAGCATCCCCGCTTCGTTCTCCCCTAGTCGTCCGTACCCAGCACGTACCTTGTACGAGTAAGTCCGGGCCACTACTAGCAGAGTCGCTCCCTTCCGTTTTGGCCATTGTCGGACCCGTCTACCTTGAACCCAAACATTCTCCCTGTGCACTACTTACGAGTAGTACTATGACTAAGTACTGGCGTGCACTGGGCGGCACCCAGGCGGCGTGAGCGAGGACGACAGCATGGAGGCGTCAGCAAAATCTACTCGGACGGAGTATTCGTGGTGCTCACTTTACCCACATCCCTGAATAGAAGTACGGTGCACCCTACCATCACCCCCCTTTTCCCCCTCCCTTCGCTCACTAAGACCCAAGGCTTCTCCTAGTCCTTAGCTCAGAAAATATCCTCCAAGGGCTCAGGGCGGAGGTCAGGGCTCAGTGCCCCAGGTAACCACACATACTGCAACATTCCATCCCTTGGACCTACATATTGTACATTAATATTACAGTACAGCCTTTGATACGACAGCCGAGCTAGATGCGGTCGGTGGACATTATTGCGCATCGGTTGGCATGGTCCTTCGCTCAGTTGCCGTCACCACTCACACTGGCTCGTCATTTGCTCGCCCTCACTCCGTTTTTCCCGCTCGTTTTCTTTTTTGCTTCCGCCAGTCCAGCCCATCCCATCATCCTAGCAATCCTTTTCTTTCCAAAACGTCCCCTCCATTACAGGAAACTTGCCCTTGGACTCCGCCATCCCGTCTTAGTCCACTCTGGCAATCATTACGCCAGTTTTCCTTCTCCATCCTGAGGTCCCTGCGCCTCATCCATGATTGGCTCGCCGCCTGTACCCAGCTCGTAGCTTGCCTCTGCGGCCTGCCTTCACCCTTCTGTGTGATTCCTGCCTCGTCTCCTGCTGCAAGTGCAAGTGCAACTGACCTGGCCTCATCTTGCTCAACCTGTTGCTCCAGACTGGGGCTAGCGAGGGCTAGCGAGGGCCCTGACATCAACCTCAGGCCGAGCCTCGAACCGCCTGCCATCACCATCCAAGAAAAGGCCCAGTGTAAGTCTGTATCCATGAAATCCCCCAAAACGCGAGATCATCACCAGCACCCAGGTTGGTCTTCGTGATCCATTCGTTTGGGCCGCCACAAACCTTACCTGCCAACTCGCCCGGTGTTTGCGTTCTTGCCATTTATTGCCTTTGACTTTTTCGGCTTGCTCCTGAAGTGCGTGCTTTGATACTCCATCCTCCCTTCTGCGTTCATAATCACCTCCTGCCTGGGTGAAAGGCTTCCGTTCGCGGATCCACCTTGAAAGACAGCCTTCATTCCAGTCCCCAATTCAGCCCATCACTCCAAAACATCCGACATGCTGGTCACTTACTACCAAGTCACTAGCAACTAACTGACTGAACTGTTTCTTTTTGTTCTGCAATGTCCCTTGATTTCGGAAACCTTCTTGCATAAGGCTTTCTCCTTCACCTACAAACCAGCTCGTTCACCTTTCACTCTCAACCTCACAGTCATTCTTCAATGCCGTGCTCGTTACCGATCGGCTTGATCACTTGAATGTCTCCTCGGGATCCTTCCTAGCCTCTCATCATCTTCTGCAGGCGGCATTTGCTCATGTCGGTGCTTCACGACCCCCTTTACAACCTTGACTGGCCGAGGTCAAACCCCAACCCTGCTCACGAAAACGCCATCACGAATGGGTTGAAAAGGTGGGAACAAAGCAGGGCTTCGTACGCTACAGGTCTCCCTACTCCCCCGGCATCCAAGGCCATGCCTGGAGTAATATTGGAGAACGGCTACTCTGGGTTTTCCAACCAGGCCATTCAACACGATGGAGCTACTCATCGAGAAGGTTATGGTGTCAATTCCCAGAGAGGGCAAGCCTCTTCGAGCAACAGCACCAGCCAATATGCTGTCGCCCCTCCACCCAACGATGTCAATCCCTACAATCCTCATGCGGTCGACCAAAGTAAAATAAACGCAATCGCTCCTCATCTGCAAATTCCCGAGTCTGTGAATAAGAGCAAGGGAAGCCTGGCCGAATTTGCAGCAGAGATCACTTGTCTATTCTGGTTTGAGACTGCAAAAACTCTCCAGTATGCTGAGGATCTTCCCTTGGACAGTGTCGTCGACAGGGGCCTACTTCCAGACGCAACACCATCAATCGGGTTCCGAAAATGGGTGACGACAATAATAAGTACCACTCAGGTGGGCAAAAACGTGATTCTATTAGCATTGATGTTCATCTACCGCCTCAAACGGTTCAATCCTAGCGTGAGTGGGAAACGTGGGAGCGAATTCCGCCTTCTAACTATTGCGTTGATGTTGGGAAATAAATTCTTGGACGACAATACCTATACAAACAAGACATGGGCAGAGGTTTCGGGAATCTCAGTAACTGAAATTCACATTATGGAAGTGGAATTTCTCAGCAATATGCGATATGATCTCTATGCCTCGGCTAAGGAGTGGAGCCAGTGGAAGGCCAAATTGGGAAGGTTTGGCGCTTTCTATGACAAAGCATCGAAACTCCCTTCGGTGGATGAGAATAAAAGTATCACGGCTCCGGTTACACCAACATCTCAAAGCTTCTCTGGCAAGTTGCCGTCGCCACCATCGACCCATCACAGCGTCAGCCCATTTGCAAGCCAGGGGTCGCTAAGCAACAACTACCCTACCCTACCACATCCCCTACCAGCGTCCTCTCAGCTGCCTAACTCACCACTGCGACAACCCATGCTCCCCTCGTTTCAACCAGAAAGAAAAAGAAGCCGGGACTATTCCTCAGACCTCCCCCCGGCCAAAAGGCCACATTACTCTGGCTCTTTTTCGGGTCCAGCAAATGGTGTCCCGAATGCCACGCTCCATCCTCCTAGCAATATTCGCATATCTCCATCAACAAACAGCCACCTGGCAGAGCCGTCAGGCTTTTCAGTGTCGTTCGATGCGCCTAGGCTTGATGCTCCCAGAGTGCCATCATCGCTCGGTCTATCTACTACACACCTTGCTCCCCTGACGGTCCCCTCGACTAGGGCGATGTCCTCAGTCTACCCAATCACTACTAGTGGATATTCCCAGCCGGTAACTCCAATGTCTGCCATACCTCAGAACTTGTTTCAGAACCCGATCCCAAGCATTGGAGAGGGTGCCAGACAACCTGCCCATTTTCCTTCAGCACATACTTCGCCCTCTAACGGGTATCAAACGAGCACACCAACATTGCCTGGATTATCTCCATCCTACTTCTTGACCCATCGAGCCTCTCCGTATCGGCCAGTCCGCCACGTAAACACACTTCTGATCCCTCCACCTTCAACTGCATTACAAGGACCAGTCAGGACTGTGCCATCCGATCAAATCCATTATCAACCATTGAGCAAAGTCTCCACGCAGCGTCGAGTAGGACTCTTGCCGCTGATGCCACTTGACAGTTGGCAGCACAGCAATGCCTCTACTCCCATTGCGCAGCACCATAGTTTTCATTATTAATCCCTAGGCAGCGACTTCATTTATAAGCGGCGGACATGATCTGCTTCAAGCATAGCGTGGCGTCTTTTCCTTGTCGGAAGAATTGTGCTTAGCGACATGCATTTACGGCGCTTCAATAAAGGTACATTATGGCGAACATATCCGTCGGGATTGACACAGTCCGAGGCGAAGGTTCTTGTAAAAGGATTGCTCCTCGATAGATTTTACCCATATCATTTCAGTCTGACTAGCAAACTGAAATGATCACAAACCAGAGAGTTTTATACACCCTAAATCACAGCGTTGACAATCTATTCATAATCTCAAGAGCTTATCTAGACGTCATTCACCAACCAGGACAGAGCTTAGCAACACGTGACTTAAATGCCCTGTCAGAACGAGGCTCCAAGGCATTGCACGTGACACGAACACGAGGTAATTTCAACGTCAGCTGTACCCTCGTAAATTAGTGGTCTGGCCAAGAGAGCGCCGCACTCTGGATTACTACTATGTACATACCATGTGAATACATCATAGCCCGTCGGCCGCTCTCGACCCGAAATCAGAAAGAATGCCCGAGGAGTTGTAGCGTTTTTCAGCACCACCCTCTATGCGATACAAATGATGCGGAAGACGTGTATAAGCCTATTCCGTAAGGATGCGCAAGACACTACTTCTGGTCTTCATCCACGGCTTTAAGGTGAGCTTTTCCTCCAACAAAACTGGGACCAAGTGACAACACTCTTTCCTTTCCTTGTGCCATTGAGTCATACCGTAATCGTGATGCTCACAATTCTGCTCAGGGAGGTGATGATACGTTTGGAAACTTCCCCGAGCACTTACAAGCCCTCGTCAGTCATGCGCTACCAAACATTGATGTCCTGGCGGTGACCTATCCCAAATTCGAAACTCGAGGAGAACTAAAGGACTGTGTCGCTCGCTTTAGAGAATGGTACGTGCGAACGAAGAGGAGGTGAACATCTCAGAACTATCTGGAAATCAACTGACGTTAAATCGGCGCCGGAAGGCTCCAGAATAAAGTCATCGACCTGGAGGTCGCTCACCAGACTCCGTCACCTACAATCGACCCATCCGTACATGTCATGCTAATTGGGCATTCGATGGGAGGCATAGTTGCTGCAGAAACATATCTTCTCCTTGCAAGAGAGCAGCCGATTCCTGCGGCGTCCTCGAGACAAAATCCCGAAAGACCGAATTATCCCTCGAACACCACATTGAATTCCTCTACCTCTACGTCACACCCAACTCCTGCCCATGATAGAGACCACTCCCCTACGTCTTCATTCATGTTCCCACATATTCAAGGCATTCTAGCTTTTGACACACCGTTCCTTGGTTTAGCACCGGGAATGGTTGCGCATTCGATCGAAGGCGGTCACAAAGCTGTCGCAAATGCTTACAACACTTATAGTGAAGTGGCTTCCATATTTGGCTGGGGCTCGAAATCAGAGCCTGCCATGGGATCGGCGGCTTCTTCCAGCAAAGCGGTGGGAGCCCTCCCTGCACCTACATCGGCTGCGGCGGATGCAGCCGCTGCACCCAAATGGCAGTCATGGGGTAAATATGCCATGTTCGCCGGTGCAGCGGGTGCAGTTGTGGCTGGGGGTGCAGCAGCGCTGTATTCACAAAAGGAGAAACTTAGTACAGGGTGGCAATGGGCAGGAGATCATCTACTATTTGTAGGTGAGCTGTTCAAGCCAGAGAGGCTACAGAAACGAGTCAACGATGTCGAGGATGCTTGCCGGGAGAGAGGATCAGCATGTGCCAATCTCTTCACCAACCTGGGCAAAGGCGCACGGGAGGGCTACGGCATCACGAGTAGTGTCGCCGGCAAGGACCGCACCTTTTGCAACCTCCCCGTGAGCATCAGTAAGCAAGGGCAGGAAATCAAGGCATCTCAGGGCCCAGGGTCCGCCTTCAGCTGGTTAGCAGCGATCAACGAGAAAGCAAAGGACGAAACAACAGCCCACGTCTCCATGTTCTACCCTCGTGAAAACCCGGGTTTCTTTTCACTGGGTGAGAGTTCCAAAGAGCTACTCGCGGCATGGGTGCATCAGGGCTGGTACCGGGCCAGCGACGGTCCAACCCGTCTGGGGAAGGAGCTCGGTGTGACTCTCGGTGAGTTGGGTGACGGCTGGGAGAAGCCGGACTACGACGCTGAGGAAGTCAAGGCCAAAGAGCGCGAACGAGATCACGACAAAGGAGCGAAAACGAACCCAGAGCCTGACGTTGAAGGGAGCCTCGCACATGACTGGGAAGGCGTTGATCTTCACAAGGGCCGTGACGAGCTCCACGATCACGACGATGAGTTCCGCATGAGAGAAGGCGGCGAAGACCTTCACGACAGTGTCATTGTAGAGAGAGCGGCAGCAGATGGCGAAGTCCCGCTGCCAACACCCAGGGCTGACACTGGGTTTTAATGACGGGCTCTAACTCGCGAGGGAATTGAGAATCGAGGACGAGAAGAAGAAACAGACCAAGATGCTTTAACGTATAATATGCAGAACCACGAAAGTCACGATAGATGCCAAGTTTCAGAAATGAATGGATCTTAAGGCGCAAAGAAGGTGGATGGGTATGGCACACGAGATACGTGATTACTCTTGACAAGGACTCGAAACTCGCAGGAAGGAAGGATGATATCAACACCTACACATCTGAGGTGTCCGGTGCAGCACACAATAAAATAGCTCTCATTGAAAAGCAGGCTCGGTGGTGATTTCTGCTGTGCATGCTTCCCGCGGGATGAGAACTTGAACGCAAATTGCGGCTCCTCCTTGGTTGTCTCCACCTAGTGCCCTGCCCTGAGCGACTCAGCAAGCGGAATTTCAGCACTCAACCACCCACCCTCCACGACTGCAACCTTATCAACCTCATTAGCCAGTGCCACCCGCCTCCTCTGCGCCCGCCCCATGCGGCAGACGCTGCTGGCCCTCAGCCTCCATGCCCTCGCAGCCCGTGACCTTGCCCGCCGCACTCTCGACCACACCCAGGACTCGCGACTTCGCAGGTGGGCTGTCGGCGGACTGTGCCTGCACGCCCTTCATCTCCTTGACCGCGTCATTCTTGGTTTGCTCACCCGACTCGTAGCCCAGGGCAGAGGACACGGTGCCTTGGACGTACTATGGATGTGGTGTCAGTTAGCAAGCGAGGTTCAGGTTGTCGACGGCCAGCAATAACCGAGACGGAACAGAAGTAAACGTACCTTTGCGTGACCTGCAATCATAGAAGGTTGAGACTGAGAAGAGTCTGAGGTTGGGTTTTGGTCCGACGACATCGTGGACTGGTGGTGGGTGGTGTCCTGTGTTTATTTCGTTCTAGTGGGCGGGGGGGGTTATCAATACGACTGACCTACAGTCTTTCTGGCTGGCTGTCAGTATTTGAAGGCGGTCTTTCGAGGATGAAAGCAAGCGGGATGGTTGCGTTGAAGTGACAATCATATGCTAGTACATACGAGTAGGTGCATCTTGGATGAAGATGGATGATGTCACTCTTTTCAGATGATACCCCGTATCCCGGAGTCCCAGCTTGGTCCGTGACACATTTCCCAACCAATCATACATACGTACTGTCGCTGAAGTTTGGGCGGCTTTTTGGCAACTCGTGAAAGTCCAATCCTGACCGCCCCTCCTGCACCGCATGGTAGAACAAGGTGAACCATTGCTTGCGTTATACAGCATCAAGGAGCATCCAGCTGGATTGCACCACTGACTGGGAGAACTTGCAGGGAGTAACATGTGTTGCGGAATAGATAATTGTCCGAACCGCAACTAAGCCACGTTAGGTGCGACCGAGGTAAGTCAATAATAGCGGCTGAGTTCAATCCTTATTGAGCAGCGTCTGGTTGGCTATCAACGGCCTTGACCTCAACCTCGAAAGTCCGAGGCTATATTCCTCGATCACCGCGGGTGATACGGCGTGGATGTCGTTGTTCTGATCAATCTTACTTCAGCATTGCTGCTAAGCCATACGGCAGCATGAAGGTTCGATGAGAAAATATCCTTTCCTGTACTATTGTTCAGCGATCACACATCCACTCCACCACGAAGGAACATGACACCCAAATTTGAGGCTGTACTAGGCAAAGTGCCCATCTCGTGGAAGCGCCTCATAGCCCTCAGGCCACTCGGTGATGATCAATTTGAGTCTGTAACGCCCGCCTGGCCGCCGGCTCCGCACAAGAGAGCCTTTGGGGGACATGTTTACAGTCAGGCCGTTTACGCTGCTAGTCACACCGTCGGCGAGGGCTTCGTTGTGCATGTACGTTGAAAGAAGATTCAAGGACCCTCCCCGCAAGCTCAGCTGGCCAATGAGAAGCTAATTATGTCGGGTGGCTGTTATAGCAAGTGACCGGTCACTTCATCCTGCCTGGCGCGATCGACACTCCATTTGTGTATCGAATCAGAAGGATTCGTGACGGCGGGAATTATTGCCTGAGAAGTGTGGACGTCTTCCAAGAATCCGAAGATGCAGGGTTCGGGAAAACTCCATGTTTCATTGCCACGATTTCTTTCAAGCGGCCCGAAAAAGGATCCAAGAAATGGAAAGATTTCAATCACCAGAGCATTGCCCGTGACCATATCACCACCACTTACCAGAGTGTCCTAGAAGGGAAGGATTTCGAAGACCATGCGCTGGCGCCCGGGGCGGATGCTTTGTGGTAAGTTTTCTGAACTTCCTAAGAGCTATCTATCGACTGCGCATTTCGGTGGTATTTTGCTTATGGTTTTCAACGAGTCAGGTGGGAAGAAGAGGAGCAAGAAGCATGGTCTCGCGCCGCCGCCGCTTTCCCCGGTGTTGAGACGAGAAAAGTCAATATGCACAAGTATAACGGAGTGGTCAAAGAAGGAGGCGGGAAAGATGGCGAAGGCACCACCCGATGGCGGCAACTACTCTTCTACCGCATCATCCTAGACGAGCAAGAAACCGAGCCGACCGACTTGAATCTCCACGCGGCGGCACACCTCTACGCTTCAGACCGAAACTCGCTCTTCCTCCTCCAACACGCCGCCGGCTTCCAGAGCATTCGGACAGATATGGCCTCCCTGTCGCACACAGTGATCTTCCATCAGCCAGCGGACTCGCTGTGCATGGTCGATGACCAGGGGAAACCCAAATGGTTCGTGCAAGAGTCGTGGACGACTTTCAGCGCGGATAAGAGAGGCTGTCATAACTCTTACCTGTGGGATTTCGCAGAAGGTAGCGTTCTGGCTACTACCATCCAGGATGGCATGATGCGTTTCCCGAACAGCGGCAGTGCGACGTCGGCGGCCGAGAAGACGAGCCTCACCACCAGCCCTCCTGAGGAAGCTGTGGAGCAGTCGAAGAGTAAATTATGATCATTCACTGCTTCCCCTTGATTCGAGGACGACGCGGCGAGGGCGAATGACTTTTTGGAAAGCACGGCATTCATCTATATGTCACGCCTGCAGGGCCCCCTTCCCCTCTCCCGCGAGTAAGACACGGGAGACAAGTCTCATCCAGCCGGCCGGGTGTGCATATTTGTTCGTCTTTTTACTTTCTGACACACATATACTTTGGTGGCAAATAACAACGTACCACAAGAGGTTTCCTCTCACACTGCTCCAGCCGAATGTCAATAATCGTTGCAGCTTTCCCAAGCACGCCAACCACACAATCCCAATTTCAGACGGCCGAGTATTTGGTATAGATATTACTCTTTTCTTTTTGGTGCCGATTAGAACATGAGATGTTCATGGTGAATATCGATTGTAGCCCGCTTTGCGGCGTTTCCCGGAGCTAATCAACTCGGGGGTTTCCTGGGATAGACAAGTTTGGGGGGGAAATCATGTTCATCTTCAGGCTAGTGCTAGGCCAGGGCTATGTGTGCACGCGCCGACATTTACCAAGAATTAACAAGGAAAAAGGCATTTCGACAGCCATGAAACTTCCAAAGCGAAAGCCAAGCCAAGTCATAGTCGACTTCAGAAGGCTCTTGCTTCCAAGGTTCCCTCTTCCACCTCGAATTAGCTAGACATCCAATCCACTGCAGTGTACGATAGCTTCAAAGAGCAATTTCTATGTGCTTCCTCGCTAGCCTTGGAGCTCCACTCGTCTGTTCCGCCCAAGTTTTCGTCATTAAGCAATACTCCATACTTGATGCTCTGCTCTGCGATTCCAATGCTCGCTTGCTCTTTCTCGCTATGCTTGTTGTTATTACAGGTGTTGTTGTGATTGCCCGGTAGGGCCGGGGGGATCACGTGCACCGCCTCTGGCTGAGACACCATCATTCAGATGCCCTCAGTTCGAGCTGGTTTCGCATACGGTATGTGTGTATGTGTGTGTTGTGAGGAAGACTATCGCTAGCTCCCACCCACCCCCAAAAGTTTGTTGGTTTGTTTCATCTCATCGTCAAATTCAGTCAGAGGGTATGCGGCTCTGCGCGTGTGGTATTTGCTGTTGCAAAGTAGATGTACAGCGACTGAAACTGCTACCAGATGATGCTGATTCGTTTCAGTTCTTGTTTGGTTGTTTCTTTTTGCTCCTGTCCATCGTTGTTGACGGCAGGGTTGCCAGCTTCAGGGTTGGATTTGCGGGGAAGCGGAGGGGTCGAGCAATAGAAAAGAGGTTATTTATCACTATCTCTCAGTTACCTCCCCAAAGGAGTATCATGAGTCTCATCTGTGTTCTGGAAGTAATGTCATAGCGAGACCAAGAAGATCAAAATCAAAGTGAGCACAAAGAAATGTGGCTGTATAGCTTTGGAGAAAGTGGCAGTGTTGCCAGCGGGGTCGAAAGGACTGCCACCGCCACCAGCGTTGCCGCCACTGGTGTTGGAACGAGTGGTGGTGGTTGATGCGGCCGACGCTGAGGTCGTGCTTGTACTTATGGTGGAAAAAGAGGTAATGCTGAACGTAGTTGAGTCCGTGGAGGCGGAGGAGGATGACGTTTCTGATGTGGCAGTGGTGCTATCGGTTGAGGGACTTGCAGACTGGGAGTTGCTTGAAGCCGCTGTTGACGTCGCTGCGGTGGTCTGCGTCGCTGCCGCTGTCGCTGTATTTGTTAATGCAGCAGTGGTTTCGGCGGATCCCACAGTGGTAGTGGTGGTTGATGTTTCTATTACTGGGTCACACAAGAACTCAACCGCTTCTCCCACAAAGATTTTCCCGATTAAAGAATTCAGGTCGGCTGTCTCTCGGCTACAGGCGCGCTGCACCGCTGATTGGGCGGATCGAATACTCGACTGACAATTTGAAGAGCAAGAACCCGACCCTCCAATGCCGGCCAAGTCGTTGAGATTGCAGTTGCTAATGCTGCTTTGATAGGATGATGTGCAAGTAGAAGAAAATCCAACGACGAGTTGAATGTCGGAGAATCGGAAAGTGGCAGTTGAATCTTGGACGAAAATGAACAGGAGGCATGCCAATGCCCAGGACGACGATGATTTCGAACCCATGTTTGACGGATGGAGAGGCTGGGTCGTTCTTGGAAAGACGGGCAGATATAAATCAGTCAGTCGGTTCGTAAGGTGACAGACGCTTTTAAGTCTGGCTGGCCGATTCGGTTATGCTGGGTGAGGCAGTCAATACCACATGAGGTAGAGCGCAGTGCAGCGCAAACAATCGAGCCAAACGGTAGTCTCGCAAACAGGGAGCGGGGGGAGAAAGGACAGGCTTGGTGGTTCAGACCAGCGGCATCACAGATGAGGATTCCCCAACACAGTAGTATTTGTCGCTTGTTGTGTGATAGCAGAAGATTCCGGTAATGAGTCGACTGCCGCGGAGTGACTTTGTCGTCGGTAACCGTGTCACGGTTTGCCAACGCCAGAGCCCAAGATATTCGATTGTCTCCTTCCCACGCCACCCGGTCTTTAGAAGGGGTCTCTTAATCGTTGGGTGGGAGTCAAGTTACTCTTGGTTACCTGGTGCCAGCAGGATCAACAACGATCTACGTCCGTTCCAAGAAAGTAATCCTAGTGCGCGAAGCAAACACTGCAGTCAGAAGCAAAGGCAGTGTTCGGAAGAGAGTAGGGATATTGCAATCGACAGATCGTTGCCGATCGCAATCAAAGCCGCGCAGCGTCGACGGGCAAATAGGGAAAGGGAGATCGTCAGATGATGCTGTTGAGCGGATCCCAACCTCTGGTCTGAAACGGATGGGTGCACAGATGCTGCGAACAGTAAGTTGGCAATGACAGGCCGTTGGGTGCGCAGCGGGCAGCCTGGTTATATTGCAATAGGAACGTGCTCTCGCCGTGATCTTGGATGTACTCCGCCTCTTTCTAAATCTACTGACTCGAGACGCCCGTCGGATTCCAGCCCGGGAAGCGAAGCGAAGCGAAGGAAAGGGTGCTCTGGTTCAGTCGATGAACTCGAGGAGGATGATGACGGATCGCAAATGGTCAGTGCAGTGCCTGCTGCATGGGCAACAGCTGGGTATGGAGTAGAGAAGTGAAAAGATCAGTGTGTTGCATGAAATGTACAGAGATCAGACAGGGGGCAGGAAGGTTCTGGCTGACGACGGCAGTGAAGCGTGATCGGGATAGATGGCTACGATTGATAGGGCGCCATGAGTTGGGCGGCTGCTAAAGGGCATAGCTACGGTTCACCATGGAGTGAAAGCATTTGTTCTGCGACAGTTTAGGACCCTGAGCTAGGGAGGGTGCGGGAGGGCTCGCGAGGCTGTCGACAACGAGGGACCGTGAGTCGAGGATGGAGGAAGAGTGGAGGGCGGGATGAACGACTGTCACGCAGGATGATGTATGATCGACAGGGGCTGGAGGCTGGTTGATTGGCGCGTCGCTGTCAGGGGACCTACATGACACCACCCAGCAAGGGTCGTTGGATGAATCTCGAACAGCCGCTGCTTCAACGGTGACCGGACGATGTAGACTTGACTGTTGCAGAACACCGGCCGACGGATAAAACCGAGAAGAGGCCTCCTTTCGCGTTCTGTTCTTCCAGCTTCTGAGCTCTGAGGTCTTGCTGCTTGTTGTGTACTACTCCGTCCTGTACTCCGTAACGAGCACGAGTACTCGCACGGCGGATGCCAAGAATTTGAGAGTGAGAACGTGATGGCGTCGAGGCCTCGTCACGTGTGGGCGAGGCCCTTGTACTACAAAGACAGCCTTTGTTTCATGCTCGACGGTAGTTGTGTGCATGGCGCATCGTTCGGGCCGGTGCATGCTTATCAATCCAGGCGTCGCTGGCAAGTGGGTGCAAGGCTCCAGGGCATCTTGGGGAATAGCTCAAGGCATACGGAGTACTATGATGAGCGGCTGTCCTCCTCCTCATTGCTCGTAGTCCTATCCGATGATAACCCACCCAGCCCTGTCCAGGGCTTCGTCTGGGGCTCGCGGATCATGCAAAAGAGATCGCAGGCAACACCATCGTCTTCACAGACCATCTTCTTGGCCAGCTTGAAGCCCAGCTTCTGGTAGATGGCAATGTTGGGTGTCTCCTTGGAACTCTCAAGATAGCATTTGCGGCCCTCAGCATCTGCCATTTCAGTGACTATTTCGAACAATTTGCGGCCGATCCCTTTCCCTTGAATCCCTGGCCTGACTGTGACCATGTTGCAGAAGTAGTATCCTGCCGGGTCGTCCCATAGTTCAGCCTGGGCCATTGCTTGCTCCTGTTTCCAGATCCAATATCGCTTGCTGTTCAACCCGCCGCGGCCCTTGTATCGGAACAGATTCCAGCCTTGCTTGAACCATAGGAGATATCCATCCCACCACTCGGCCCATGTCTCCTTCTCGGCCACGCTTCTGGGCTTCATCCACATGCTGACTCCGATGACTTTGCCCTCGGCGTCTTCCGTGTCCTTGGCCACGAAGAATAGCGCATGTCGCATCCCCCATTCGCATTTGGCCTTCAGACTAGCTAGGTTACGCTCCTTGTTGAATTTGCCCGGTCGCGTGTCGAATGCCCACAGGTGATATGGATCATCCGCAAACGACACCTGGATGCAGTCTGCCACCGACGGGATGTCTGCTGCGGTGATCGGATGGATTTCTATGCCCATGTTTGCCTCAAGTGCTCTCCAGGATCCAGTGACTCGAAGGAAGATATTGGACGATGCAAAACAGGAGGTAAACAGAATTTCGGTATCGTGTACGAGTAGATAAGCGACCCAAGTCTGATGGAGATATGTGGATATATTCCACGTCTTGGGAAAGGATCCTCAGTGCACGGTACTGTTTGTCTTCTGCCCGCCAATGTCACACATCCCAGTGGCTCAGTGGCTTCCCATTTCACAGCTAGTCCTTGTGCACAACACCACTCTAGCCTGTTAGTATATATCCTATGTTATTCGGATATTGTACTCCGTATTATGTGGAAATAACTATTAGTAGATGGAGAAGTCCTGATGGAGAATGGCGGCACTTAGTAGTAGGTCCAGTTGAGACCGCTAAAATTTCCTTCTCTCGCTTCTCAAGCCTCCGGCCTCAAGCCCGAGGTTGACTCCGATACTGATGCCTCGAATTCCTCGTCCTTGCAACTTTTGGTATACAACCAAAGCTTATTGGGCCCCTCGAAGGCATCCGTGACTTTTTCTTACTTTAAGAGGCTAGACAGCTCGACACTGCTGAGTACCAGGGATACTCGACGGACTTTCTCCTAGCTATTGAGAAAGAGGGTATCATTCATTATCATTAACAGCCTAGTAAAAAGACGCTTTCAATGCTCGCCTTTATTTCATGCTTGTCATTTGGACCAAGGTTGAGACAGAAACACCGAAACCCTCTAATGTACATTCCGGATGTCAAGTTGTCCAACTCTCCAAGCCCAAGAACCCACCATGAGGAAGCACAAGCGCCATGCATGAAAAAGCAACAAAGTTCCAGTCGTGAGTCATAAAGTAAATTATATCTTTCTTCGCCTCCCAATCCCGGCCCAATGAAGGGCAATAGGAGTTGAATGATTCGTAACAAGTTGTGTAGCGTCATCAAATGACAGGGTGTTCCACATCCTGTCTTGCCCAGTTTCGCTCGGCGAACGAGTCCTTCGACAAGTCTTGGGTGTCCTTCGAGACTGAAGGACTTCCTCCGAAGCTAGGGCTGCATAGCCTCAGTCGTAGAAAAGAGTGCAGCTGAACGATCTCACAGTCGCCACACCGTTGTATTAGGCTGAGGCGATTCTTCCTTCACGGCAAGGTCTTCCAGCCACCTTGAATCCAACACACGACTGATATCCCAGCGAGAGGAGTCCTCCATTGCCAGACAGTTACTGACTAGTTCGAGAACATCATCCCCGCCTTTGTCAGCTAGCTTCTGTCGATCCCATTCACCAGCCAGGATTTTCATTGTTACACGAGGCTGGAAAGCATCGTTAAATGGCCGAGATCCAACCACCATGCTATACACACATACCCCGTATGCCCAAATATCGACTGCAGGTGAAACTATCGCGCGTTCGGCAGGTTCACATGAATCCAGGCATTCCGCAATGCGTAGGATTTCCGGGGCGGCGTATTCAAGGCTACCACCGGTAAAGGCAGATGTCGATGTATCTGCTGGTCCAATATGTTTCTGAGGCGGCCGGTCCGAGTCGTGAACTGAAGGGCTTGGTGGCCCTGAGCTATTGTCGCTGGAAATCCATTCGGCCATGCCAAAGTCGCAAATGCGGAGTAAACCTGGCTGTCCATCCTGAGAAGGCTCAATTAGAACGTTCTCAAGCTTGATGTCTCGATGCACTACTCTTGCGTCGAGATGAAGATAGCGCAAGCCCATGGCGAGCTGATAGGAGTAGGACTTGGCGATTTCGAGAGGAACACCCTTACGATTGCTTCTGACCAGATCAAACAAAGTCCCGCCTCCATTGAGAGGGATAAAGCAGAACGTAGCTTCGTCGAGCTTGTAGACAGCTTCAAGCGGTAGAATATTAGGATGGTTGAGAAAGCGCCAAAGCTCTACTTCGTGCTCGAACTCAGCCTGTGCTTGCTCATTCTCAACCTCGCTCTTACCCTCCAGCCGTCTACGGACGATCTTGACAGCAAGTTTCCGATGCTTACCATCCTGAAGTTGAGTCACCTCTTTGATTGTGCTGAAACCACCAAAACCTATTCGCTTGCCTAGAACATAGTCGTCACCAATGGTTTGCCCCTCTCCGTCCACAGATGCTGAGATCGAATCAAGACCATCACCATTGGTACCACTGCTGACGGAGAAAGCTCGGAGATATGACGATGCTGCCGATCTAGGTGATCTTGTGGAACCTGAAGTGTTCTGACGTGAGGCTCGACTTGCGATATCGTGCATACTCTTTCGCAAGCTTCCTGCTCGGGAGAAGAAATCTTGGGGCGACGCTGAGAACTCACCATCCCTCCATCGTTGTGAGGCAGTGCGACGAAAGGGCCTAGATTCATCGTAGGAGAACGCTTGCCCTTCACTAGGCGACGCAATGGTAGGTGAGAGCGCATAATCATCGTCATAACGAGGAGTCACAACTTCTTCTGGGGGAGGAATGTTAGGTGACTGGCCGAGGTCGGTGGTAGACTCGCGAGCCATCTCATCAACTGTCCTCTGTAGCAACGGAAAGCGAGCTTCACCAATACGGGGATGCTCTCTTGGTGGACTGGTCGAATACTTGGGCAAATGGCGACCCGTAATTTGATCATAATGGGATCGTTCAGACTCGCTGTGGGCTCGATTGGCCTTTGATTCGGTTGGGATCAAGAAAGGTCTTCCTCGTCGATCTTCCCTCGATGGCGTTTTCTGGAGGGGTTCTTGGATACTCTGGCGTAGTCCTGAATCCAGCTTGATTTCATCATCAAAGCTTATGGAGGTCTCGCGATTTCGCATGTATCTATCTATCGCGGTCGAAGTAGTCTCGTCTGACTCGGTGATGGTGGAGTTCTCGATGGGGACCGGGATAGAGATTGGAGGGGTGGCAGTAGGACAAATGGTCTCCTGACTGACAGCTGAGCTTTCGAAGCTCAGTCGTGGCCGTGCTGGAGGAGCTCGTGCAGCGAGATCCATGTCGTAGGTGTTCTGGGTGCCAAATTCATGTTGCGGCTCCGGATTGTCAGCACTGGCATACGCCATCAACTATGATGCAGGATGACTTCTCAGTCACACAAAATGTAAAGGGACCCAGGGTGAATTTGACGAAGATGTGAGAAGGGAAGATAGAGAAAGCTCAGTCAGAAGGACAAAGACGGATGAAATTTCTCTTCACCGGCACGTGGAAGAGAAGGACGCAGGCACAGGCTGGGTGGCGGGGGGAAGGTGGGAGGAGAGTGGAAAAACGAGAGGGAGTAAACGGTAGAAGCGCTTGTTCGCGGAGTTGGTCGTGTGAAAGGCAGCGATTTGCAGCAGTTGGAGGAGTGGGAGTGGGAGGGCATGTGCAGACTCCAGAGTGGTGGTTGTTGGCAGGAGCAAGCAACCTTAGGCGGGCGGCAGTCCCCGTAAAGGTGAAAGAATAATCATAATGGGTGGAGGCACCTGGCGCTCGTGACCCGTGCCAGCACAAAGACAGCCTGGAGAAAGGGTGATTGCTTGCTGCAAAAATGCTTGATTTGCATCTTGCAAAGGCCCGGACTTGAAGCAGAAGAAGATCGACTTTTTGATGTGTTATTTACAAAGCTAATGATATGTATCCCATCAAGCACCGTGACATCAATCAATGACGACGGCGCCCATTCCGGCCATTCAAAGTCAACGGCCCGACCTTGGACATGCAACTTGCATGAGATTTCGCTTTGGCTCCCCAGGAACCCCCACTCGGCGCTCGACCAATGGCCTAATAAGCCTGTTAGCGCCTCGTTCCCAAGGATTAAGCTGCCCGCTGGGCCCCCCGGGCTACTAAAGACCCTGGGCCCTGCACCGAGGGGGCCACACCCAGTCGCGGTCCCGGTCCCAGTCCCAGCCTGCAGCACCCACCCTGGCGCCAGTTTTATTTCTATCCGTGCCTGGTTTTCAAACAAATCCTCTTTGGGTGTGGATAGGGGAACCACATCGCACCGCACCTCTTTTCTCCTCAAGTCACCACACCACACGATTGACTGAGTCTGTAACTGCAACGTCAAACTGCGCCTTGGTATAGCGACAGACAACACCACCATTTCGTCCATACCTTCATGTCTTCGCCAGGCTCGCCTTGACACTCTCTTTTCGCTCTCGTCCTGCTTCCCTACTATCTTTCAACGCGTCGCTCCTTCCCGCACGAGCTGGTCCTCTTTCCTCTTTTCCCCTTCCGTCGGTCATTACCCCAGGCGCGTGTCGCCTCGTCCGTTCAACCGCAACCGCAACTCTGTCGAGCAAGACTGGCGCTGCCCTTCTCCTTTCTCTAGCCTCGCCGTGTCACCGATCCTTGATCCTCAGTGCGACAGCCGACAGCTCCTCTATGCGCTCTGAACCAGCCCAGGGCCTGTTGGTTTCGGTGCGCCTGAACCCAACTCGACACCTCCACCTCCGCCTCAGTATTTTGCCCAAATGGTTCGCGCCATGACGTCCTTGAAACCTCAGCTTGTGAGAGCAGGTCAGTTGACTATCCGTTGCGCTACGATATTAACTCGCTGAATTGCTGCTCACCGCCTTGTGCCTTCAGATACTCTTGATTTGCAAGATCATGATGCCCCCTCTGCTAAAGACCACTCTCGCCAACCGACCCAACCATCACCCTATGGATATGGCCCCGCCGCACCGCATCAAGCACAGACGCTGAGACAGGCTGAACATGATGCATATCAGGAACAACACACGAGTCCCAGAGAGTCCGAGGACCGGGCCAATGGCGGGTATGGCTACAATCACCAAGACGACCAAAACGACGACCGTACAAATGATTCCAATGGTACCAACGGACTCGTGTATAATGGCCAGGATGTCGATGACGGAGATGGTGGGGATTCCCATGATGAGGATATGGATGACGACCTGTTGGACAAGATCTCGAGTTCTCCCTCAATTGAAGATGGTAAATATACCCTTCCTGTTTGGCCCCCTAGAGCCGATTCGGTCAATCTTGGAGCTTTTCCGGCTTCATCGATGGATCAGAGTTGCCACTCTTCCCTTTCTTCTTCACCTTTTACCTCGCACCCTGAATGTTTCCCGTCGCGATCCCTGCACTTTTCCCAATCGGCAAGTCATCCTGGTGAGTGTGGGGGCTACCAGATCAATGGTACAACACGGTTTGAGACCCGGCAAGATGAAGATTCGTCGTTCGCTTCGTCCACGTATTCTGATGGTGGGATTGACACCCAGCTGGGAGGCATACCGCTCTCCGAGTCTCAGGAATTTCGGAGATATTTGCTGCCCGTGGATGACCCGCTTTTGGAAGACGTGTCCGAGACGCAGGACGATGAATACATCTATGATGAAGAGGAAGACTGGGAAGACGATGATTCTTCTCTGGTGGACCCTGATTTGAGTTCTGATGATGACCCTGAGGATTTCCAATTTTCCAACGATGATCGTTTGATCGACTCTGGTTGGGGTGGAGAATGCTTACGAGAAATAGAGGATATCGATTTCGAATTCGTATACGCACTACATACTTTTGTGGCCACTGTCGAGGGCCAAGCCAACGCTACAAAAGGCGACACCATGGTGCTACTAGATGATAGCAACAGCTATTGGTGGCTGGTTCGTGTGGTTAAAGATGGCAGCATTGGCAAGTCATCAAGACCCATATACATTTGATGAAAATGCTAACATCGAACAGGGTACTTGCCCGCTGAGCACATAGAAACACCGACAGAGCGCTTGGCGCGACTAAATAAACATAGGAACATTGATGTTTGTCACTCGATAAAGTGGTCGATAGCTGCTAACATGACTATAGCTGTCAGCGTCGATGCTTGGAGACAACCCAGAAAAGTCTAAGAATCCCCTAAAGAAGGCGATGCGCCGAAGAAACGCAAAAACAGTCCAATTTGCTGCACCCACATACTATGAGCCTTCCGACTACGAATATTCCGATGAAGAAGAAGAGGGCGATGATAGCCAGCTTGACCAAGGAACTGACGAAAATGATGACGACGATGCCGACAGCCGACAAGAAGCAGATCGAGAACCTCAAGCCCAACAAAATGCCGCCTCAGCAAATGGAATCCAGCGAATGACAAGTAATGACAGCTTGAAGAGTGACCTGTCTTCGACTAGTTCGACTAAGGCTCAGCAGCAAGACGTTGCTACAGTTGAGCAAAACAGAACCGAAGATGCCGTCTCAAGGTCCCGGAAAGGCGTGGTTCGCAACACCGATTCCTTCTTTAGAGACGACACCGTCGAGACCAAAAAGATCTCACTGACTCCGCGGTTATTGAGGGGTGACTCGGAGTCTGGTCAATCTGCAGAACAAGAAGTGCGACAGCGTCAAAGCCTGGACACGTTTGATAAGGTCGTCGGCGCGGAAGAAAAACTCAAAGACAAGGACAAGGACAAGGACAAAAAGAAGGAAAAGAAGGGTATGCTAAGCGGCTTATTCAAGCGAAAGAAGGGCAGTGCCCCTCAGGAAGAGAGAGAAGAAAGACCGTCAGAAGAATTGAGACAATCCCCGCAATCAAAGGACTCTATGGAATCAGTCACATTTTCGAAGCCTGACGGTGGCCTGGAGCGCAAACCTAGCAAATTGCAGAAAACACCTCCAATGGCCTCACCAAAGTCTTCGCCCACGGAGGCGCGTGCGCCTCAGCGAGACGTGGTAACCGCGCCAGTTGTGACCCCGCCCGCCCTATCAGGACCAGCACCAGCACCGCCTACACTTCGAAAGGTCGAATCTGAGTCCGAGCTAGCTGAAGATTTGTCTTCTACCACAACACAGAATCAACCGACTGGCCAGGTGAATCGGTTCCCCTCACTCACAGAGAAGAGATCCATCTTTGCGCCAATTACTACTGCTCTGAAATCTACTTCTTCTGCTAATGCAGAAACAAGCTCTCCTGTTAAGCCGATTTATTCCAAGCGAGCGAAAGAACGATTCGCCATTGATGATAGTGGGTCTGAAGACGATGGACACACACCCAAGGCTGAAGACCAAGATCGCAAGAGCATATCACCTCTCGCAGAGGGTCAGGATGAACAATCTCGCTCAGACTCCTCCATACGAGTTTCGCCGATAGAGTCGATCGGACCGATAAATCAGCAAGCGCGACAGGAGACAACTATGCGGTCAACACCCTTGCCAATCGAAACCAGCCACGCGGAGTCTGAAGGGACTGCCAGCACATCCAAGCCGTCACCTTCTACCGCAACCCACACACCTTCTACCTCTCGATCCACACCAACGTGGTCGGACGCGTCATTGAGATCCTACATGGAGAATGACCAAGATATCAAGGATCTCCTGATTATTGTTCATGACAAGTCGAATATCACACCAGTTGGGGCTGACCACCCACTTATGAGCAATTTATTTTCGATTGAACGGAGCAAGCTCGCGGAGATGCAATCCCAGCTTGATTCTATGCTAATGACTTGGATGGGCAAAAAGAACTCGAACTTATTGTCAGCAACGAGCTAAAAGCGAGCACCATCGAAGCCAGGGGTTTTCTTTCAGGCCAATGAACCTAGATGGATCCATTTGTACAACTTTCATTTCTCGGCATGTCAGAGCAATAGCTCGACTTGTACTACTAGGGACCAGGACCAGGCCTTTTTTCCCTTCTTTTCTTGTTACGACGTTAAAGCTCAGAACGAATGATCGCAGTTGTGGATAGTACTTTAAAAAGATTACGCACATGTACAGGCATTCCCTCACCCAAGGTGAGGGCTAGGGGAAGGACGGCTACGAGTTTGGGGAGTTATGGCATTAGGCATGCGAACCAATGAGGCTCGGAAACGGGTTTGACCGATTGACAGGGTATATTCTTTTGTGATGTTGAGATTTCCCGTGAGAGTGTTGCTTCTAAGAGAAAGCATTAAGGTACATGCCAACGAATATGCGAGGCCAGAAGGTAATCCACGTGACCTTGTCATCTCTCACTGATCACGTGAGAACCAAGTTTCTTCTCCAATTCGTCAAGCCCACGGTCCATCCCCATAGGATTTAACATCGAGACAGCGAAGGTGCGGCAAAGGTTATTTGATTTTCGGCCTAGACTACCGGCGCCATTGGGCCTGGTCTGGTATCTTTGTGAATTTCGGAGCTGTCCACTTCAGACCCCGAAGTTTCCAAATCATGTCTGTCACGGTATGTATTTTGGAGGTATTCGAGGGTTTCCGCTGATGAATAACCAGCTGCAGACTACTCACGGTGACCTCAAGATTGAGATCTTCTGTGAATCCGTTCCTAGGACGGCTGAGAATTTCCTAGCACTGTGCGCGTCCGGAGCTTATAATGGGACCCCCTTTCATCGAATGATCCCCGAGTTCATGATCCAAGGCGGCGACACCTCACAGTCATCTCGTGAAGGTACAACGGACGCAGTCGTGAAGGGAGGGACCTCGATCTGGGGAGAATACTTTGAGGACGAGATCAAGATTCCGGCTCTGCGACATTCGGGCCGGGGCATGCTTTCGATGGCGAATAAGGGGCCCAAAACCAACGGAAGTCAATTCTTCATCACTTTCAAGGAAGCGCCACATCTTGACGGGAAAAACACTGTCTTTGGTCGCATCATCGAAGGAGCGGAGGAAGGAGGTACTCTGGACAAGATGGAAGCTGTCGCAGTTGACAAAAAATACCGACCAAAGGGGGAAAAGATTACGCTCAATGCGGTCACGATCCATGCCAACCCACTGGCTAGCTAGGGCAGGAAATTCAGGATGCAGAGATCCTTGCAGACATATTGCATCTTCGTCGAGGTGTTGGCTCAGCTACACCACACCGTATCAGGAAGGAAACCATGACTTCAGCTAAAAGTGCTGAACATGCAAGCGACAGCGATGAGCCGAAAGGATGCCATCATTCCCGAACAAGTGGCGACGTTTGATTCTTCGTCAAGGCAAGACTCGAACTGCTGGCAGCGAACGGGCCCAAGAGTGGCACTCTTGGGTCCTCATTACATAGGTCGCAATAGATGCCCGGCTTGGGAAGGGGCAGGCACGGGGTGATCAAGTCTGAGGAGTACCGTAGTTCGCATACGGAGTAGTACGACGGTGTCAGGGAACGGAATTATTATTGGGCCCACAAACGGGCGTGGATGGCTGGCCTCAAAAGAATATCCAATGCCCAGCTGTACGTACCGCCGACGGAGAATAAAAGAGAATCCGTGGACGGACTTTTATCAGGCACGCCAATGGCTGATGCGGGAACAGGAGGGATACACGTGAACTCAGAATCGCTATCAGAGCGGGTTGCAGATTGACTGACGTGTTGATTGCATTGGACGTGAAATGAACGTGGATGTGGATGGGGGTGGACGTGAACGTGCAGGATTGGCACCAAAGCAGCCCGAGGGGCCCAAACTTGAGTGCGTGTAGGCGCCTATGTCTTGGTGGCCCTGTGGCAGTGGTGGTCTTTCGTGGGGGCCGAAAGAAGCCCGATCGAATTACAAGGTACGACTACCGGTAATAAAGAAGGTTTGAAGGCGAGCATACTTTGGGGTCCATAGCATGTAGGTTAAGCCGTAAGTGTATGCATACATCAATCAGTCAGTGCGTTAGTTGCATATTCGCATGCACTTGGTCGGTAAGAAATTAGGTTGGTAAGGCTGTGGACGTGACAGGATCCATATATTCAAGACTCGAAAGTATTGTAGTTTACTTGAGCCGGATGGATCAGGGGAAGAACATGCGGAATGTCAATTCAGTTGACAGCTGCAAGACTCGATAGCCCGGAGTACGGAAGACAGTACCGACAAAGGATCAAAACCAGACTTATTTGTTGGTACCTACGAGTACTTACGAGTAATGCAGATAAGGTCGTGAGCCATGGTGCTAGTTAGGATACTACGAGCACTCCGTACGCAGGTTGTCCTTTTCTTGCTCTGCTATCAGTTCGCTAGCGCTGTCGCTTTCTTCGTAGAGGCACGAGAACCCAGTCGTCATGTAAATACCAGAGTGAGGAAGTAATTTAGTGACTTAACGAGTTACATATATGATTATCCAAATTCAACTTGTTGCATTCTTGGGAATCTGGGTACCTTGGGTACGGAGTACAAATGTCAGGATGGGAGTTGAGGACAAGTAACTGACATTTTAAGTGCTTGACTAAGTTGGCCTTGGCGGCTACGTATGCACAGTGCTAGTGGTAAGAGCTGCGCTCCCTCCTCCGAATGCTAGTCCTAGCCCTACCATGGCCCGTCAACTCAAGGTACTGACTAACTTCATTGGTACGAACATCAAAGCCCGATGGGCCACCAAGTGCTAACCATGAAGCCCTTGAGCCCCAGGCCCCGAGCCCTCAACCCTTGTGGTTGTGCCTATTCCTGCGTCCGGAGCAACACCTACGAGTAAAGCCCAGGTGCCCTATCGGTGTGTTCCTCCACCTAACACTATTCCGTGCCTAGAGCTCCTACTGTGCTCGTCGACCTGAACCTCCTCCACAATCTGAACCAAGCACTCCATATCCGTAACCCAATACCTGGTGCTCCGAACACTGAACGATCCCGCGCTCAGCAACACAGACCCAGTGGCCTCACAACAGCCCAAACACGAGTCTATCCCACAGTCATCACTCGCTTCTAATCATTTTTGCTACACAAAAAATATCATCCCTTTGATCTTGCCTGCGCTCTCTGCGGTATCTTTATCCTTTGTCATCCCTACCTCCACGCCAGCTTTGTCCTCCGCCCCGTGCCAAAGCACCCTCAATTCCGTGTCACCCACTCAGACTCAGCCTTCCATTGATGGAATAACAAAGGATCCCACTCCCACGCCTTGCTTGATTGCTCGCATGTAGCAACGCCTGCTCTAAAGACGTCTCTATGGGCTTCATACTGTCATTCAGAACAAGGCCGCCGCGAATCGCAAGTCCTGTTCTAGGCCTCCCGAAACGAACTCCTTCGCAGTCCATACCTGATGGTCAACGTCTAAGGCATACCTCTGCAAGAAGATGAACGCTTTCGTGCGAGTATCTGGTCGTCCGAACACAAATTTCCTCGTTGGTTACCCTGGGATATCTGCTACGCTGGTGCGCACTCTCTGCCCCCACTTGTGAGCGATGCACTAGTCAAAGCTGACATGTTATAGCCTCGCATTGAGGGAACCGTCGAAGTCCGTCCCGGCGTCGGGATATCCAGTCCCGTCAACATATCCATCGTCACGATCGCTCTCCAAAGGAGAGAAAGCATTCATCCCCATGCCGACTCCGTCACCAAAAAGCATCTGGCTGCGCCCAGGAAGGAATCCACCGAAACCGTGGGGAAAGAGATGTTATTGTTCCGATGCCCAGCCAATAGAGACTACGAAGAGATAATGTATATGGACCTGCCTTTTGTGATATTCATTCCGTTTGGTCGGGGCGGACAAGAGACCGCCAGAAGGGTTCCGCCCGCCAGTCTTCAATTACCCCGACGCACTGCTGAAACGTTCTACGAGATGGTCGTGACCGTAGGGTATGGCTCTAACGATCGAAAACAGTATACTTTCCCCGTTCCCATTGCGCGATACGATACACTGTCGACTTTCGGCATGTACAATCGCCCCGAATCTGCTGAACGTGTGACGGATCACTTGGTCACTCTGGGCATCTCTCTACCAAGATGGTCCTACGGTCCACTTGACCCAGTCAGCGTTTACATCAAACTGTCACCAAACCCAGATTGGCTTTCCAAAGCACGCAAAGTCACCATACGGAAGATCGAGATTGGCGTTGACGAAGAAGTCATCTACAATCATGAAGGGGATGAGCCTCAGAGAAAGACCAAGAACTTGGTCAAGAAAACCGAAAATGTTGGCGTAAAGATGCCTGAAGCCGGCTATTTCACAAATTTGGGCCTTGTATTCCCTGCACATGATCTTCGTGATTCAGATGGCATTATGCCCCGAGGCAAAGCGGCATTCCCGTCATACGCTGTAACGGGTTTCACCACGACAGCAGGCTTGTACAAGGTGGAATATTACTTGACCATCAAGGTGAGTTGTTACAATATGTGTCAATCGTGCACAAAATAATCCTCTACAGGCGTCGATGAATGGCGCGAAAGACATTGTATTAAAACAACCGATTGTCGTTTGCCCACTCGACCACGCTGCGTGTAAAGCAGAAATGGAAGCAATCGAACAGGCGGCGCGAGACGCAGCGCACGTGAACGCTGACAACCCCCGCCTACCCCTGGCCCGTATAATACGGAGTTCGGATCCGAATGCCTTGAGCTGCTTGGGAGTAGCAATCGTAGGCACGGCAAAGAGACCACTGATCGATTGAAGGAGGGACAGCAGACGCTTCAAACTAACGAAACACATGGACTGCATTTCCCCAACGGTTGACGGAACACCAGCCAAATCCTTGTTTCGTTTACGGAAAGATATGCAGCTACCACAAATAAAAACCAGAGAGTTTGGACTCCTCCGGCTTCGCCCTCCCATGAAATTGGGCTGTTTCCGATTGAGGAGTAAGACAGATTAGAAATCGGAACTTTGGACGCGACTTGGGACGACTGAAAAGCGGAAGTCTGCAGTTCCAAAGATGGACCGAACACTACCAGCAATGGAAATCCCATTCACCAATGAGCCTATCCAAGAAATTCGACTGCCGCCTTCAAGGAGAACTTCACACTGATAATTAAACCGAAGACAGCTCAGCAAGTTTGAGCACGAAATCACTGTGTACTTTGCACGCTGGAGTCGTAAAATCAGACTTGTTCAAAAAGCAAGCAGGTCAGTACGAGACTAAGTTTTTGGGCCCGCTCTCGTTCAGCAATCCCTCAGCAACTCCCAGCTTTGCCGATGAAAACCAGAATTCTTGGCCGCGTGAGAACAAACGCGTTGGGCCGTATTTGTTTACTCATGTCTTTGTGCATGGCGTTGATCTCAGGAGGGTTTTTCGAGATCCGGTAGAGACCATGATTGGGAAAGGTCAGGTCAGGCTTTTGAGATAGTAATGATATGACGGATTTGATATACATTCATGATTAACCTCTTGGGTTTGCTTCCGTTTTGTGTATCGTTCCCGTGTTGATCATTGGTTTTGGGGGGGCCTAACCTCTGTCCAAGGGTTCAATCATTTCAAGTAGATGAAATTGTCAGTTCTTTCCTAGGCTCCCATCGGCTCAACACAGGCAAACCCTCCAAGCAAATCTAAATGTGAGGGCTGGTCGCGCAACACCTCGGTGGTTCCCAAATGGCCAGCTCGCCACGCCACTTTTAATATCTTCTGTTTAATAATGGGTCTATGTAACCGAATACAGCAACGGCCGTTCCCCGAAGGTTCTGGCTCTTGGAACCAAGCAAAAGAACGACTTCAGAAAGACATTCAATCAATGGGAACAACATATGTGGAGACGATGGTATAATGAGTCTGAATCCGCTCACTCCTGATGGAGGGATTTAGAAAAGCCGCGAGGTGGAGGAGTGTCACGCCTTGGAGATAGATGGAGTACATAGCCTGTTGGTGGTGGTGAGCGTGACTGTTAATGTCAGCGGATTCAATTTTCCTGATGGTCATATTAACGAGGGATAATTCCACTCACCAGCTCTTAACGACGCAGTCAGGTCACTACATATAGGGCAAACAGCCAACCATTCGTGGACGCATTCTGCTTAGGATGAAGCAGGGCACCAACAGCAGTGACCATTTCGAAGAGTCCCTTGGGAGGCTTCGGCGCGGAACAGATCATCGACCAGCCATTTCCATCTCGTCGTGGGGCGAACGGTGCCTCGAACTCAGTAGGCTCGTGTGAGAACTTGCTGCGCAAGTTCGGTGGCGACGAATCCATTCACGCCTGTGATCACGATCAGGATCAGGGCTTCCTTTTGGAAGGGCCGATATTTCTGCGGCCATTTCTGTTCCATTTCTTCTTCTTTTCTTTAGGACTTAGGGACGACTGAGCTGGTTGATGCTTGACGAATAATAGATAGTAAATGGAGATTAGGGCTCCGCGGGTTCTCAGGCCCCATTTTATGTCCTCTCATCCTCTTTTCCGCGGCGCATCATCACCTCCTGCTTTCGCGTCCTATGGATCCATAGCTTCGGAACATCATTGATTGATTAACAATTCCAAGCCTCATTACGCATCGTGACATCCCATCCCAGGACACAGAAAGATGACTGAACCGAGCACTTTGCGTCAAGCGAGCGGAGCTATGCCACTTTCCGAGTCTGATGACCAATCATCTCAGAGCCGAGGAGAGAAGGTGGTTGGAAATGACGGACGAAGAATGAAAAGAAGGGAAGAATCCCAAGTCCAGGACATTTGGTTGTATTAGGCTATCTCTTAAGCCTCCGGGCTCACTGTTAGGTAAGCCAACGGAGCAGGGCGGGTGTCAGAAGGTCTGCACCATTACCATACACCCAGATGAACTGTTATTGTTCTCTGGACCCGGATTTCTCAGCAGCGAATCCAGGTCTGCCTTGCATGCTGTACATCAACTTTTGGAAGCTGCGTGGCCTCTGGCACTGATCTTCACATGCTTTCTTGGATGAAGGTCAGTGGCTAGAGATGCGATGGGTTTGACCGGGTCACGTGTGAGGCTGAACCACCCCTTCGCCATCAGCATCATAGCCTACTATTGACTGCTTATGGGACATGAAGAGATATCTCTCATACTAAAAACGGGGTTGAAAATTCAACCTCTATTGCTATATCATTTAACAATTACCTGCGGGTGTTACTCTGTACGAAACTCCCCTTTACCTATATATCCTATCAGGCTCTATTCATTTCACATCAATGCCAAAATTGGGAACAAAGTTGAGTGTCGCAGCCACAAATCCGACTGTCCGAGCCATCATCGCTACATCTGATTCCTTTCTCGATGCATATTTTATAAGCGTAGGGGCCCTTGTAAGGGAATCTTCAGAAGTTGGTGATGTTACGAAATTGGTGATCAGGTCCGCGTTGTGGTGTTGATTTGTTTTGCCTTCTGCAGGGGGTGGTGCAGGATTCGCGGTTAGAACCCGCTTTACGGATCCATCTCAAAGCGCGGGCGACACGGAGAGTTCTCGTGGCTCGCACAGTAACTTGAACGTAGCGGTCGGTGATGGATTGATTTGAAAATGTTTGAAAGGAACAAGAACCATTAACAAGAACCATACTTCAAAGCTGCGCCACCCTCAATGGCAATCTTGCAGTTTGAATCCCCGTGTATTTTCCTCCACAGAACCAGACCGGTGGTTCAATCATGTCCCCTGACGGTCTTCCAGTGATAACCCCTGCATCAATGCCTCGATCTCACCTTCTTGGACCTTGCCTTTGATCCGCTTCACGTTCTCAGCCAGATACGCTTGCATAATTACACTGGCTGACTGGTACTGTGGGGAATCACGGCCCCAAGTTTCGAGGATGTTGCCCAGATTCCCACGAATGAAGTCCAAAACGGAGGAGATCAGGTTGAGTGTCGAAGAGTCCTGCGAGGGAGCTTTGGTCGGGGTGTCTGAATGCGATGCTGGCAGCTGAGGGGCGGCCATGTTCCTGTTTGAAGAGGCTGGCCGGATAGATGCAAAACTGAATGGGGCGGGAAAGCAGGCAAGATTTACGGAATGCGTCTGTTGAGAAGGCAAGATGGCGGAGTGTGCTAGAGCTTCTAGCCTTGCTCGAACGGAGAAAGGGATCTTTGTGACCGAGAACGGATAAAAGCACAATATTGCCCTAGTGATGAATCTTCTATCCTGTTTGGTTTTCGTGTTTACCTCACTAAGTTTTGATGCTGTTAGCAGATTCACCGATTCGTCGAGGCGAGGTGCTAGAGATCTCGTTGCTTGGTAGTGACTCATCCGGCCGGTGATCTTAGATGTTTCCTGGCTATGCACGTGCTACATGCATGCAAGGCGAGGCTGTCTCGGGAAATGTTCTTGTACTCCGGAAATAGTCATCCGACTACTTCCGTTGAGAAACTAATATTATTCTGATGAAGGGTGGAAGATGTAGCTGAGCATATTGCTGTACTCCGTATTTAGGTTAGGTGTGTATTTAATTAATATTCCAACGCTAAGATACGTAAGATTGGAGCGGAGGATTGACTCGCATTGCTCAGCTATTTTTCTGAGACTGAGTCATAAAATCTCCGACTTTGTGAACGACGAACAAACGACACTGGACGGATTGTGTTCACCGTCCACAAGTCCGCCCTTCATTCCTTCCTCCCACTCGCGGAAAAATATAGCGGACTAGCTAAAATGGCCGACGCTGACGAAGACGCGATTTCATCGGCTTCCCACCAGCCTGAGGCCGACGACCTGGAAGATGAAACCCAGGACTTTCGATTTCTCGCCCAACTCACTGCAGCCGCCTCGAGCAGTGGAGCAGCCGTTGTGGTCCCGAAGCGAGGCACCAAGGACTTCGAACCAAATCCTACCCGGTCGCAAGCCTCTGCCCTCGATGCCTCCCGTCTAGCCATGCACAATGCTCTCAGTGCACCCAGGATTCATTCAGGGAGGGCTCATGTCATAGGCCAGTACCTGTCGGACGAGGAGCAATGGAGGTGGGAAGAAGATGGAGTCGTAAGGAGGACAGGCAGATGTGTCGTGATTCACAATTTCAAGAGTACGCACTCTAAGAATATGGGTCAAGCGGACAGGAACAATTGGATGTGGCTACTCCCGGAAGAAGCACTCTACTTGCTAGAGCGCGGGAGCCTGGACATTCGATGGCCGGATCTAGACGAGATTTCCTCAGAGGCAGAGAATATCAGTTGTGACCAGACAGGGAACATCTCCCCAGAAGAGAACTCAGAAAATCCTGAGAACGCGGATCAAGACAAAGTTGGTCAAGTCCCAGAATCTGAAAAAGCTCCAAAAGATGGGGAACTTCCCATGAGTCTCCAGGGCGCATACGCTAGTTTTATCGGCAAAGACGGGCTTACTCTGGAAAGGTACAACGTCTATGCTGGACTGAAGAGGTCGGGGTACATTGTTCAAAGAGCCCCAACATGGCATGACAGCGATTTCCGAACTGCCAACGGCAATGCCAACCCTGAGCTCTCGACAGGAGGCCAGAATGTATCCACATCGTTGTCCGACTCTCATGGAGAACAAAGCTGTAGGTCTTCAACCTATGGCCCAGGAGGTCTCATCCGCAGAATCTGTTCCTGGTTGTTCATGCCTCAGCGAGGAGAATCCTGTCCATCGTTTGGACCGCTTGTGGCCCCTGGGTTGTACCGAAACTATGCAGACATATTCCGCGCCCTGACCTTGATTCCCTTCCACAATCCCATTTCTTCCTCCCCCAGATCTATCGATGGCTCACACTCGACGACAGCTCCAGAGCCAACGTCGGCTGTAGCAAGCCGCACCCCGCAGCCACCCTATCGCATCCACATGTACGCCTGGAAACCCAACACAACCTACAAGAAGACCGCACCTCCACCTCCAGACTACCGCATCTGTGTCCTTGACGCCCGCTCGACTGCCATGCCCACTCTCACTCAAATCGGAGGTCTCCTCGACTCAGTGCCAGAAGATTCAGTTTCAAAGGAGAAAGTCGGCAGACTGGAGGCCCGAATCAAGCATGGCAAGAGGAACCTCATCCTGGCTGTGGTCGATTCAGGGATTGTTAGCTATCTCAGATTGAGCGATGCATGTTTCGGAGCGGACAAACTGTTCGAGCAAAAGTTCGGACGTACAAAGGGCAAGGGCAAAGGGAAGGGTGGTGGTGCTAAGCAAAGGCCACAAACCCAGCAGAAGTGAGGAAACAGGGTTTGTTCCTATGAGGAGCCTTTGATCAATTGCAATGGATAACGCTGGCGTTTGAGAAGAGCCGGGAGAATTGGCATGTCTGTAGGCGTACATGGCTGGCGAGTATATTGTTGATGATATTTCATGACTACGTCGATACTGCGGTTGATGTAGGAGCGATACAACGACAGATAGGATAGATATGATACCCCTTAGAAGCAGCGAGAAAAGATAGAATATCTCATTTGAGAGAACCATGATATATTGGAACGCAAGAGTCAAAGTTGAAGAAGCAGATATATATCTGTTTCCAACATTCAATGTGGTGAACTGGAGAAATGATAGATACCACTAATTGGCGAGATTTCAAACAAGTAGAAATATCTGTCTCCCCTTGAGAGAACGTCCGCTTTTCAGCATGGAGAAAAGCCAGGCGGACTGCCTGATGATCTAGGGAGGATTGATCTACCATCTACTATAGACGTCGGCCTGTGAGATGCAGGTTTTTCGCGACGTATATGCTTGAGATGGGGAGGAACAGCAAGGAGAAACACTTCTGGAGAGGGTAGAACAAATACCAGATTCATCATGGAGGGAAAATGACCTGGTGTTTCTATCACCTGGACTAAAACGAGGAGGGAAATCCATCGGATGACATGCATCGTAGGATCTTGTAGAGCGACGAACCTTTGCATTTATGGTTGGCGTCATTCTAGTCCAACTAGTCTCGTACCATAGTCTACGTGCCATCGGTGAAAAGACCGGTGATCGGGCTCCATCTGAGCACTGTGTGTGCTGGGCAGGCGGCGAAGCGTCGAGACCTGGACGCTAGGTGCATCAATTTGGTAAGACGCAGCCTAGACAGACACCGGTGCTGTGGTACACTGTGCTAGCCTAGTGTCTCTATGCATCAACCCCGTGGGGTGTTGGCTGGCTTGCAGGTGTTCATCTTGCCATCGATGCTCCACTCGGCTTTTCAGCTAATCCTGAACAACTTCTGAAGTCTGTGATGGCCTGAATGGAAGCGTGGAGGTATTTGAATCTTTGGTTCAGGATTGAGTCAGACCATACATCTTAAACATGCCATCTGAGAATTGTGCGAGGCTCTCGTCCATGGAGTCTTTGTCGTGTGATTTGTGGTGGATTTGCTCGAGCTCAGCATTCAAGTGATCAAGTAGTCGCTGGCCATTAGTATTTCCAGGCACAATTCAGAGGGAATATCCATGTCGGGAACGCCAATAGTGTCACGATGTTTCTCGTTGTAGTAGAAGTACTCAACAACTTTTTCAAGGACAATGCCGCTGATATTCTCGAGATGACAAACTCCTGTCTGGGCTTCGCTGAAATTGTCTAGAGGAACCAGGGTCAGTCGCTGGTGTGAATCAATAGTGTGAGCAATGACTTACTCTGTAGGTCTAGCATACGGCGAATCGTGGCAGATACGCAAGCTGCAGAACGGCGAATGTGGAACTCAAAGCCATCTGCAGACACGAGGGTGACGAATGGTGAAGGTGTTGCCGTATCCGCGTTGACCGCCATGGTGAGGGCCTTTGGAGAATCTAGGAGGCTGCGAGATAAGTCTAGTCTGGAAGGAAGACTGCATTGATCTTGCAAATAGCTTAGGTTTCTTACTCAGTCGGAGTACAGTTGGCTTTGAAGTTTGAAGGGGGAATGGGTTTCGTGCGATAAAATGAAAAAGGCAAAGGCGGTCAGGGGCAGCAAAACGCGTTGCTCTTTCACGGGTTTTGCTACTCGCGTTCTTGAACTTTAATTGGCTCTTTCCCGATCACGTCTCATGGACTGCCTTTGATAGTCACACCCAGATGTCACGCAACGCTACCTCGATTTGCAATGTATTGAAAGGACTCCGCTTAGGCAGATGGAGAATTCCTGCATTTCGGCGTCCTACACATCAGAGGATGTTGAGTTGCTCAGCTACTCGAGGCACGATATCTGCGAGTGGTTATGATGCAACACCAAAGTCCAGACAGCTGAATACTTTAGCGACAGAAATCTCAAGCCGACGGAGCGGTTCAGACTCGACGTTGGCTGATCATGGCTCAACAGGTCCAGTCTCTGCCAGTGTGATGCCTAGTCACGCTTCTGCCACTCCACAATCACCACAGGTGAAAGAAGTCTCTTCGAGGTCTTTAGGTTCCAAGCCAACCAATAAATCGCCCGACTACAGCATTGCCAACGAAGATCGATGGAAAAGATTTGCGCGGTCAAACGGAGCCACAGGCACCATGTGCTACGGGCGGTCTATCCTTCTCACCGGTGGGACGTCAGGAATTGGCCTTGCCGTAGCCCAGCGTGCCGTTCTCGAGGGCGCGTCTCACGTTATCATTGTCACAAGAACCGCTTCAAATGGAAGCAATGCAGTTCAAAAGGTCACAGAAGCAACAGGGCTCCCGGACGCGCCTGTGTCATACATGAGCAATGACTTTATGAAATTCCCACCAGAAATGGTCAAATCTGTACTCAATCCATTGGTAAGCCAGCCCTATCCTGTAACTAGCCAGGGAATCCTCTATTTCCCCAGGAGAGGAGAGTCAATACTCACGTACAATATTTCTTCAGTATATTAACACCCTGATCAACTGCGCCGGTTTGACTTCGAACCAGCTGATAATCAAGCAGCGAAATGAAGGTGCAGAGGCTGTCTGGGACGCGAATTATCATCTGCCTTTCAAGCTCTCCAAAATGTTGCTAAACGATTATATGGCGAGGGCAAGATTGATCCAGAAAGATAAATCAGACAGTCGAGCCTCGGAGCCGTCCTGGTGTATCGTCAACGTCTCCTCTCTCCTGGCACAGAAGGGCGGCAAAGGCTCAGCAACTTACGCAGCGTCCAAAGCAGCCCTGATCGCACTGACCCGCGTATTGACCCTGGAGAGCGGCGATCTCTCCGAACGGGCACAGGACGTTATGCCGCCCATCCGCGCGAACGCCATTCTGCCGGGATACATTGACACACCGATGATTGAAGGTGAGTTGCCTCCCCCACCCCCCGAGTTGTTGATAGCAACGTACGCGCGAGCGGCCTAAGAAGGGCAAGCACTTGATTCGCTCACGGAAACTCTTGACACTATCACAGGCTTCTCCGAGGCTCGAAAGGCGCAGCTGACGGCGCAAATTCCATCACGGAGGTTTGGCAAACCGGCTGAAGTCGCGGACGCCATCATGTTCCTCCTGCGCAATGAGTATGCAAATAACTGCATCTTGAATCTCGATGGTGGGCTCAGTGCGATTTGATGATCTAGCCTGGCTGCATGTAGTGCGGACTGGTGGCAAAGATGGGCTGAGGAATCGGAAGGGCCAACCCCACATATTCAACGGCAAGGGATATATAAGGCGCTGAAACAAATACCTTAATGCACCACAGCGAGGATATACGTTTCCATTACATAGACCATGTGCCTGAGGAGGCTTTCTGAATTGTTTTAAATATTGGTCTGGCCGCATACAGCTCATGCGTAGAACTATGCAATTCTCTTCTATAATCATACATCCACAAAGGCCAACCCGCTATCCGAGTGCTATGTATCCTCATTGATTGAGCAGTTCATTATTGAGCACTGTTGCCTCTCTCTTATGCATTTCGAACAAGCTAGCTCGAGCTTTCCTGTCCATTTCGGAAATTCTGCCCGATATCAGGCTGGCTATGCAAAATTCCATCCAGATACACCCTCTGTCTGTCTGCCCTTCAGGGATTCTTTTCGACTGATGATACATGTGCTTGCAAATAGACGGGTCCTTTTACATTGGGGTGCAATCGTTGAAGTCCACGAGCATGTGCAAATGCCCCTCCCATTTCATGCGGCGTCGTCTCTGCTCGGGTATTTATGCTCGAAATAATCCTGTTCTGTCCTATCCGGTCGTGTCCCGTCCATAAAGAGAGCGTTTCTAATCATCAGCAATTACAAGTGCACCATCGTCCTCATCAATGACAATGGCCTTCGACGATGAGTCTGTCGCCACCTTCGCCGAGACAGCACCCTGAAGCTTCTTCGCTGGTGTCTCTATCCCGTTTGCGCCAGCATCAGACAAGGCACGTTTCCGTTTCGCTGTGGCCGGAGCTGTGGCCGAAGCTGTGCCATTGGCGACAACCTCCACATCATCGCCGTCTGATTCTGGTGCTTCGGCGGGTGGTATCTTCTTCGGCTTGCGTGGTATCTCAAATGTTTCGCCTTCTTTCTGGACAAGACTAACGGGCGGCCGGCCTTTGACGGATTGCTTTGCCTCGACAGCTAATTGCAAGTCCACACGTGGAGTGTTATCCTCCTCATCTTTGACGAGAATGAAGCTGGCATCGCCAATACCTAGGTCGGAAAGCTTCTTCTCCAAATTGTCCTCCAGATCCGGATCATAGATGATACCAGCGTCAGTCATGACCGTGACCTCCTCACCGTAACTGAAGTTGGTCTTGAGAATATTCTGAACAAGGTCGTTCAGTGTGGCTTTCTCGAGATCAACAGATATCCTGGCCATAGCAACACCGCAAACCACGCATTCTGGATTGGGCGTCTCTAATTGATCAGTACGAAGAGATCCATTCCACAGCCACAGCCATTTCGTGCGAGCATATTCCCCCTTAAGGACTTTAAATGCCTGCATCACACACAGACCGGCTACCATGGCATTCGTGGTTGCAATAGCGGGGATGATATTTCCAGCCATTTGTTTGGTGTCAAATTTTGACTTTGCCTCGATACCGAAGATTGTGGCTCGCAAATTACCGGATGCGGTGACAAAGTCCATCGTGTTGTCGTCATCTTTATCGAAAGTGATGATCGGTCGCGGTTGGTCTGCCTTGTCTGCCGCCGCTTGATCTTCAGCAAGTCGCTTCGAGAGTCGTGACAAGCTGTCCTTGAAAATGACGAAATTTTCGGCAATTGACCAGGTCCGCTGGCTTTCGTTTGAGATGGTGGGATCAAGGCCAGCCGACTCTTGTTCGAGGGTGTCATAGGACAAGGGCACTGGGGGTTTCTTATCCTTCCACATATCCTCCATCTTGGCAAGTCTTTCAATGTCTTGATTGAACACTTTGTTGAAGACCTGGCGTGAGAAATCATCCGAGCCCATTGACCGTCTGATTTTCTTCAATGCTTGTGCCTCCTCTTTCAATTTCCGAATCTCCTCTGCGTTGTCTGAGTCTTCTGTATTGTCGAGATCGGGAGTTTCCACTTCCGCAACACCAAACAGCTCGGGCAGCAGGTAGCTCTTTCCCCATACTATACAATGAATGGGTTGGCTCGGGGTACTCCGTATGGTGCAAACCGGATATGAAATGGGGGTGCTCTTGGGAGAGCAGTCGTAACAAGCAGTGTTGCCCTTTTTGATGACCTGTACCTGGCCCTTGAAACCTGTAGTGCCCGATTCGATCAGAGGTATATCAACAGCCAAGCACATCTTATTGACGTGTCTTCTTGCATCCATGTTGTCAAGCGCATTGAAGACCAGCGTGAACCGGGAGAAGAATTCAAGATTGAATTGCTTGTCTTTGATATTTGCATGATGAGCAATGAGTTTGACATTAGGGTTGAATCTCTGAGCGACATCCTTTGCGACAATGGCTTTTGGCTTCTTGATATGTTCTTGCCGGAAGAGAAATTGACGGTTGAGGTTTGAGAGATCAATTGTATCAAGGTCAATGATGTGGATCTCACCAAAGCCAGTGAGGACGAGGTTCTTGAGGAGTTCGCAGCCAATTCCGCCGGCGCCGACGAGGAGGACTTTGGACTAGGAGGTGGGTTTTAGTTCGTGATCGGGAAAAGGGAAGCGGAGATGGTGGTTACCTCTTTGACCAGCCGATGTGCAGCACCAAGGGATTGTCTGACGAGCTTGTCGCGCGGCATTTTGAGCGGTTAGATGAGTCGGGGTTGAGAAAGGTGACGGAAGAAAGTGGAGTGACGGCTACAGGGCGATAAACATGGCGAGCTGAAGCGTGGTTGGAGGGAGATTGGTGGAAATGAACGACAAAGTACTATGGTACAGAATAAGGGGGACTTGTAGAAGTGAAAGGGTTGTGAAGAAGATAAAGAATAGAGAGAGAGAGAGGGAAGAAGGGCGCAGATCGTTCAGATCAGATCACAGACCCTTTTCTCGCATGAGGCTGCTTTTTGCTTGTAAGCGGCGGGAGCGGAGCGGCGACTTGCAGAAACGGAGAGAGGGATTCCCGAGTGGAGGGGCATATGAGTTTTACATACGAGTAATAACGAGGAAGTGACTCGCGAGTTACCGATATGGGAGCTATTGATTAGGCACTGGTTTAGGGACTGCTACCTGCAGGCACTCGGACAACAAGACGCAAGGCCTCACAGCACCCTGTAGCCAACCCCCTTGGGTTACCACGTACATAAACCTACGAGTGCTGCACCTCCAAGCACAGCACTCGGAATAGGTACCCCTTCCAGGCATGTGGGCGCCACTGGGCGGTTATGCTTTGGTGACGTGACCCCCAGGATGTGCGCGGGCTGAGGTGGTGGACAACTACTCCGTAGCAGGTTAGCCAGCACCCACAATGCCACTAATCCCAGACTAAGCCGGGGCCAAGGCTAATGCTATGTGCCTTGCATATCAACCCACAATCAAACCACCAATCCTTCCTCGCCCACCCCCGAACAAGGGTCACGCCGTGGGATAACACCCCCCCAATTCCTAAGATCATTCAACAGAGAGAAGATCAGGGCCACTGTCCAAACATCGAATCTCCTTGGCGGTGCAGAAAGAAATGTCAGATGACGAGGCCGACCCGGAACTACTTGCCTTGCTACGACAATCCCTTGGCCTGGGTGATGGCAAATTCACCGCTCCTCCCACGACCGGAGTGCTGCAATCAGCCGAGTACATCTGCAACAACTCGATCGATGTCGCCATATCGACGGCAGGGACCAAAGCCGCCGCCGAGACGATATGGCAGCTGATGCAGCGCAAGGGCTACTCGACACAGACCTGGTCGGAGCATGAACTCCACCCGCAGGCCAAAGACGAAGCCACCGTCAATTTCATCTTCACCATGAACCTGCTGAACTTCTCCTTCTGGTCCGAGTTACCACCAGAACAGCGCTTCGCAGTCGAATACAGGGATCACCGTTGGACTGGCTATTGGTCCCTGGTGGCGGCTCTACAACGCGCATTGGATGAAGGCTATGCCATCACCACCCCAGACTTCTGGCAGGACTTAGACGCCTGCCCGGACTCAACACTAGAATACATCTTCCGGTCCGCAACCGATGAACCCATCCCACTGCTCTCCGAACGCATCGCCATCCTCCGCGAGGCCGGCACGATCTTATACGAGCAATTTGGCTGCAAACCCACGAATATCATCTCACGCGCGAGCCAGTCCGCCGCAGGACTCGTAAACCTGTTGGTCTCGCACTTCCCCAACTTCCAGGATTCGACGGTCTTCCACGACAAGCCGGTCCGGCTGTACAAACGGGCACAGATTCTGGTGGCGGACCTGTGGGCGTGCTTCAACGGCACCTCATACGGGACGTTCACCGACATCGATTCCGCATTGACCATGTTTGCCGACTATCGCATCCCCCAGATGCTGCAGTCGCTCAGCTGTCTGTGGTATTCGCCGCGCTTGGAGTCGCGGATTTCGCGACGCGACGAGTTTGTCTCTGGCGAGGCCATGGAGGTCGAGATCCGGGGCTGCAGTGTCTGGTGTGTTGAACTACTCAGACGCGAGATCGAAAGGAATCATCCCGACGCCAAAGGAAAGCTGAATGCTGTGCTTATTGATTTCTTTCTTTATGACACCTGTAAGGAGATGGAGAAGAAAGGTGAAATCGAAGACGTCTTGACTCATCACCGGACCAGGTCGATATTCTACTAGATGTCTGTGGTATAGGTAGAATTCCTTTTATTTGGTGGTCAGCGTTTGGGCGGAGCTTTCCCTGGACTTGCACGTATCAGACTACAGTTTAGAAACGGATAGATTTGGAGGACGCAAGGTCCATTTTCAATTAGCCTTCTTCACGAGAGAGGCATCTCTTTATTCCATTTATGCTTCTGCAATTTTTCAACTTGCAATGTCTATGCCCATAGTCTCCAATTTGCAATGCTTTTCCAATACTGGATACTCGAAATGAGGAAGTCAACAACACAAAAACACCATGAGAGAGATCTCACTTCACCCCAGCCTCAACAGGTGTACTTGCTCCATTGGATCGCGACATGGAATATGGCACTAGCACCTTCTTTGCCTCCCAGATTCTCCATGCCAAATTCTCCACCTTGCCATCAGCCTTTACCACCTGTGGGGCAAATTCGATTCCGAACATATGACGGACGGCATAGACAACGCGCTTAGCGTACTTGCCGTCCCGTTCTACGAGACTGCCAAATGCTTGCTTTTCCGTACTGGGTGCAATGTTTGGATCTCGATCGAAGCAGTTCTGAACAACGGGAAGCAGTGTCTTGCCAATCGCCGCTCGGACGAGCTCGTCAGTATGTGGCAAAGCTGGTGTCGAGAATGAGATGCTAGGATTCAACATCTCTATCGCATCGTCACCAAAGGTTGGGATTCGAATCTCAAAAGGTAGGGAAATTGCCATCACGGTGTGCTTGCCGTCATGATGATACCGGAATTCAAAACTGCCTTGAGTCCACCACAACTTGTCGCCGGAGAAGACCATTTCGCCCGAACAGAGCTCCTTCTCAACTCCATCTTTGCTCTTGACGGTGACCCTGATATCACTACTGACAATGCCAGCTTCTGAGTTAAGTGAGTCGTAGATACCGGGATTAGTGGCAACCCAGCGACCAGAAGAGGATATTCTCGTGACTTCTCTGCTAGAATTATCAGATACCATATAGAGTCCAACCCAATCCTTCTGGCCATGATCAATAGGGGCGATCCACTTGACCGTAACAGGAGCACCGTATTCAAACAAGAGTGGCTTGAAGTCATTCGTACGCTCAGGAGGCGTTCTTGCCTGTGCGGACTCTTTGTCGCTGGACCGTTCAGAGTCGGCTAGCGCGGATGCTGGGGTTCCCGCAATCTCAAGACTATAGTCGGAGAGATTGAACCCAACTTTGTCCACGTCGGTTGTGGGAATGACCATTCGAGAGGGAACCTTGTGGAAGATCCCCTTGAAATCTTCAACAATACTTGTGACTCCTGCTGCCAACTTTGGTCTGGCGGCGTCGAGGGCATCTTCCATGATGTCAAAAGTTTCACTCAACACTTTGTCCATACCGTCCTGCCACTGCCGTAAGGGTGGAGGCAGGGATCTTCGAAGACTTCTGACTAGTCCTGCATCTTGTCGGAGGCTCCTACCATATAGTTTCTGCATATGAGGTCGCTCCACAAATTGAATGAATGCTAGACTGAGGGTGTGACTGAGAATTGCTAGGCAGAACACTGCTTTGCTACTAGTAATGAGTGCGACACCCCAGACCCCAGCTAGGCCAAGTACACGCTCGGGATTGTTCAGGAACCGGTAGATCCCTCCGTAGGTCAATTTTGGTTGCTGGTCAAAGAAGAAGTCACCAAAGAACCAGCCGAATTCTCCGAGCTGATCGTAGATACTGAAAGCGGTCCAGACTTGCAAAGCTATTAGTCCTATGCCGATAACATGTTTCAAGAGAATCATGCCATAGTCCCAGCTGGAAGGCACATTATACATCTTCCATGCAGCCGCTGCGAACGTTGAATAACAGAGGGACATTCCCAGGTGGTAGGTACCTTTCCATTGTCTCCAGGCCTCATCGGTGGGTTCGCCGTACTTGACGAAGTGTCTGGTCCACTTTTTCTTCAACGACTGCCTATTGAGCAGGTATCCCAGACCAACCGAATACCAGATCCGGCAGATGGCGGCAGCAGTGACAAAGAAGGCCTTCCAGAAGGTTGTATCCGGTGTTCCAAAGGCCAATGCGAACATTAGTCCCAAAATGATTGTCACAGAGGTATCAGTCGTGCGATAGAAATCGAAATTCTGCAATCCCAGCAGATTATGTGTCTGAGGAGGTTGTGTATGGCCAGGGATCGGTGAATTTGATGCAGATTGACCTGTTGCGGCCGAAGAATCTTGCATACCTGGGATATCAATGATCGATTTACGGGGCGGTGGAGAATTGTAGGTGCGTTCGATATGCGGGTTCTCCACGATGACCAGAAAGGCAAATTGTGCGGCATGGGCGATGATGGAGATGAACAGCACTTTGTAGCTTGCAGCCATGAGGGAAGCGCCATAATATCCAACATATCCTATCGAATACATTGGATGTGGTGCCATCTCAAATACTCCATCGAAGGTAAGTTCCTGATCGATGAGATAGAAAAAGTCACCCCAGTACCAGGCAAAGTCTTTGACTACACGGTGTGCATCCAGCTTGACCCAAAGGTTAAAGATGAAAAGAGAGACACCAATACCCCATCGCAAGAGAGTCATAAAGATTGACTCTCCTGGAGGGCTCCGCGCACTGGTAATGGCAAAGAGCATGTATGATACAAAGTCGCACATAAGAATCAGGTCCACAATACGACGGAAGACCAACCAAGTGTTGTACTCAAGTGGTGCATCGTCAAAATTGTAGTCCTTTGGAATTTTGGTTTCCAATTCGCGTTTGACGAAGGCTCTCAATTTGGGACGAGGATTCTCATCATTAGAGGCACTGGGGAACAGCTTCGACATTCGACCCCAGCGTACCAAACGATTGTGGTGAGACTGCATGTGTAAAAGCCAGCCAATGCCAATGTTGTAACCGGCTCTCCAGCACAGAAAAATTGCACCGAGTATAGGTGTCCGATAAACTGAAGGAAGGCTCCATGCAAGGATAATGTGAAGCAACAAAATGAAGAGCACCAATAAGTCGCCCAAGTTCTTCGGCTCGGACGGTGAGAGAAGCTGGGACACCATATCATGCGTATAGGGCACAGTGAAAACAGTCCCGCTGGGAGTTCGGCCAAAAGTCTTCCTATCTTTTTCATTCTTGGTTGATTTCTCCTCCAGGGCATTTAACTGAAGCACCGCCTGCCGGGCCTCGCTTTGATTAGCAGCTTGCATGGGGGCATTCCTATTGCGAAGGCCTTCGGTGGCCGACTCTTGAGGAGCCATGATGGGTGGTCGCAGTGGGTGTTGGTGTGAATTCGGTTCTTGGTTTTCGAGTCGCGTTGGGGGTTCCACGATATGAGAATGTGGGCCTCGGAAATCCTGTTGCGCGTAGTCCAGCAGGTTGATTTAGACGAATTCAAGTTCAAACAGGGAACGACATGAGCTGACTGTACTCCGTACGCACCGGTCTCATTGCCCAGGAAGGTTGAAAACCAGACAATGATCCTGCGGGTTCAGTATGGACGGACACAAGTCGCAGACATTGATGGAGGCATTGCGGTGGAAGTGAAGAACGGAATATGTTGGACTTATTACCAGCGTAACTAGCGGATTGAAGACTTCCCACGTGCCGGATTTTTGGTGACCTGGGCAAGTACCAATGCCACAGTGGAGGGAATCCATGCCAATGACGCCATACACCAAGCACCCGGCCAGAGTGGGCGCTTTGCCTACGCAGAAGTCAACGAAATGGAGAATGGGATTGGGAGGCAGTTTTCTTTCTCCCACGCCCAGCCTTTACAATGTCTTGTCGTACGCAAATGGTATCCAAAAGAGGGGTTCAAGGAAAACAAAGGAGGAGAAAGGATTGACATTGCCCTACATGGGAGTACTTGCCCTTTTACGATGTTGCCCTTTCCGTGTGCACTGTGCCTGGTCGCCCCTTCCAAATGGCCTGACACATGAACGGCGAACAGGCGCGTCCTAACTACCACCCCACCTTCCGCCAATCGGAGGGCCCTTGTAATCTACAATTACCAATTCATTTTCGCCTGTTGGTTTCTTGCACCTCGCCGTCTTCCATTTTCGCAGGTTGATCTGACCTGACCTGATCATTTTCCTTTAATCAAGATTTCATTTGCGCTTATCCATTTCGCCTGCGCTGTCTCCTTATAGATCTTTCCTGACGTCAAGTGCTGATGGCACCTTCGTTTGAAGAACCCCTCACGGAGGCTTTAGAGACCCCGCTGAAGAACAAACCTGAACTCGTTGCACCTGAGCCTGGTAAGGAACTACTACGGGAGTTCATTGAAAGTCGATCCTAACTAACATCTGTGAAGAGCATTGTCCCGGGCCTGAATCAGAGCAAGCAGGCAAAGGCGACGCCTGCGCAGGATGCCCGAATCAGGCCATTTGCGCTTCTGCGCCAAAGGGTCCGGACCCTGACATCCCCCTCATAACCGAAAGGCTGGCTGGAATAAGGCATAAGATCTTGGTCCTATCTGGAAAAGGAGGCGTTGGCAAATCAACATTTTCATCCCTGTTATCACACGCATTTGCCGCGAACCCGGATTCTACTGTTGGCATCATGGACACAGATATCTGCGGACCTTCAATACCAAAAATGATGGGCGTTGAAAGTGAGACAATACATGTGAGCAACGCAGGCTGGAGTCCCGTTTGGGTCACCGATAATCTGGGAGTCATGAGCGTACAATTCATGCTGCCAAACCGAGATGACGCAGTCATTTGGCGTGGGCCCAAGAAAAATGGCTTGATTAAACAATTCCTGAAGGATGTGGAATGGGGAGATCTCGACTATTTGATCGTCGACACCCCCCCCGGAACTTCCGACGAGCATTTGTCTGTTAATTCATTCTTGAAGGAGTCAGGTGTGGATGGTGCTGTCGTGGTGACGACTCCCCAGGAAGTGGCCTTACTGGATGTGAGGAAAGAAATCGATTTCTGCCGAAAAGCAGGCATTAGGGTTTTAGGACTTGTGGAGAATATGTCTGGTTTTGTCTGTCCCAAGTGTACCCACGAGTCTCAGATATTCCGAGCCACCACAGGAGGTGGGAAGAAGCTCTGTGAAGACATGGGTATCCCGTTCCTCGGAGCGGTTCCTCTTGACCCACGCATTGGTATGGCATGTGACTTCGGTGAAAGTTTCATGGACAGCTACCCCGATAGCCCGGCTTGCAAAGCATTACGACAGGTGGTCCGGTCTGTGGGCAAGTTGGTCGGCGAAGACCCCGATGAAGTTCTGCCTGATGGACCGATTTGAAGCAAAGCGGATACCATACTCGAAACAGACATGGACGCAGGCCATAGATACGAACTCCCACAGCGCAGAATAAAGGTGTCAAACTTTCAACGACAATGCGTTTCAACAACAAGAAACACCGGCCAATGGTCTGCGTGGAAGTGTGAAAGAGGAACTACAGACACGTCGCCCCCCATCACTGCGTATAACTGCAGGGCGAGGCGACTGCTGCCGCTCGGCTGAGGATCGCTGACCAGTCAATACCCGAACGGGACTAGAAATAGCTGAGGCTGGTCCCTAGCTTGTTCTGACAGCCGTCAACCTCTCCGCGGCGTCTGACAAGAAGAGCTGGAACCCAATGACGGCAAGGCTGGGTAGGCAGACATGACAGGAGATTGTGAACCACCTCGGCGGTAGTGCTGGGAGTAAAGGAGACGCTTGGGACGCGCAGGACGACAGAAGTTGGACTAATCCGAGGCTAACTGCATTTGGACTGGGCTCCTGACAAGACAGTAGTGCCAAGCAAAAAGGCCTCGCTGAAAAGTTGTTCCACTGGCAGTATCCGAAACCCAAACTGGAGACCTCCTGGTCCCGTTTCACGTTTCATATTCATCCCCTTTTCCAATTTGCCTCGACGTCTTGACCAGAAAAAGCTCATCAACGCATCCACATGTGCTTCAGCAGTCGTTGTGACAATGGCCCGCAACCAGTCGCCTGGCCATCCCACCTGCACGCCAGATCGACTCCATGCACTCCCGTTCTCGGCATCGACCCGTTGGTGCCATTTGAGCCCATGACTTTTGTGGAGAGCTCTTCTTTTGAGACTCACATCCATCGTTCGCTCTAGCCCTCCAAGGGACCATCGTTCTACAGAGAGAGGGGCTACGGCCCTTGATCCTGAGACGTGCAGATGGCGCAGCCTAAATAGCTTTAGCCCTATTTGCAACGAAGCCGCGTACGACTCCATGCCACCCCGTGCTTTTGGTTCATAATTCTATGTGCTCACCTCCCTCTCTTAATCGTTTGTTTTGGTTCTTTTTCTTCGTGATTCTTCAATCCTTGTTGTGCTTGAGGCTGGACTCATTCCTTCTTTGCATCCTTCATTTCTCTCGAAAACCCAAGGGCAGGCCCTTGATTGATTTGTATCTTTCCTTAAAGACCAAACCGCCTCAAGCAGCAAACAAAGCACGACATCTCAAATCTCTCTTTTACATAGAGCGCCAGATTCGCCAGACGATCTCTACTGGCAAATATGTCTCGTATTCAAACATTGTTGCTTACTTTCTTCCTCATTGCGCTTGTCTTTGCGTCGCCCATCAAACAGCAGAACAGGAAACGATCGTTCAAAATTCCCGTCAAACGAAATCCCCACTACAAACCCAATGGAAAAGCTGCGTACAAGCGAGCCTTGTACAAGTTCGGCTTGGGCGATATCAGCTTCTTACCGGAAGGCGAAGTCGCCACGAGGATAAGGGCATCATCCAATGCTTCCGTCAGCGCTATCGATAACGAGGACGGTGCGACGACCGCTTCTCCAACCCAAAATGATGCCCAGTTTCTTTCCCCAGTAAATGTTGGTGGTCAGACCTTGATCATGAACTTCGACAGTGGTTCATCCGACACGTAGGACCGCCCTTATCTTGTGACGCACCACCGGCGGGTTCTTTACTGACGTGTACTTGCAGATGGGTTTTCAACACCAACCTCCCCGATGGGTCTCAACAGGGACACACCATCTACGACCCAACGAAATCAACGACATTCCAAGACCTGCAAGGCACGTTCAACATCACCTACGGCGACTCGTCCTTCGCATCGGGGCCTGTCGGCCTGGAGACCATTGACATTGGCGGTGCCACCGTCGACGCCCAAGCCATCGGCCTACCAGATGTCGTCTCCGACTCATTCGTGACCGACTCAGCATCCAACGGGCTCGTGGGCCTGGCATTCTCCCGGCTCAACACCATCCGCCCGAACCAACAAAAGACCTTTTTTGACAACATTATGGCCGACCTCACTCTCCCGGTGTTCACCGCGCAACTGATCTCGGGGGGACTCGGATCCTACGAATTCGGCAACATCGACACCAACGCCTTTGTCGGCGACCTGACCACCGTGCCCGTGGACAGCTCGCGCGGCTTCTGGGAAATCAGCTCCGCCGCCGCGAAAGTCGGGGGTGTCACCACCAACATCCCCAACGGCCAAGCCATCGTCGACACCGGCACGTCGCTCATGTTGGTCGGCGATGAAATGCTCGTCGCGTACTGGAACACCGTCCAAGGTGCGCAGCTGAGCGAGCAAGCAGGCGGCGTCATCTTCCCCTGCAACACGGCCCTCCCCGATCTAGAGGTCGCCGTGGGAGACACCTACTTCGCAACCGTCAAGGGCGAAGGCATGAACTTCGCCGAGGTCGGCACTGACAGGACAACGGGAACCGATTTCTGTTTCGGCGGCCTGCAGTCCAACCAGGGACTCCCATTCGCTATCTACGGCGACGTCTTCTTCAAGTCCCAGTTCGTCGTCTTCGATGGCTCCGGGCCCTCCATCGGCATTGCAGAGCATTCTTAAAAGCCCGCGTTCATGCTGCTGTCTCTGTCTCTGTTGAATTTTGCATTTTGCATGGTTTGGGAGCATTACCAGAGGCCGATCATTCGTTTAATTCAGACTCGATTGTCTGTCGGCGCATTTCCTTTGGGAGAAGCACTCGCAGCCCATTTCGAACGCATCGCATCACAGCGTGGGAGTTGGAGGAGCGTCCTATCCTTGTGACCCCCATTTTCGAATAAATGGCACGCACATGACTCTTTGCATTTTTGTTGGAATGTTTTTTTGCTTTCCTTTTTGATCTATTGCGTTGCTCTTGGAGGAACCACCCCAAAAAATTCCACTTACGAATTGCCACGATTGAACGCAGAGAGTAGCATCTATCGAGAACACATGAAGGAAAAGCGGCGGACAGGAACGATATCGTGTCGGTCTCGAGCTCCAAAGCGAAGAAAGTTAAGTTGGGCCTTGGGCGAAAGCAGCCTCCATACAAAGTACAGTGATTAATATACTGTAGCGCAAACCTCGCCTGCCTGTTTGGGAGGGTAACAACTAAACAAAGATGATAGGTTGGAAAGAGGGATACATCCCTCATATCCGTCCTTCCAAAATACAATAGTAACCTCTTTCTCTTTGTGATTGCCCTCATTGAAATTGTGAAGGGATCGATCTGACCAGTGATCAATCATCCGTCGTTGGAAAATGGGTTGTCTTTTAATAGTGAGCAATATGAAGAACACACCAACTAAAGCTTCCACAATCATGCCGTCCCATGGCAAGGAGCGTCTATCCAAGCCCCTAACCAACTGAGCAACAGCGAGGACTGGCTACTGGGCCTCTGTACCCCTTATCGACGCCACGAAAGAAAAAATTCATGATTTGTGTGTTGTCAAAGACCGTCAACAACCACGACAACACCTTGACGACGCCAATGCTTCCTTATTTCTAGCCAAACGAGACTCAATTTCCGTAGATCGCCATGACCCTTTTCATCTGTTACTGACACGTAGATTCCAGGCCATAAACACAACACGTGTTGCAACCAAAGCAAAGCAAATCATTCCAAATGTCTCCTTTCCCAGTTCTTTTCCTTCATTTGTCCATTCATCAGGGTGCAGAACGCTCTCAAAATTACAAGAACCAGGAGGACAAGCCTTAAAAATGCAGATCAGGGAGAAACAAAAATTATGAATATAAACTTCCTCTCAACGGGACGTCGAGAACTTTGTCGGAGAAACAACAGTGCCCGATCCCCCTGTTGAGGTCTTCTGAGTCCGAGTCCCTGGAGTTCACGACGCCACGGATGCCCAAGTCTCCAGTCTTGCTGGGCGTAGGAATGGCACCCCAGCTCAGCGGGCGCAGGACGGCTTCATCGCGCTCGGCTTGTGTATATCCGGGGATGTGGCAAGCGGCAGACAGCGCCAGTGAATTGCTTCCGATCAGAGGCATTCCGAAGGGGAGTTTCCGCAGCGACATAACCAGTAGGAAGACCAAAAGGATGAAGCCTAGAAATAAGAGGAACAGCATAGCCAATGGGCTGTACGCCACCGTTGTGATTTCATCCTGCATCGGCACCAGCCCGTCGCGCGGGATGATGGTGATGTTTGCGAGGAAGATACTCTGGGAGACCAGCCAATGCATCAGGCCTGACCCTACCAGAAGCGGGATACCATATTTATAGGGGAGATTGAGGAAATATGTGCATTTTTGCTCACCCTTGGCGTCACTGACGCGCAGGTATTTCCGCCCACGGCCAGTCGTTACGCTGAACGTCATCAGCTCGCGTGAGAGGAACATAATGGTGAACAGGCTATTGTAACAGACGTAGAGGAATGAAAATAGCGCTTGTGGGGTATTGGCGATTAGTGTGCTGATGGCAATCGAGGTATTGCCGTATCCAGGGAGATTCCACCCCATGACGAGATTTTGAGGTTTAACAGTCCCGAGGCCAATGGCCCAGGCGTTTCCAATCGTCTTGTCGCCTTTGAAGCTATCGATGCCGAGAGCGAGACAAACAGAGGTACCGACGCCGGCAATTCCGAAGAGCGTTAACAGGAAACTCCATTGCTTCCAAGTCGCAGCTTCGTAGAAGCGGTGTGCACTTGGTTCGTAACGCATCGATGTTACAGTGTAGCCTAGTTTGGTGGAGGCGATAACACTTCCATGGCTCGCCAGACACATGCCTTCACTTGTGCGATCGGGATGGCGAATGAACGATTCGACGGCATCGCCCACTGTAACGAGAGGCGCTTCACCCAGTCGAAAAGCCACGTAGGCGATACCCAGGACTTTCAAAACGTTGAAGCCCAGAACCACAGCCATCAGGATCAGAGAGAAATGCAAATGACATTCTGACTCGACCAGCTCGGAGAGGCAGTAATCCACTTGATACCCTCCGGATTCCCACTGATCAGCCATCTCTTGCAGCTTCGAGGTCATCTTTGAACATGGGATGAAGCCAAACTCGTTGGGACAGCAGGCCCCAGTTTGGTTCACAAGGTCAGGGCTGTCGCAAATCCATTCAAATGCGTTGTACTCGGCCGTTATTTTTTCCGGAAACTCATTGACTGTTCTCTTTAAAAGCGACCCGTTATCCGTTGGGGCATTCTTCACAACGACCAGGATATTCCGGCGATCTTCAACAAAATCCTTGGCATAAAGATCAATACAATCCTTGTTGGTTAGCCTTTCAAACTCATTGGCTCGACTCTGAATATCAGTTACGTTGCATTCGGCGTTGTCGGGAAAGAGTTGCCTGTCATATGCAGCACCACTGACAAAGTCATCGTCGATGTAAAGCACGTTGTAGTTGTTGGTCGCAAGCGCCGAGTAAAACACCGAGTTATATCTGGTGGATGTCAGTAATGATGGTGAACAGGGGGTGTCTTGGTGAAAGGACGCACACCAGATGTAGAGGGATTGAGGAAATTCCAAGAATCCACCATAAAATGGCCTTCTTCCGTCGCAGAGAGGTGAGGTTTCGGATACTGGGGATGCCAATATCAAGCCATTTTCGTTTGGCATGTGCTCGGTCGACTTCGCTTCGGCTTGGGGATGACAGCAATTGCATGCAATAGTTTGAGCTTGCCAGTAGGACGGTGGCGACGATGTTGAGGGCCAGATGGACCCAGGTGTCTTTGGTCTCAGTTGCCTTACAACTACCCCAGTACACCATGTAAACGCCGTCCATCATGTTGTGACCAGCGGCTACAATGCCCACTGTCATGGCAACATTTGCGACGAGCACCAGGGTGGCGCAGGACAGTGCGATCTTGGAACTGGCTTGCCATCCTCTCCCAAACCATCTCTTCTTCTGCGCAGGCTGTCCAGGAGCCGATAAAAACGGGGTGGGAGTGGTGGCTAGAGGGTCCGGTGTGTATGCGGTTGCACTGTTGAGGTCGGGACTGAAAAAGCTTCCACTCTGTTGACTCGACAGCGGTCCTCGTCCAGTGCTCGGCAGCGGAGTGAGTTGCAAGTCATCCCGAGAGGATAGGCCTTGGTATGACTGTTTGAACGGAGGCCAGAGAGGGATGTTTCTCCTAAGGTGCACAGAGTAAAGGGTCAGTCAAATTGACAATCGCGACGTCGTACGTGCCAGTGGGGAGGGGGAATGAGAGGTGAGCGGTGCAGGTTGGAGGGTGCACTTGAGTGACTCGTACCGCTTCGCATTTGATTCCATCGCGACTTCTCTGTCACCTCATGGGGCCACCAACTCAAACCAAGGAAAATCACCAGCAACAGTAAAAGATCACGAAAATGGATCGAGTTTGGAATTGAAAATGAGAATGACACTGAAACCGAATCCGAAAATGAAAATGAAAATGAAAATGAAAAACGAGTACAGTAAGAAGTTGGCAAGTAAACTCACCTTACTGTAGGCATGTAGTACTATGTAGTAGGGAGCTGATGGCAGTCCGTTTGACGGGTCTCTTTGGTTTGTAGTCCTCGGTCTATCTCGTACTCATAAGCTTCTCCGCAGTAACAATACTACTCAGAACCGACTGTCTTTGGTCCAGGCTTGATGTGCGCGCGCTCCTGCTCGGTACTAACTAACTCATCACTCGTAGGTGACCAAGGCATTTGGGTTCAGCAGCGTGGGCGTTTTTCGCACTTCCAACTTCCCAAGATAGAACTTACGGACTACCGGGGGGGGGGGGGGGGTTGGTAAGCACGGGTGCAACTCGGTTGGCCAACGCCTGGCTAGCTGCAATGCCCTCGACTCCACTCGAACAGCCCAGCTGGGCTCGTCTGGCCCTGGCCAACGGAGCCTACCTGCCCGAGGTTGCTCCTTCATGTCCGGGCTGGGCTGGTGTTGCCGAAGTGGAAGGTCTTCGTGTTGGCAAGTATCACTATTGGGACTGTTTAGGCTGGCTGAACAAGCCTCGCCTGGCCTCGGGTCTTCAACCATCATCTGCATTCCGACGCCGAAACTGCGATGCCCAACTGTCCATCGCGTGCTCAGCAACGGAGCACACTTCTGCGCGAACTCTGGGCATCTGATTGTCTTTCTGGTCATATTCATGTCTCCACCGAGTCGGTTGGGGATAGTCCATGTCATAGATTGACCTCAGGGAACGGGTTTTCACCGACCATCAGAAAATGAACTGTCTCAAAACATCTCAGATTCACCAATCAAGACGGGAGAAGCGGTGAAGTCTGGAGCGCGCGTTCAAATGGAATGGTGACAATCCGAAGTGCCTGTGTAAGAGTCATACCTAGACCTATGGCCCCGGTGAATGATAATGAAAAGTCGTTGCCATGAGCGGATAGAGAACAAAAAACGGACCCTGTCCTGCATCATGGCTTGTCGGTGGCCGAAGCACGCCTTGACCCCTTTTGGGGACTCTAGCCTTTGAAGATCTGGGCTGAGTTGTGGAGGTGGCCCCAGCTTTTCTGCTGACACTCGCTCCCATTCAAACCCAACAGTGCCTACAGCCCAAATGGTAAGTGGCAACCGGTCGCGGGCCTTACGTAGGTACCACTGCCAACTAAGCCTTCCTTGCAGGCCGAAATGTATGGAGCATGCATGACCGTTGCTGTGCTCGTTCAGTAAAGTGGCGCTGGGTCTGTAGCGAATACCGAGCACCAGGTACGGAGCATGTTCCACCTTCTATAGACCGAATACGAACGAGAAACCAGGTATTTGATGCGCAGCTTGCTCTCTTCAACGAGGTTCTTTGTACGATGTAGAACGAGGGTGCATACCTAGGTCGGTATGTATTCTGGGGCGTCAATATCTCATTTCAAAATCAACCATGAATACGCAATATTATTTTTGTCTCCAACCGTAGGGCCAACGAATCTATCAATCTACCAAGATCAAAGTCAATCAAAACTAGACAGCAGTTTTTAAGGAGGCTTTTTCCGTCTCGACCTGCCTGGTAATGAGGTCCCGAATGCCCCCCAGCCCTTCCTCACTCGATACCTTCAACACCCTTCGTTCCTGGGCGTCCAGCCCAACAAATTCTTCAGGTAGTACTGTCTTGAAGTCAAATTCCTTTTCTTCCTTCAACGCCAATTCCACCGCCCCTGCAAATTTGGCAGGATGTGCTGTTGCAAGTGAGATAGTCGGCACATCACTTGCTCCTGTCGTTGTGATTTCACGCAAACTCGCCGCCACTCCAATAGCCGAGTGAGGATCCAGAACATACTTATTCTTAGAAATGAGTTGGCCCTGATAGCTTCCTCTTATTGTCTCCAATGTCTCTGCGTTGCTGACTCGGTGCGTACTGAAGATCTCCCTCGCCTTGTCCAGAACATCCGGTTCAACGGTGAAGGATCCTGTCTGTTTCAATGACTGAAACAAGTCGTGGAGCTTGTGACCTGCTGCGCGAACCGACATTTCGAATCTATTCTGAGGGTTCCTCTCCAACTCATTCTCCAGCGTCAAATGCCACAAAAGTCGCTCGAAGTTGGACGAGACAAGGATGTCCATCGCGGGACTGAATGTCTCCTTGACCCCCGCTTCATGTGCTTGGGCTCCGTCCTCCTTGAGTCCTTCGTGAGCTTCCCTAGCCGGTGTCTCCTTTTTCGAATAAGACCCAGTCTGCCAGAACCGATGCAAGATATCATTTTCATTCGTCGCAATTACAAGCTTTGACGCCGGAAGACCCATCCGTTTTGCATAGTACCCTGCAAGTATATCACCAAAGTTGCCAGTTGGGACAACAAATTTGACTTGCTGGAGCTCTGGCCTTTGCTTCAGGAGTTGGAAATAAGCATAGAAGTAATATGTAATCTGGGCTAAGATTCGAGCCCAGTTGATCGAGTTCACCGCAGCAAGATGGTGGATCTTGTTCATTTCTGGATCAGCGAACAGTGCTTTCACATAGTCCTGGCAGTCGTCAAAAGTCCCTTGGACGGCAATACAATGCACATTCTGATCCAAAACGGTGGTCATTTGCGCTTCTTGAACGGGCGACACCTTGCCGTCTGGAAACGTGATGAAGATACTCACATCCTTCTTTCCCCGAAGGCCGTAGATTGCTGCAGATCCCGTGTCACCAGATGTCGCTCCGATCACTGTGAGATGGTGCCTCGGCTGTCCCTGCTCAAGTTTTTGATTTTTTCGCACTAGGAAAAACTCGAAGAGATTTCCCAGAAACTGTAGAGCAACATCCTTGAAGGCGAAGGTTGGCCCATGGAAGAGTTCCAAAAGATGAAGGTCATTCTTCTTGTCAAGCGTGACAAGAGGCACGGTATCAGGATGCCTGAAAGTGGAGTAACTCCGGTCGACAATGGAGCGAAGCTCGTCGTCAGAGATTTCGTGCTCGTTGACATATAGCCTGATGACTTGATATGCGAGCTCTGCGAACGATAGATCCTTCCATTCCTGATACCTTGAGCGAACACTGGGCACCTCATGCGGATGGAACAGTCCGCCATCGGAGGCTAGTCCTTTAAGCACCACCTCCTCAAAACTGAAAAATTCTTGTAGGCTCGCGTCATGGTAGCGAGTGCTAGAATACTTCGAATTATTGGACGCCATATTGGCGGTGGTTGTGGAGCTAAATTTCCCAGAACGAGTCCTTTCCGATTCCAAAGACGCGAATTCTTCGGGAGTCCTGGAGTCCACTTGCTCCCAGGTTCCGCTACAAAAAGTACCAGTCAGAATAATAGAGACGAACCGTCAGGAATCCAACCGTTCAGTTTCTAGAAAAAGGGCATAGCTCGATACAAAATTCGAGTCACGAACCCCAATGATTATATGCCAAGTGCCAAGCGACTAGCCCTCAATGGTATTAGTGGGATCAATAGCCCACAGGCAACGAGGCTACGAAACAAGGATGACGGTGTCGCAACCGATCCAGCCTTTTCCAACTCGGGCGCCATATGCAACGGTTACACGACTTATCAACTGTGTGGCGCGCCTTTGTCGATCTGCGATAACAGGTTGATAGGGACAAAACCGTAGTGATAAGGTATCAATGTAGTAGTGGGCACACACGGAAGCAGAGAGGCTGTGCCGCTATTAGTTGACATCCAGTTCGGCAGACAAACAGGAGCTCAAGAAACCGATGTAGGCCAACTCAACAGTAATGAGACATTCGATGCCTTCTACTGTAAGGCAGCCTCTTGCAGGAGAAATGCCCCCGCTTTCTGTGACAGATTGTCGTCAGAAAACTCTGGGAAGGCCCAAAGGCGACTTCCCAGAACCAGTTCAATCCGCCATTCCCATTAAGCCATCACAGCATTCACACCGAGCTGATCATCTGGAGTTCAATCCTAACCAACCACATCAGTGCCACCACTCTCTTCACTGGCTACCCTAATCTTTCGCGCGCGAGCGAGGGTTCAGATACACTGGTCGTTCGACGAGCCAAGGAACATCCGACCACACCCATGACTAGTACCTGGGGAAGCAAGAACCCCCGAATGTGAGAGAAATACCCTTCTCTTTAAGAGAAGACGCACAGGTGTCGCTGTCAATCGTGAGCCACTTGAAGGCGAAGTTGCAATGAAACCAAAAAAACTCATGGTTAAGAGGCGCTCCTAGTTTGGGTCGTAGCAAGAATTAAACCTGAATGCTGTTGTTCTCCTCCGAAGGGGTTTATTCGTAGAGATCAGAAAACGTGTTTGATGGGCGTACTGCTGTACATAGGATGTTCGGTGCAGCTCGTCGCTCTAGACAGAACTCATATGATAGTAGTCCCTATCTTCAACAGAATTGCGCCATTCACTATGTGAAGCGGAAGCTGCCTAGGTTAGGTGTTCAACAATAGTTGACAGTGTGATGTATGTAGCCTGGTCAATAAGATCAGTCGGGGTTGGGATCAGCTTCATACACAAAGTCAGCAACAATGCCAAGACTGATTGCCAGCAAAAATTCTTTGCACTCACTGCTAGCGCCTTGGCGAAACTGAGGTTCTCGACGAGTATATATTCCGCAGCCCGACCACTCTCTCTTCATTTTTTCTTTCTTCAAGACACATACTTGTACGCACCACCCCCCCCCCTGCATTTTGACACTGCAATACTGACTACTGGAACAGCAAAGAATCTCTTTTTAGTAAACGTCCTTCATTGAGTTGCTTACAGCAGCCACAATGACCTCACCCTGGTTGATGATATGTGCCCCTCGGTACCCTAGAAGTGAAGCCTTATGTTTACTCTCGCCAGCTTCCGGGTTTCTCCTCTGGAGACTCCAGTGAACAAGAGAGTGGTGATGATCTTTGACGTGCGTTTGAGGTCCTGGCTTCGTGCCGCTCAACGTGCGAGGTACCGAGGGCCTTTCTGACAGGCCACAAACTTTTCATGAACTTTCGGGAACCCTTGTTGGTTGGAGTTTGAGAAGAGTCATCTCAAGACGGTACGACATGGCATGAAGTCTGAGTACACACCATTACTGCTGCTGCATGTTCCTCGGGGACGCACGGCGAGATATCCAGGCGTCAGCTGGCGCGAAGATCTACATCAGTAACAAGGGAGAAAAAGTTCGAGGCGGTCAGGGCTCCAGGACAAAAGGTTTCTACTATTGAATCCAGATGGTGTTAGACAGGCGCAGGCTAAAAGATCGAACGTCCCCTGGCGCAGCGTAGAGCTTCTTCTAGAGTAACGCTCCGACCTTGAGAACATTCGTTGATTCAATGGATATGCAGTACCAGACCGCAAGCAGTGGGCTCTGAGCCTTGAAGTCACAACACAACCCGCCAGCCTACGGACACCGCCTTGATTTGGGGGGCGCAGGCGGAGACCCACGACAGTTCAATACCACACAGCACTGTCGCGGTCGCTGTCACTGTTGAACACTACGTCCCTCGGTGTCCATCCTATCGAGGCTTGTTTCGTCTGAATGAGTGCCAAAGAATACAACGGACCCAAGAAAATCCTGCGCTGCGCAGGAACAACACTCCACCGACGTAGTCGGCTGGTTGCCATGGATTTTCTGAGGGAGGAAGCAAGCTATCATCGTCCAACAAGAAGGCATTGATTTCGAGCTAACACGACAGACTAGCTAGTTGTCTCAAAACTGAATCTCGCCCTTCGCAGCATTGCCCTCATCATTCTTCCGCAGGTCCTGGGCAACCGTGACCTTATTTTCCTTGGGCCGACCCTTCCTATCCACGCGTTCGTCTCTGGGATCGAAGCCGCCATTTCCCCAAAGAGCCCACTCTGGCGTTTCCGCACAGTAGTCCTCGGGCCCAAAGTCCGCTCCACTATCCAGCAATGTAAAAAACTTTTCATAATCGATGATCGTATTCCACCTCTGATTGATGCGGAAGCGCTTACTGGCGAGCAGGGCGCAGCAGCTGTGTGCATGCTCGGCCGCAATTCCATATTCCAGGCCGCGATTCGCGAGGGCCCTGTCCAGTGCCTCGACGAATGCCACGACCTCTTCGTAGAAGGGGATGTTCTGCATTGTGAGAGACGACGCCGGGCCCGTGAACGTGGCTCCCTTGATCTCGATGAAGCATGGGAGGCCTTTTGCAACGAGGTCGGCGTAGCCTTCGACCTCGTCGTCAATGTTGAAGCCCTTGACCAAGGTCAGACGGAATACGGTCCGTTGCACGAACCTCTTCTCCCGGAGGATATCGAGACAGGTCTGAAATCTCTCCCAGAAGTCTCGGTGCAGCGGCCGGTCGATCTTGCGAAGGCTGTCCCTGTTGCTGGCATCGATACTCACATATAGCTGCGTGACGCGAGTAAGCTCTCGCAGCTGCTGCGGATGCTGAGCGTTGCAGACGAGGAAGCTGGAGATGTGTTCACTGTGGAGAAGGCCCACGAAGTCGTTGATGCGAGGGTAGAATATCGGTTCACCTACGAGACTGAGCGCGCAGTGCCGGATGCGCATCGCCTCCTCAAACCGGTCGCTCCGCACACCTGGAACGCCTCGCATCATCTTGATCTTCTTGTAGTGGCCTTCCTTTGCACCGTCGAAGATCATTTGCGGATCGTCAACTTCCCATCTCCAGGTGGTAGAAACCGGGTTGGTCCCGTGCCGCCAGCAGAAGACACATTTGTTACTGCATGAGAGTGAGGGCGTGGTTTCCATGCACAAGTGTGAGGCTATGCCGTAGAACGAATTCTTGTAGCATGAGCCACGCCCACGAAGTGCAGATTTTGTCCACCGGCAGATTTTCACCCCAGAATGCGATCCCACAATTGTATAGCCTTGCTTGGTCAATGCAGCGTATGTGGGCGATTCTTTGGGTACCATGGCTTTCAGGGGTACTGCAGCATTTTGGTTGGTTGGTGAAGAGTAAGTTGTAAAATCAACAGCCAACGGCAAACCACCAGTGCCACCGAGGTCCTCCAGATCGGTCGTTTTTGCAAGTTTGCGTCTTTTGTTTCGCCCGGAATCAGGGAAGTCGACCTCAGTGTCGTCCTCCAGCACTTCCTCCTCATCCTCGCTTTCGACGGCCTCCCCACTGCCAGGGACGCCATCCCCGAGAGAGCCGGTCGACGACAGCTCTTCAAGGACGCTGGAGACGCCATTGACCCAGTCATCCAAGGCTTGCTTGACATTGCTCTTCACATCTCCGAGACCGAGAGGATACGCCCTCTTCCTACCTGTCAGTTTCGCCATCCATCTGTCAACCTCCAGTGCCTGTGAGCAGAATCCTTTCTCTTCACTCGTCCAACCTTCCTTATCTCCAATACCAAACACACTGTATCCCGCCAGGACCGACAAAGATGAAGCATCGATCCGGAAATCATTATGGGTCTCGTCAAGATGGGAGAGGAAAGTGTTTAGGATTGTGTCAATGTCGTAAGAGGGTATGAGGAGCAGGTAGAAAAAGCGAGTGCTTGGGCGAAGAGGGTGCGTTGAAGACTTAGGTCCTGAGATGAAATAGTCATCAAGGTCAATATATGAAAGGTCATGTATTTCTGGTTTGAGGACAGCAGGCGTCTGAGTCGAGAGACTCTCAAGCCTACTCGATACCTCCTTGGAAAGCTGTTCAGTGGTACCCGTCAGAGAAGAGAAGAATATCAAAGGTTGAATCGATGGCGCTTCTGATTGTGCCGGCACTGTCTTTCCTGTCCCGGTTGCAGCTGGCTTTCGTCCAGTCACCACCCGAGCCGCCGCACGAGGCTTCCCTTTCTGGCTCGAGTTCGCCGAACGAAGATTGTATTGTTGGGCACTACCATGAGATATTAGCTGTGTCAGACTCTTGGTCTGAGTCTCAGCGCCAGCCTTGGGAAGCCAGTCAGTCTTCGCAGTCAGCGGCGGAGAGGTCGGCTGTGTAACTCGGACGCCTTGCCTGCGGCGCACAAAGAACGCGAGGAGGCCAACAGCGAGAATGAATGATGACACCACGACGCGGTGATCATGCCAGATGGTCAAACCTCGATCCATCCAATCTACAAGAATGACCGGCATCGCGCCGCCTTCGCCTATGTCCATGGCTGTTTTCGCTTGCGCATCTGCAGGAACAAGTTTAGATCACAGTCGAGATTCTCACATACACAAACTGAGTGGCAAGCGGGGAAATTTTTATTGTGCGGAGCACTCATTTCATCAGACGCCATTTCCACCAAGGCACAAATAAACCAGGTTGACAAGACAGAACTCGCTTTTGGAAACATTTCGCGCTCGCTAAGTCGAGCTACTTCAGTCATCATGGATTGATGCTATCTTTTCTATCTATAAGCTACCAAACTCGTTAATCAAATGGCCTCTCGGGGTATATTCGCGAGAAGTTATGCCTCCCAATGTATGGCCTCCCAAAAAACACCTTGGTTGAGCAAAATATGCTGGTGATTAGGCCCGTCAGCAAGCTCATGCAAATGCTTCCACCAGCGCTTCGCACATGATGGTGATCCCTCTTCTGCCTGCCTCAAGAACCCCATCCATGCCAATGAACGGATGGGGCATGCCTTGCATGACAAAAAGATCCGCCCTAACGCCATTGTCTTTTAGTTTCCTTGCATAGTTCTCCCCGTCGCTTCTCAGCACGTCCAACTCGGCCACGATGATGACGGCCGGCGGAAGGGACGCAAACACTTCGTCCGACGCGAGAAGGGGAGAAGCCTCCCTATGCGACCAATCCACTTGTCTGGGCAGATAGTGGTGTCGGTACCACAACATCTTGTTCGCGGGTAGGCCTGCTGTAAACTCGAATTCTTTCCAGGTTGGATTTGTCAAAGGTGTCGCAGTGTTATCTGTAATTGGTACCACGAGGACCTGTGAACGGATCGTCAAGCCCGGTTGAGGGTTCAGCGAGGCTTTCTGCACTATCACGGCAGCGATGTTCGATCCTGCTGATGCACCACTGATTGCGACTTTACCGAGATCCAGGTTGAGAATCTCGGCTCCTTCCGAAGTTGCCCACAGGAAGGACTCCCATGAATCGTGGATCGCAGCGGGCCAGACATTTTCCGGGGCAAGTCTGTGGGATGCACTCAGATCAGAAAGTCTGCTCAGCTCAACGTGTGAAGGAATATGTGTTTGCTTTTCAATATACCCAGGGAATCTTGAAACCTTGGAACCAGTGCAAGAGGCAGTGTGGGTAGAAATGAAGCTAACCTGTAGTCAGTTGTGATTACAACGGCATTTGCCCGGATACACATATTTGTGCAGATGGTATTTTCTGAAGTAATATCTCCAAACACCCAACCTCCGCCATGATGGTAGATCACGAGCGGCCAGCCTAATCTGGGCGGGGTTCCCGGTGGGGTGAAACAGCGAATCCAGATATCGGGCCCAAAGGTCTTGCGTCGTTGAATTGAGATGTCCTGGGTATTGCCAACGCAGAGGGGCTTACTGTGGCAAACAATATACTGGCCTCCACCCCTGCCCACCGCGAGAGGCAAATGATGGACGGGAGGGTTGTTTATGAGGTACTTGTTGTAGAAGTCAACGTATTCCTTGTGGAGGCTGTCCTTTACACTGGGGTGAAGCGAATATGGAGGATGGTGTATCTGGGCGACCATTTTGACACAGACAGGTCGTAGTCTGTGCCGTGAAGTCGAGAAGGGAGGCCAGAGGCATTGAAGGCAAAACGGGGTATTGTCGATGTTCAAATACGGTGGCGGAGAGTGTTCCACAGCTCTGATGGCAGAGGCTTGATCGATGGTGATGGGTCAAGCCCACGGCTGTCAGGCGAGCAGGGTTTCGGTTGACAGTAGCCTCGACCCGGCTTGAACATGGCTCCGCAGCAGGGATTCAGGGTACAAGCTTCTCTCCAGAGGCATTGTCAAATCGGTGGCGCTCATCTCCGGAACGAGAAGCAATCATTGGTAACCTGTGACTTGATGGAAGCGCATTATCAAGGTCCAGGTCGAAGGTGTGATCACTGCACGTTCTGCAACCCAGCACCACAGCTTCCCGTACGGTGCTGTGCATTGAACACCCCGAGAACACTGCATCACGCTACGCCATACCAGTACATGGTACCAGAGCTGCCATGCTACCGTGGCTAGCCGTTTAGTCGCGACCTAGGAGGTACGGAGTACGGAGGTTGGGTAGAACCTTCGAAGTGACCCAGTAGATAGAAGCACCAAGTCGGTCAAATGAACAATTGGTCGACAAGCTGTACCGAAGAGCTCACTAGGTACTCTCCGTCCAGAGGACTACTGTAAGAAGAGGTAGCGGACCAATTCTCATGTCGATGGCACCCATACTAGGCCTTGCCGAGCCAGTAGAAGGCTGAAGCGAGGCGTCTTTGCTGGCCAGCGGTTGCTCTTGGTCAATCGGAGAATAAACCACTCCAGTGGGATCGACCAGGGGACGGAAGGGCGCTCTCCAACGAAAGAAGTGCACATCAATGGCAAGGGATCCACCAAAGACCCAAGCGAGGTCGAGACTCGAGAAGTGAAAAGCCGATGGGCAGCAGATACGATCGTTACATTCATTCGTCATCCGTCCTCCCAGCTGAGGACCAGCAAGAGTTGGGAAACACCACCCCAATTTTCCAGTCACAAGAATCGTCATCATCAGCCCTCGACGTACGAGTACTCTGTACTAGTAATGTATGTACCGAGCCAGTACTGCCGTTAGTACTATGTATCTTTCATGACAGGTTGTAACATGCTATCAGTAGTACATTACATAGTAGTACATAGTACGTACAGAGTTGGGGGGTTGGACTGACCAAGCCACTGGGTCGGTGAGGAAGATCTCGGCAACCTTGTCCCACCACCGCCGCCTTCGCCATCACCACCACCCCCAATTGCATCTATGAAGATCACTAAGTCACTACTTAGTAACTAGTACATCGATGGTATCCGCCGTTAGCCTGGCCCAGAGGATGTAGCTCGACGATAGCATCCAAGGACCAACCCAAGAGTGTGCACAAGTCGTTCGTTCCAGCGTGTCGGTTTCCCCCCAGCCCGAAATCGTGATCGGAACCGGATAGCTCTCGATTTGTACACGTACCAAGCACCGAAGCCATTACATACACATGGTAGTCCTGGACAAGTGCGCAAGCCAAGGAGTTTGAGACCTGACGAAATGACGAAACGACACCAAGGGATGGGCACTACTGATCTGACTCCAGACTATGATCGGTCAGTCTCAAGTAAGTTCAAACTCTTTATTAAGTGGCTGTTTTCACAGAATTCGGATATTGGTGTGTTTGTTCGGATGTCGGCGCCACATACATGATGTATACTACTATGCCCACCCCCTATGTCAGGAATGGTTGGCCTGACTAGCATGGCTCTAGTCCTTTTGAGTGATGCTCAAGGGCTTACGGACCTACCGCCTGGAATTATCTCGCACGAGAGTCTGAGTGCGAACTATAAGTCCTCGACGTCGGCCGAACACTAGGTACGAGAGTCATACTCGTTACGCTGAGTGCACGCGGGACGTATAGTGACTCCGTGGTTAGTACTAGTATAACTCGCGGTAGCACTGCGGATACTTATACTAGTAGTACATAGTAGTATGCGGGCTGATTGTGACTGACTCTCTTGTTAGTACTTTCCTATGCAGTATGAACTATGTAGTGCATCCATACTTTGTAGTACTAAGTACTTTACTTGCTGATCTGACTCTCTAGAGCATGCATGGTACGGTGAGCTACTGTTACTTCGAGACATTTCTCAACGTCCAGTCCATGTCTACTGATTTCTATGATCTCGTTGCTTGTCGGCTCCGATATCGTTCAATTGTTTGGGCGGTGAGGTGTTGACTCTAGGCTCCTTCCTTGGTCCTGGGCCATGATTGACGCCTGGAATCTCGATACATACTAGTAATGTACATGTACTCGAGCTATGATGGAGCAGTGCTCATTCAAGGCCCGTTGCATCCTATGGCCGGGCCATCATGGGTTCTTTGTTCTCATCAAGCACATTCATCCACTAGCATTATTTGGTGGATGACCCTGAATCTCAACATGTGCTAGAGTCTTCGGGGTGGCAATTATACAAATGTTACTTTAAGACAATGTACCATATATATAGACCACATACTAGTATACTAAGTAGTATGTACTTGTGAGTCTAGGGAGCCTCGATTTATATACAGTTATATACATACAGTATATGGCACTGGAAGTATATATATTCTATATACTACTATGAATTATATATTAGTATGTATGTATATATACTAAGTACTTACAACATATACTTAATATATAGTACAACGTAATCTCAGTTCAGAGTCTACACTAATCCTAATTAGATAATATCGTGGCACGTTTTACTTTTCTTAGCAATCCAATTAAGTACTATTAACAACTTACTAAATGCCAATACTATGTATGTACTAGCTATATATATACTGTAGTTAGAGTACACATTTACAGCTGTTCCTGAGCCTCATTACCTTCAATATCCCGCAGGACCCAGTTGACCGGAGAGCCTCGACTTTCTGATCCAATGCCCTTCCCGCCTTGATTAATTCGACGCACTTTCGTAGCCTGCTATTAGGCCAACAGGTCTAAAGTGAACCTGGTTACCTTCGCGCTTCCATCCACCTCTTCGGAGAGCAAAAGCTCCACGGGAACGGATAACCCTGCGTCCAGATCATGCCTGAGTATTGTCTGGGCAACAAAAGGATTGCCCAGTATAAATCTGATGCTACGCACATTTCTGGGTCTAATATCGTAGCCGGTCACCCTTGTGATATCGGGTAATAGGCTTTTAGCCATGTACCATGGTCGAACTCGGTGAAGTGCATAAACTCGTGCGGCCCAATGCGTGATTCGGTGTGTATTTGGCAAACGCTTCTTGGGTGGGAAACACCGGTGGCTTTGAGGGTCCAACGTCGGTTAGTTGGTGGACTTTGCGGCTTAACCTGGATGGTTGAGCGAAGGCGAGATTCAGCTAGTAAAAATGGAATGCTGGACCGGTATGTCGCTCGCGGGATGGTAATGAGCTGGGTCTCGACTGTTGGAGACATTGCGACTGCGTGTGCTTTGGTGATGTCTGAGCTGTACAGTATGTAATCTGTCGTCGAGCTTGAAGGTCGACGTTGAAGATGCGGAATGATATTATGTATTTTGGTCCTATATATAGTACTAGTAGTACTGACCTTGCACAGCCAAAGCGAAGGCGAGAAATTACTGTTCATACATATATATGTGCTGAATTCAGTGAGGAACATTGGATCCGTAAAGTCAGAGGTTTGACGTCTGGTACTGCTTACCCACTGTTCGATGCAATATTTAATGAGTGCCCGATGACTTGCGGGAGTCCTGGTCTTTTTGCTATGTGACAAAAAACCCTGCTTGAATGCTTCGTGCGTATCGACAAACCCAGAAATGTAGAACATACGGTTGGGTGCGAGGCAACTGTTCCTGAGAAGTCGATAGAAACACATGAATACATACATAGTATCTAGCAGTAATTCGTTTGCGTGATTAAGTAGTCGGTCAATCGGTGATTATATTCAGGAGAAGCAGCCTTCCTCGTTTGGTGCCTCGGCTTCCGCTGACTTGCGGCAAAGCTGGAACGAACACTTTACAAGATCGATTTTGCGAAGGAATGGAACGTCTTGCACGTCACATGCTCCCCCTTGTTGACTTCTTGTGATTCACGTGGATTTCGCTTTTGTGGCGACAACAGAACTTATTCTGAGAGCGGCAGAAGTGAATCATAATAGGTGCCTTTGATATGGTCTGGCCGGGTGATTTCCATAGAGCAAGTCAGGCTATGACGCGGTCTGCCGCTCGAAGACCATCCGTTGCCTGGGAAGAGGCGGCAAGAAGGTACAGACAGGTACGAAGAGAAGGAAAGTGCCACTACTTCTAGATACGAAGTACTAGTATGTAATCTCTCTTATTTAGATCAGTATTATGTGCTGGCTCTTTTACACCAGCAACTTGAACTTTGTTAGACAGGACGTCGTCATCAAATTCCTCACCACGAGCCATGTAATTAATGCACTACGTTGTCTGCTTAGGCCTAGAGACATAGCTAGTCACCTGACGACTAAGTACTATGTACTCAATACTCAGGGCATCTTCGAAGCCTCCTTCTCTTTGGACGCCTCAGTCGAGGCTTCATCCTTAGATCCGATTTCATTCACAGAGACCATCCTCAAAGGGCTGGGAGGATGCGGATGAGAAGCTGAGGCTTTGGATGATCCTGGTTTACGAGCAGCGCTCGTATCAAGTGGATGAAGCCGAGCCCTCCGCAGGACCTCCTCTCTAAGTGGTTTCGCTGGACGTGCAAGTTCACTCGGCTGAGGAGTATCTGATAGAGGAGAAAATTCATCGATAAGCTCCGGGTCATCGTCGCCGAAGGAGGTTTTCCGTACCCCTGGGGCGGTGTGTCGAGCACCGGACTCTCGCGGTGATGATGGTGGTGCGGGTTTTGCCAGCGTGGCGGCAGCGCAGGTTAAGTTACCGCGGTTGCCCACTTCTCTGTTTGGAGAGATACTCTGGTTAGAGACCCTGCTGTTGGCTCTTGACTTGTCTTTGTATACTTGATCGATCAGTACTTTGTCCACTGTACCAATTCCAGTGCCGCTGGTGGTGGTCGTCGATTCTCTCAGTATCTGGAAAAGCCAGCTGTTGCGATTCTCACTGCCTGGTGTTTTCAATATTACTGTGCTTCTTCGATTGTTGCGACCGCTGTCGCCAGAAGCATTGCCCCCAAGCGGCGTTTTCGGAAAACGCGGATGGCGATCGAGGAATCTGCTCACCCTTTTCAAGTCTCGGTATCGTGGCTCCTGCTTCAAGGCGTAAATGTATAGCATCGAGGCGGCTTCCGGCTTGTTCGTCATCTCTGCGTGGATTCCATTCACGTAATAATTCTTGGCCCATGTTTGACTGCTGACGATGTTCTGGATATTTTCCCGGACGACCGTTTTGGCTACATCTTTGAGAATTTCATCGGCGGCTCTGCAATACTCTCTGATATTACTGCCCCCCAGGAGACCGGATAGGAGGGTACTGTGGGCTTGATTGAGCATGTTGGAAAGATATATCTCTAGGGCTGCGAGTCTGATTTCCTCCAGTTGGGCACAATGTTCCCTCGACGTTTCGATGAGCTGCACCACTAACTCTTGCACTACTAGGTTTTGTTGCTGTTCCCCCAGCAGTCGCTCCGCTTCTAGCTCTTGTATTCGCAGTTTCTGGTCACATTCGTCTAGTTGGTGCTTCAGTCGCTCTTCCACTTCTTGATTTGTTAGACCACCAGGTGTTGACTCTTCGCTGTGCGGATATACCTGATCAAGCCCAGTCATGTTGTGGTAATGCCAAATGGTGTCGAAAGGAAATGATTGATGCACTACCTATTCAATTTTCGTCGTATTATTGTGACATTGTCCCACTTGCGTGAAGCTTCCATCTCGTGCAAGGGTTTGGGCAGAGTGGTTGATCTCAGATCCTTCTGTCTCTTTGCCTTGGCTGCACGTGATTCCTGAATGCGGGAACGAAGGACAAAGGAAGCTCATCGCAGATATATCAGCTCACAGATATCTGATGTTTCATTGGAGTCCTTGTCAGATTCTTTGTGCTGAAGCCGATGTGTGCATTCTTGCCGACACAAGCGACGAGTTCGTCTCAGTCACGTGATGTGTGCAAGATTATCACGTGACTGAGATGGACAATGACAAGAGGTAGTCTTCCTTTTTGTTCAGCTTACCACACTGCATTGCGTGGCATTGTGTTCGAGACACGAGAGCGAGTCTAGTGCCGGCTTTGCGCCAATGTTTCGGACTGGGGATGCAATCTTGGAAGTGGAATTGGTAGTAGAAAAGGTCATGGCCTAGATGCTGAGGTCCCATAATTGTCGAGCGGAGACTGACGCCGTATCGCGTTCCTGTTGCTTGTGCTCCACTATAGCAATGTCCCAGCAGGTTGGTTTGGACCTAGACGTAGCAGCCTCTTCATCCAAGCTTTTCTTGATGCTGCATAGGAACTCGACGACGACTAATCGACTGCATGTCTCCTAACAGTGAGCTGAAACGCAGACTAGCATCACCGGGGTGAGACACGGGGAGAAATGTCGGAATATTTGTCTGCATCCCGGAGTACAGCCCAGAAGTCGAGGGTTCGGTGACCATGCGCGTGTTTTGCTTCTGCTTCTAGTCGCTGAGCTGTAACGTACATATAGGTGGGATTACGGGCAGCCGTCACCTTCTTGGTGCGATGGATAACTTGACGCTACCATTGATCTTGCTTTTGTGGAATTAGCCAGTAACCTCGAATCATGGAAGGAAGTGGATTGGATCTGGAGCAACATACTTGCATCGAATAACGATGATGTCAATGTCACTGCAGGCTCAAGGGCCCGGTGATGCGTCATAGGCTTCTGGTGGAGAAGAGTATGCACTTTAAACTTGCCCTCTATCCAAATAGAGAGGGGGGCTTGGAGGGCCATCTGGTAAAGCATCTCACGAATCGTTCGCAGAAGCAAAGACAAACAAGTCCCGTTGTCAATAGTACACTGGCGTCAAGAGGACGAGGGGATGCAATGGTGCATCCGAGTCCGGCGCACCGCAGACTCCGTTATTTGCCGTGCCATGGTAGAAGAGCGTCTAAAGACCACTGCACTGCTTTGGACAGGCAGTTCGGTGGCTTCGGCAACACTTCCAAGAATGAGGCTGTCGTTTGTGGTTATATCGCTGACATTTTCTGGCTATGCTAGATAAATCTTGTAAACTGAATCCAATTCATCCGTTCATTGTGTATTCTGTTGCTGCAACTGTAGGCGAACCACAGATAAGGTGTAAAGAAGCCCTCGCACTCCGCAAGCGTGACAACCGCGACCACAGCGACGGCGCCGGTCTTGATTCAATGAAACAATGTCTCGTACCCGAATTGGCTTATAGTAGGATCTGATCCATGCAGAACTACCTCATAAGGATGTAGAAATAAAAAGGAGGACGAGCAAAAGGAATCGTTGGGTTTAAAGCTAGGTTCTTCCTTTATCAGCCAGGCTTGCCAATTCCAGCCACTTGATTGGTTAAGCTTATGAACTAATCACAATTGGGGATAGACGAAGTGACCAATCATAGCTCTATCCATAGCAAGGCTGCACCGCTTCTAACACTCAGGCAGCAACTCTCAAGGTCGTCGTGGGAGGTGTTCCGTCTGTTAGCCCGGCAAGACACCCTATGCCCCATGCGCAACGAAATACTGAGCATGAATGAATGGCTGTAAGCGTGCTTCTCTTCAACCTGCCATTACCATTCGCCTGCTGGACTTAAGCACCGGCATACCTACTGTAAGCAAGAGGGACTCTCTACTCATTGATCTTGACCCACAACAACATGGAATCCACTCCGTCGCTTGCATCCCGGATCCGGGGCTCCTTCCTCGGCCTCGCTGTCTGTGACGCCTTAGGTGCCCCGGCCGAATTCCACGCACGCGGAAGTTTCCCCGCCATCACCAGCATGCAGGCCAACCTTAACTTCAAGCTGGGTCCTGGGTATTTCACTGACGACACCTCTATGGCCCTCTGCCTAGCACACTCTTTTCTTGAAAAGGGCCCGACTGGCAACAGCGTCGATCAAGCACGCAAGTATCTCGCGTGGTATCGGACAGGCTACCAGTCTTCCACGGGACGGTGTTTCGACATCGGCAACTTGACTCGAGATGCTTTGGGCGTGTGGAAGCACGCCGTCGTCGTTAACAGCCAATACGGTCAAGACGGACCTTCACCTGACGCAGCCAAAGACCAGGCGGCGATACAGAGCGCCCGTGCCACCATAGAGAAACGCTTTAATCAAGACCGATACTGCAGTAATGGCAGCCTGATGCGCGTGTTGCCTGCTGGGCTTCAGTTTGCCCTAGATCTCCCCACCGCTATCAAAGCCGCAGCAGACAGCTCCAGGGTCACACACCCTCATCCACTCTGCATATTATCCTGCGCGCTCTACACGATCCTCATCGCGCAATCCTTGCAAGAACCCTCCATCACGAAGGACAGCCTTGTCGGCTATTTATCAGACTACGTCTCTGCGGTGAAAGATGCAATGGGTCGCTTCACCTCCGAATCCAAATCCAAACTCGAAGGTCGCCGCTTCTTGGAACGTTTCGAACCATACACCACCGTCAGCTCCTTTCACGACAAAGGCGCCCAGAAGATCTGCACCTCGGGCTATGTGCTGGATAGCCTGGAGGCGGCTCTGTGGGGGTTCTTTATTACCTCGAGTTTTCGAGAGGGTGCCATTAAGCTCGTGAACCTGGGCGGTGATGCTGACACCGTGGGTGCTGTCTACGGCGGGCTAGCGGGCGCCTTTTACGGCCATGAAAAGATACCCGTGGAGTGGTTACGGGATATGAAAAGGTTGGACTTGGTGGAGGAAGTTGTGGGCAAGCTCGTTAAAGTGAGGTCGGAAGAAGACAAGGAGGATGTGAGCAGAGACGTGAGGGAAAGGATAAAAGCGGGCGTGGATGTGCTCGGCCTTTGGGGCTGATGATGCATCTCGCCAGCTTTCATTCTGTACACTCTTCGCTCCACCACTGGTAGGCTAGACGACCCCACATCCGAACACGAAGGGGAACTACGGGCAATTGAATGGTAAGAGCAAGTACGCACTCAAGGGATGTTGGCTCTAAAGCGAGAGCCGAAACAACCAAGTGGGCAACGGCGTCGTGAGGCAGGATCTTACCTGACGGAGCGACTGCTGTGTAAATATACTATCTCATGTTACTATTTCTCCATGTTTGATGTTTCTTCATTTGATTGACGATATTCATTAGCCTGAGTACTCCGTATCTCAGGTAGGAAGCAGTTCCGAAAAATTGAAGAGGGGAAAAAGGGGACTACATTCTCATTCCATCGCACACCAATCCCGGATCTGACCAAGATGACATCTCTCTTTGAGTGACAATCTCTTGCATGCTGCCTTGGATAGCCATTCCCGCTACCGGCCCTTGGGCCCCCACCAAGGCTCCTCCTGCTTTGCTCTCAAAGAAGGAGGCAAGTCATTTTCAGTTTGATCCTTCCCACAAGGTAGAAAGGGCGAACATGGGAGAAATAAGAAATCTCAAAAATACCCTCCACCAACCCCGCGTGTACGAGTCCGTAAAACGCCATGATTGCGTTGCATGTACTTCCTCAAGGGTGAAAAGACAAGGCTGCGAACTTGCTGGCGGTATAAGCCGCGGTCCAAAATAGCACTTCATCGCAGGAACACTGAGTCTCCAGCCTCCGGCCCCGCTGTCTGGTTGTCTTGATCCATAATTATTTAGTCTTGTGACATCCAGCATATGGTACAGAACGAGCGTTCTGACCACAACCCCAGTCTCAATCTACAACGGAGAGAAGATCAGCAGTTGGGATGATTCGTCGTCAATAGCTTCCGCCGTAGGTACAACTCATCCTCATTGCCACGTCCGCCCCTCCCTGGTCGAGATCGGCGGCAATATTATTGAAAAGAATGGTGTTGTCTGGATAATAGCCATCCGCCAGCAGTGGAGCAGGGACCTGGTAGAGGTTCATCTGCGCTTCGAAGGGCATGTTGAAACCGTTCATCTCGATGCCATCAAAACTGTTGTCCATTCCAAATCTGTGATCCAGTGATGGTAGTTCAAAGATTCCAAGTGCACTGGTATCATTGTAGAAAGGGGCCATCGGAGACCCTTCAGGAAGAGCAAAGTTGGGTGGAAGATACTCGATCTCAGGTCTCGCATCGCCAAGGAAGACAGTTTGAGAATTGCCCGCAGTGGTGTGAAGAAGCCGTACCAGATTCAGCTCTGCTTCTCCTGTGTCATCGGTTACTGTCGTTGATGGAGGTGAAAAGGGTTCCTGCTGTCGGCGCTCTGGTGTCTGGCTAAGTGGTTGTGTTGTTGTGTCGAACTGGATCAGAGTGCCACCCTTTCGCATCGGAGTTGTTCCCGCCTTTGGAATATTGCTGTCCTTAGATCCCATGTACTCTGGACCACAATAATGCTTCTCGTGCCTATGATAGTGATAAAAAAATCAGCAGATTATCTCAATGTAAGCCATACTTTGTTATGTGGGCATGGCGAGTATGCATGTAGGACATGGTTGAGACATTAAGCCAAGGCGGATTGGGGGTTTCCATGGGAACTCACCGATCTCTTAGGTCAGGCCGTTTGAATGTATTTTTATTACAGTATCTACAAGCATACTTCCTATTTCCATGTCCCTGTCATCGTGAGTCAGTCATTGAGCCAGGTATTCGTCAGTTTGAGGAAGTTTGCTTACAAATTCAACATGGCGATTGTAGTCTGCTACTCTTTGATATACCCTGTGACAGTTCTCCCTTGTACAAGCAATTGTTTTGTGGAACGGATTGTGTACCCGTTGATGATTCCTCCATGTCCTCCGTTTCTCGAAGTCCTTATGACAATGATCACACTGGAAAGGTCCATCGTGGCTCTTTTGATGACGACGAAGATAGTTCAGCCTAGGAAACTCTCGAGGGCAAAGCTCGCATTTGTAGCTCTGAGGGTTTGTAAAGGAGTCATCTGAGATTGCGTCAGATGATGAAGAAGTGGGAGAAAATGTGGAAGGCGATAGAGGGTTTGCCAGGTTGTAGCGATCATGTGGACTTGATGCACTGTTCGAAAAGGTACTTGATTGAGGAGTATCATCTATGAATTGAGTACCCCCTCTCCCGGAGGGCGAGGGGGCATCATCTGAAGAGAAGAAGTAAGGGTAAACCAAATTTGTGTCGAGTGGAAGTGGCATATAGCACTGCGCCGACATATTATGTACGATTGAGTGCTGGTTTGAATACGACAAGGAAACCAGATACCTGTCAGCAAGCTCATTGCCCTGCATCCGTAGTATTGATTCAGGAAGGTCCAGTGTGATCAGTGGGTGTGAAAGCGCCATCCCTACTCGCAATGGGTCGCACAGTCATAAAAGAACAAAGACTCTGAAAAAATAAGGAGAAGTCGTACGAGACCCAAACGCTCTCCGCCGTAGAGAATGCAATGGTCAGAGCCTGCTTGTTGAGGATGACAAAACTGAGGGACCCAACTCTGTTTGACCACGGATACTCGGTGATTGTATACTTGGTTGGCCAAGGATACCGTGCTAGTCCAGCAGCCGGACATGGTCTCTGCAGCTTAGAGTCGACCACATTGGAAGAAAGAAACCCTGGAAACCTGGCAGGTGGGAAGAAATAAACATTAGTGGAAGGCTCTTACAGTGTTGCCCGGCTAAAGAAGTGGTGAAAGAGATCCCAAGACAACCATCCCCCAATCCGCAGAAGAGGAGATGATTTTGGTTCCATTTTGGCGGGGTCCATCCTGGGAATAAACACGATCTAGTGAGGGAGAGACCCGAGCCGGAAGTGACGTGGATGACAGCTTAGACCCATGACAAGTTATGGTTCTCCATTAGAAAACTAGCTGTCCTGCAACTCATACAGGGAATAGAGAATAGTCGTGTACCACATTGGGTGCTAACAGGAGGAAAATGTGACATGTTGCTTAGCCACTGTAGCTAGCAGGCGACCAAAAATTTGCAAGGATAAAAGGCAGACTCGTTGAGAGCCAGTGCAGATGGTTGGGAAGAGAGTCAATCTTTCCCTTGGCCGGCGACCATTGCCGTCAAGATGTCCACTTGCTCACTCAATTTTTGGATAAGAGCGAGTACTTCTGGGCTTTCGGCACCGCCCGAGGCAGATTTCATTGTTGAGCCGCCTAAGTTGGGAGATCTTGATGGAGAAGTTTCAGGAAGCGCTTGACGGGAGGTAGATGCTCTGGCAGCATCTTGGGTCCCATCGAAGTTGAAGTGGCCTGCGCTCAGAGGACGAGTGGTGAAATGTGGGGCTTTTGTCAGTGTAGGGTGAGGATGCGAGACAAAGCGACGAGATTTCTCGTACGTCCAGATGACAGCCATGAACGGAAGATGGGTCGCCTTTAGGACGAAGATGCGGATACGGCGAACCTGTTCTGATGGGAAAAAGAGTCGCAGGGGTCGCAATAGGGTAAGAGGAAGGAGATTCAGAGGGGGCATGAAATAGGTGAGGCGACGCGAAGTGCTACTTTCGAGAACGTAGATGGAGTACTGGAAAAGATATTCCTCTCTGGCATGGGCCATGACCTGTTGGACCAATTAGAAGTCGGTCTAAAAAGGAGCGAAGGCGGCTAAAAGGGTTCGATGTGGCAACATTTATGCGGCCAGCGAAACCAGGAGTCCCACCCCAACACGGAACCACCACCATCAGCTCGAATTGTTCAGGTTCAAGGCTTACCTCGGTCAAAGAGTTGGAGACCAACGATACAAGGGATGTGATGAGTAGAATATTGGTCAAGCAGACGAAAATCAGCCTGGGGAGAATAACCATTAGCCATTCCTGCGACCAATTACGCGCCTAGGCTGAATCTGCCATCACCAAGACCCATTCCAGTGCTGAAACCTGGAAGCGCCGGCCTTTTGATCTTGCGGCGGAGCAGGTGAATTTGAATAATACGAGGGGCCAAGGAGCAGAACCAGTAACTTACATCAAGGTATATCCAAACAAGGGAGATATCTATTGGTTGATAGCATTAGTACAATACATATTGCATATGAGCGGAAAGGTACCTTGACAGCCATGTCGAAGCCAAGGTAGCTGGAACTGGGAGAATCATCAGTATTTTGCTGGATTCAGTTGGAAACAAGAATCCATACCCAAAAAACACCTTGATCAAAAGCCACGACATTTCATTAAGTGACATTCGATCTCGTGCGAGCATGGTAAATGTCGTGAGAAATCCAAGATAAAGGACAACTATAACAGGTAAAAATTTGCAAAATGCTTTGGTCTTTTGGTGGTCAGTCGTGCTGCTCAACCAAACAGGATTTGAGACTTACCATCTCCTTGAGCACGGGTATCTGTCGATGTTATTAGATGTTGACACCGAATCAGCCATGAAGGACTTACCAGGCTTCCAAAATATGGATTCAAGCTCATGACCGAAAAAATCCTTCACTGGTCAGCACAGTATCAGAGGCAATTCGAAACAACAATAATTCTCACCTTGGGACTAAGAAAAGGGCAACCATGGAGAGGATGTCGAATGCCACATCGATAATGTAATCACTATCTTTCATGAGGCCCACGATTCCTACACATCTGTCAGTCAGCATATGTTGAAACACGGCAACTTGGCCTACTGGTGACAACGAATGCAGCAGAAACGCCTATGATGCCAATATCCCACAAGGACCAGAAATCAGTTTGGTAAAACATCAGTCCAGCATCTTGGATCTCCCCGAATTCATCATATGCGAATGCGGCAATCCAGATGTACAGCATCGACTCTGTAGCAGTGATATGCTGAGGGTTTCGTTCCACCAGGACTGCATAATACAGAGCGAGAAGTGAGATGAAGAAGGCCGTTTGGAAGAATTTCTGATATTTGGGGACACGGAGGCGGGAGAAGGGGTCAGCAACACGCCTGTTATAGACGCGAGGTTTCTTGACAGCATGAACAGAAAGAGACTCCCAGAAGACCACGTCGCCGTTCCAGATGTCCTCGATGATCTTCTGGACCGGTTTCTGGGAGAGGAATTTCTTGGCATCACCAATTGCTGCAATCTCCAGGGCATTCATGCCCGCCATTGACTGGTCGAGGTTAATGCGAGTACCACTTGAACCGTCCTTGAACATCGAGCTCGGAGTATGGCTAAAAAGATCGATACTTGCTCGTTTCGGGGGCCGGAAGCCCGAATATTCAGCGGAGCGTGAACGTATGAGTGGTGATGACTCGTCGGAGGAAGAGCCACGACTATTCCTGGAGGTTTCGCCTGCAGGTCGACCGTTGGAACCTTCCTCTCCAACAGAGGAATCAAGATTCTCATCGTCGTCATATTGAGGTAATTCATACAGCAGGTAGTCGATAAGCTCCTTCTCTGAGAGAAAGGTCAAGAACTGCCAGGCGACCAATTCACAGGCCAGTGCTCTCGACACATTCAAAGCCCCATCGGCATCAGAATCAATACTGGTGAAAAGATACCCTGCAGCCAGTAGAGCAGCAACAATTGCCGGGTGATGGCAGTTCTCGCTGAGGTCGGAAATCAAGGGTTTCAGGCCATGGCCAGCAGTGGTTGTTCGAAGCTGCTCAAATGTATATGCGGCGTCAGTTGCTTTTGCGATATAGGTTGATAATTTAAACACGACGTCGGTGAAGGATTCCTTAGAGTCGATGACGGGCACATCATCTTCCATCCATTGCAACATTCGCGTGGATCTGGGTGTTTGGGGATGGGCGGCCATGTTGGACGCGTCGTGAGTGTATGATCTCAAATCGAACAGCAGACCACGAGGACGCATTGGGGCTGAAACTGGATCTTCGATAAACAGACTGTGAGCATGTTCAATGGCAGTGAATTGAGATCATAACATAATTATCACAACGGAAAAATGGGCGAACGATGAGGAGTAGAAGCAGTAGAAGCAATTATGTTGTCATCCAAGCATTCCGTCTCTCAAACTTGGTGGTTGGCAGCTGCCGGTCGGTGTTTAAGCTTGGAATAGAGAAAGAGCTGAAACCCTTGCTTAACCGACCTTGGGAAGGTGCAGCTGAACTCCGCGAGGTCTTGGCATTACATCTGGATCTCGCTTCTTAAATTCAGGTCCGTACTCGTAAGTACGTCGTGGTCATTTAGAATTTGAAAATGACGGCGATGGTGCTATTAAATATTGATAGTGCAATGGACATTACGATGTCGTCGCCTTTACGTATATGAGGTAACTGCGTAATGTCCTCTGGGTGCACTGGGTCGTGAAATGAAACTCCCACCATTCCAGCCATTCACCCACTAATCTCGAAATGCGCCTCGGTTGGTTCTCCATTATTGACATTGACTAAATCCTGAGGACACGCACTCATAACAATGACAGCATCATCAAGAGCTTCAAAGACGACAAACTGGCCCTTCTCGGTGAGAGGAGCTTCAAACTTGATCTCACCACCCGCCGTTGGATTCTGTTCATGCCCACCCCCTTGACTCCCCGCTTCTCGTGTCAGAACAGGGATATTCATAAAGAGGTTCAACGGGTCGGGCGGAGTGTGAAAAGAAGCCTTCCTCTCGACCCCCCACGGCTTGATTGCGTTGAAAAAATTATCGGCACAGTTCGCATGGCTAGGAGCACCGAGTTGCCGGTATCGCTCAGGATCACAGGCGGCGATGAGTGTGTCATGCACGCCGGGTGTGGTATCTTCGACCAGTTTCAACAATGGAGCACGAGCATTGGTGACTAGTATGTCTCCCACCAGTGGGCTGAGATGCAGACTGGCACCACGGGAGTGAGACATTGAGAGGAATGCTGGATGTTGGTCCGAGATCCAGTGGACGGCCCAGAAGTCGATGACCTGGTTACCATGTGTGTTGACAATTTTGATCGTTTGCTTCTGTTTCAATTCGACCGCGACGCCTGAACGTGCAGGTATCTGAAATCTGTGTTCTGCTGTAGGAACAGCAGCCATGGTTCTCTGCTTTCTTCTCTCCCTTATCTTCTCGTCACCCTGAACCACGCCAACGATATTATAACTCTGATGCCCTTTGGGAATAGATGTTTAGGTGTTTAGAATTAGATTATGGGCATCGTGTTCATGTTTTCAGTACGTCCCGACCTACCTTATAAGTCCCCAGTTGCGCTCAATATCGGGCCCGTCCATGGCCCCGCTCCCGTTTCCTGGCAAACGCCAGGCGTTGATCTCCGTGGCGGGAAAAGGCACCGCAGTTCTGACAAAGCAAAGACTTGATCGACCGAATAGTAATGGTATGGTAATGGTAAATTCGGGGTCGAGATCGCATCCTGGTTAAAAGAGATGCTTACACCAAACGCCATGCTATATCATGTGTCGATCATGCGCTAAACAGAAGCATTCGTCAATCTCTTTCGTATAAATATTGCTCCATTGGCAGGACTCAAGAGTGGTGAGTAGGTCTGGGAATGCCAATTGGTGTTTATGAAGTGCCATCCAAAGTGAACAGGTCAGCGACAAAAACAACTCCTCTATCCAAAAGGTCTCTCTTTGTTTGTGTGCCATTGGGATCCGTAAATGTCAGGTTTCCAATCTCACACCAGTTGCTCACCGGTAAGCAACTCAAATACTTGCACCAGGAACAAGTGTCGTGATATTTGTAAAAGTTGTTCAGAAGAACAATGAAGCTGACCAAAACCCCAATCAACGCACCAGCACGAAGAAACCACCATCCCCACCATAATGGCTTCCGGCCTTTGAAAAAGTTGATGGGTTCCTTTGCGAAAGCAGCCACGTTTGCTGGTTTGGCGGTTGCTAGAGGGCCGGCTATCAAGCTCATCTTGGGATTGCTGACATCGGGATCAGAGCCAAAATTCCGATAAGACCTGTTGTATGATTCCCCAACTCGTTGTCGGAGGACATTAGGTGAATGTAGAATGCAGACGCCAGCCCCAATGCCCATTAAGAATCCGCCGATATGCGAAAAATTATCCAGACCTGGTAGCAAGCCTAGGACAAAGGAAATGATAATATCGACCAAGATCCACATCAGATCCTTGACGGGACTCCGTCTCTCATTCCACGTATAAATTAAGTCGAGGAGTACCAAGGCAAGAATGCCAAACAAACAACCAGAGGCACCAGTGGAGGCAACAGCCGTTGCCGCAAAATTGCCGCCGAGGACGAAACCAAAGATTCCTGAGCTGAAATAGACAAGTGCGAAGCGAATACTGCCGATAGCCTTCTCCATCTCACGGCCCATGGTCAATTGCAGAAGAAGGTTGAAAGCAATATGAATGAGTCCGGCATGAAGGAACATTGGGAGAATGAAGCGAAACCATTGATTCGGATGATCGTTATTGAAGCCTGAGAAGCCGCAGAGCTCGGCCAGGTCGCACTGATTACTGGGATCATTAGGGTCGGAAGTGGTCGTTCTGGGACAAGGCCAATGAACGGGTGGTTCGACACCTTGAACGCCTGGAACTCGGCGCATACATGGCACAAAACGAGCACCCATGTTGATCTGCACATAGGTAGATGGGCCAATCATAGGGTTGAATTGTGGATGGATCATGATAGGGGATCCTGTGACAATGGCTTCTCTAGTGTCAACTCGATACCATTGCAAGGCACTCTCGAGACTTACAGTTCTGAACGATTTCAACGATGAAGACGGTGATCTGGGCCAGACTCACAACATAGACCACCCACGGTATTTTGCCGGAGAAGAATCCTTTCTTTTTCTGCGGTATTCGCTTTTGGCTTGGTAACAAGGGTGGAGCAGTCTCCGACACTGGAGAATTGTCATATTGATTTAGGTGTGTCCGTGAGTCGTGTTGATTAGTATTTATGGTTTGATTGTTCTTGAGAGGGATGGTATCGGAGAATCGGGATGGTTGAGAAGAGGTTTCATGGCCATTGATTCGGTCATCGGCTCCGGAGATTAACGAAGGACGTGATTGATCGATCGAGGAGGAACTGTAGGAGGAGTTGAAAGGGTAGTGGGCTGATGCTTCTGGTCTTGGATCCAAATACTGTGGCCGAGTATAGGGTTGAGAAGATTGACCGGAATAGTAGTCATTAGCAGCCATGGTGGGAGTTGAATTACTACTGTAGGAAAGGCTGAAGTAGGTCGGTCTGAGGTGATGGATGATATTAAAGCGAAAGTCGAGTGTTGTTCACCATAAGAGAAGCCAGTCGAGGAGGAAGCGAGTGACAAGCAGTTGGTCTCTGAACGAGAGGCGTGGATGTGAGACAAGGCTCAGAGGTGGTTGAAATTACTTGAAAGGCAGGAGGATGTCAAGACGATGAAGGAGAGAACTCGTAAAGATTGGACCTGGAACCTGGAAACTGGAACTTAACCCTCCCGCGCACTTGCAAGTGCAGGAAGTTGACAGGTGCCAGACAATAGAGGTCAGATTGCGCAGGAGTCCTTGTTGGTGGGATTATGGCAAGATGCCCCCCTGGCTGCGGATCGAACACGGGTGTTTTGAAAAGGGATGATGATGGTGGTGGTGGTGGTGTTGATGATGATGATGATGATGATGATGATGTCTGAGAATGGAAGACCAGGTCCGGGACGTTCGCAGACGAAGCACCAGGCTAACTGGCTCCGTTGGTTAATTAGCGATTCAGATGAAGATGGCGGTGGGAGCGGTGGCAAGGGTTCAGTTGCTGTTCCAGGTAAAAAAGGGAGGGTCCCCGATGGCTGAGCGTGTCGAAAACGTGGCTTAGGCAATGTTGTTGCTTATATTAGGCGTGTTTGAGAGTGTACAATCCAGCATGGCGCCCGGAGCTAGTGCGCTTAGCCTCAATTAGCGTCCCCTAGCCCCCCTAGGGGTCCATTGGCCCTTCCTTTCAGCCACCATCTGTTGGGCATGACTGGCTCAAGGCTCGGGGTACCTGCATTAGATCGAGCCTTTGACGCCTCTTCTCCTCAAAATAAGACCCGACTTCCAGTCATATGTTAACACTTAAGAGGTCCCCCTGCTTCTCACCCTCTTACGAGTACTCGTACCTACGTTGAGGGTGGCTTCCGCAGCTGAAACCAGACGCAGTCCAAAGAACCAAATCCATATTGCTGGTGACGTCGAATATCGTTTGATGCAAATCCACCGCCTTTCCGGAGTCCGTACGCCGCACTCGTCACCGTCGATCGCAGGGCAAGTCGCCTCCTGTCAGGAGATGGACGAGTACCAATACATAATCCACGTTCTGCGCACACCAGCAAGAAAACTGTCCCAAGAGAGCGGTAGTTACGTGGCCAGCATCCACTCGAAGTAATACAAGTGTACTCCGAACGTAGGGGCAAATATCCGGATCACTGCCCCAGGAGCAGTCTACAGTGGTCAATAACGCAATGCTCTGTACCTCGTATGTCATCATTGTGTTTATTCTTCGTACTTAGCACTACTAGTAATTCATAATTCATCGTGAGGCTCGTTGATTTCTGCCTCGGCTCTCCGTGCATATTCCGTAATAATGGTCGTACAGCAGTCATAAAACAAAAGTCCCAGCCAATTCTATCAATAACAACGATATCCGTAATACCACGATCGGATATCCTGATCCGAACGTAGTGCCGGTGTGGGGATTGGCGCAGTTGATCACGGATTGACAGCACTTCCCATCCGGCAGCCTAGTCGTCTCGCTACTCAGCGAGATTTCTGTGGTTAAAATCCCATTTTGCTGATCCAAGAACTCTCTTGTAGGAATCTTTGGGATGGCCACAATCTTGGTTGTCGCATGATCCCAGCTCATGGAGGAGTGCAGAGCTGGGGCACATTCGAGTGCGATCCCACCAGGTAGTAGATCAGTCGGCATAGGCTGTTAATGAGAAAGGCTCGTAGACCCCAAGATATGGCATACAGCAGGGCCATCAAGATGAAGAGTATTACAGAATTGAACACCACCTTTTCAGTGGGCGTCATCATATAGACCCCAAAGGTGACCTCATATTGGTAGTAGCGTAGCCGAACATAGTTGAATAGCCTGGCAGGGATGACGATGCGAGGTTTGAGGATATCAGTGTACGATAAGGAGGAAGAGGAAGAGGTGGAGGCAGCGGCGACAAGCTGGACGGCAGCCATTGCGATGGGAGAGGAGAAATAGTTGGCTGAGTTTGGAGGTGCTGAATCGATGAAGAGAGGGAAGGGCTCGAGCGAGGGGTGGAAGTCGCTCGACATGATGAAGAGAAGGCTCGATGGAGCGCAGGACCGGCCTGGCGGATCTGTGGACTGCAATCGTAGAGTCCAATGGTCCAATGTCGCCCAAGTGATCACGCGAGCGCGTCCAGCTGTGCGAGATGAGAGGCGAGTTGCAAACAGCCAAATCCAAGGTATTCGCAAGAGCGTGTCCCAGACGCAAGCCGTCCAAGGCTGGTCAGAATGCTGGGATGAGTCGCTGCAGTCAAAATGATGATTCCTAGCGATGAGCTCGTTCGACGCGGTCACATCTCAATTATAAGTAGACGAAGAATACAGTCAGTCAGGAGTGGGAAGTCGGCGTAATAACAACGTTCCAGTTCGCGATCTTGTGGCTGAAGCTGTTCCCAATGACGAATTCAGCATGATGAGCCATCATCCCCGCTAGAAATGAAGGAATACAAGAATCTTGGAGGGCAAAGAGGAGTATTGAGTAGGAGGTTGCGATAGGATGGGGGGCCGGAAGTCAGCGGATTTGTAGAGCGAGCGGGCTGAGGGCCCTAGCCGTGCACAATTGGGCCCCTGCCAGGATGGCGAGAGGGAAGGGATTTCCGATTGACACTGGCCTGGCGGCTGGCGGCTTGGGTGGCTGGCCATTTGGCGTTGCTGACTAAGTTTTTAGGTTGCTTCGGTCTCTCGTCCAGGCTCCAGACACCCCCAGATGACATGTTTTTGCTGCTGAACAGCCTCTGGAGTCTGGACTCTGCGCACAATGCAACCCCAGACTTGAGCTTGGGTTCCCGCTTCACAGCCGCCAACATCCGGGAACACGTGAGTCGGTTAAGATGAGCAGCTTGGGAAGTTGGGCCATTCGCTCACCCACCGAGCACTCACCATCAACCGACGTCCGAATCACGGGATCAATAATTTAGCCCTCAAACTAACTCCCGAGTACGGACCTTAGGTAGCTGATGTACGAGTATGCAGTAGACCACCACCCTTGTCGTGGACTATTTATCCCTCCTTCAGGGCCTTTCACTGTTCTCGTGAAATGCGACTATTCAAGGACCTCGTACTCATCTTTATACTCTTGCCCTCGCTTCAAAGGGGTCAATACAAGGCTTATCATTGTTCATTATGGTTTCAAACTTTGATTGGGACCGCCAAGGACAGCGTGACCGCCTCCTGCGACGTCAATTTACTCTCGCCCATATCAGCGTCTGAAAGAAATTGATCTTCGGTTTTGACAATCCTCTCGAAATGCCATCTCAGCTCGATCAAGCCCTATGGAGGAGCTTGTCACGTGATCGGAGCAGCTCGAGGCCAGGTAGGCATTTCTTTTGTTCTTGTAAATCAAGGAGGGAGATCCTTAACGCAGGGGCGGGCCTAGCAGTTGCTATGTCCGCTCAAACTCCGACGCTTTTGAGGTCACCGACAGGACCAATGAGAGGCGCGTGCGAATAGATGATTTAAGCATCCCATTCAAGCCCAGTGAACAATTCTTGGTGAAGCTTTCTGGTAGATGCGCGATAAGCCCAATCATACAGGGGCTGTTACTGGTATACGACAGCATGACCACCCAACTCCGAGAAACTCAATTCGGCCATCTCGTCCGGCTTGTGACCAACAAGAAGCTACTTCGGTTCCCAGACGAGAATGACCCTTCGCTATGGAGGACATCGCTTGAGCGAGGACCTCTCCCAGCACCTACCGACTCATCGGGGAAAGACGAAACCGACCCTGGAGCCGAACGTAACTACTCTGTCCCGGATACAGCTGTACAAGATTTCGAAGCACAAGAGTCTACTCGCAATGAACCTGGCCTGCAACAGAGCATCGAAGGTGGATATTACCATATTATAGGCTGGTATAAGCCGGATGATCCTGAGGTATATCAATCAATGGAATTCCCATTGTCATACCGTTCTAGTATACTCATAATGTCTGCAGAATCCTCAGAACTGGTCCAGCACATGGAAAGTGTTGGTCGGTCTCCAAATCTGCCTTCTCAACTTTTCATTCTACATTGCAAGCTCCATTTATACCCCAGGACAGTCGAGTATTATGGAGGAGTTTGATGTGAGTGAGACCGTGGCAACATTAGGACTTTCGCTGTTTACCCTGTAAGTCGACCTCGAGCCGTTTGAACCTGTTCATCGCACGGGCACGCCTGTAATTGATGTCCCAATCTCTAACCTCTCTCTTAGTGGTTATGGGTTTGGGCCAATGCTTTGGTCGCCATTGTCGGAAATCCCGAAGCTGGGGCGAAACGACATCTACTTCTGGACGTTCACCGCTTTCGTCCTCTTGCAGCTTCCAACCGGCTTCGCCGTCAATATGCCCATGTTCCTCGTTTTTCGGGCGGTGACCGGATTTTTCGGCAGCCCAGCTCTTGCAACTGGCGGTGGTACCATAGCAGACATGTATTCACCAGCTGCGACCACATACGGGATCTGCATTTGGGGCGCTTTTGGGATTCTAGGTATGGCCGATTCAGTACCACGTCATGTTAGACATGGCTGACATCCTTCATTAGGGCCAGTGTTCGGTCCACTTGTAGGGGGATTCGTTGCACAAGCCAAAGGATGGAGGTGGACGATATGGACATTCACGTGGCTGTGCGCATTGATGGTGATAGTGATATTCTTCCTGCTTCCGGAGACCAGCGCAGAGAACATCTTGTATCGACGAGCAAAGCGACTACGAAAAGCGACCGGCAACGAGCGACTCAGGAGCCAATCTGAAATCAACGCTGAGCCCCACACCATGAAAGACCATCTGACGGTATTGAGTCGAGCGTTCACGCTCACATTCACTGAGCCAATCGTCCTCTCGCTCGACCTGTACACGGCTCTACTGTACGGCGTGCTCTTCATCTGGTTCGAATCCTTCCCGTTGGTCTTCGGCGACATCTACCACTTCAGCATCAGCGAGCAGGGACTGGCGTTCCTGGGCATCTTCATCGGCGGCATCATCACAGTCCCTCTCTTTCTGCTGTGGATCCGCCACGGCATCGTCCCACGCTTCACAAAATCAAACTTCATGCCCGAGATGGTCCTACCGCCGACATTTTTCGGCTCCGCGGCCCTCCCGCTGTGCCTGTTCTGGTACGGCTGGTCCGCGCGAGAGAGCGTCCACTGGATCATGCCTGTCATAGGGTCTTCTTTCTTCACCGTTGCCATCGTCACCTTGTTTAATCCCGTGCTCAGCTACCTGGGCATCACCTATCCTACACACTCGGCGTCAGTTTTCGCTGGGAATGCTCTCTTCCGTGCCTCCTTTGGCGCCATCTTCCCACTTTTTGTATGTCAGGTGCCTTCCCATCGGTTTGCCACAAGACATCTTTCAGCGCAGTGTACTAATCATTTCCTCCTGACAGGCAAGACAACTCTTCCGCGAGCTAGGCGTCGGGCCTGGAAACTCCCTGCTGGGCGGCATCGCCATATGCTTCCTTCCCATGCCCTATGTCTTCTACAAGGTAAGGAATTTCGACTCAATCCAACCTACAATCACTCCTCTTCCTCATGATTCGTACAATGATGCGGGTGTCAAAATTCCTCGAGAACAGTCTTACTGACTTGCAACGAATGAAAAAATTAGTACGGAAGTAGGATCCGGCAGATGAGCAAGAACGCCCGACACGACGGTCCTCCCTGAACAGAACAGGTTAACTTGGATCTCTCAAATGTTGAAGTTGGGCTTGGCCCGGCTCCCCCTTTTCTGGTGTTCTTTCGAGGTGGGCTTTTGGCGTATAGTAGGAGTTGCACATAGACCTGGGTAGATAGCTCTGGGTCTTCATGGCACTCCACCGGGAAGAGAAACTAGATTAAATGGATATAACAAATATAAGTTTCCTCGTCGCGGCCCCCGGTGGTCTTTTGTCTTCCTGTAGGCCGACCATTCGCTTCCAAGCCCCGTTGTGAGACCGTCAATTATTCCCTTTCATTTTCTCCTCCAATTATTATTACCAGTACCACCAAACAGTGTGGTGAGAGAGCCTATTGCCCTACGGTATTCTCCCAGCCTTTCCATCCTTTGATTCGTCCCTTCGTTACGGAATTTCTGTGTAGATATATAAAAGTCAAGAAATTGAGGCGGAGGCGATCACAAGGACACACTCTGCCTACATACTCTGCCTGCCTGTCCGCTAACCCACCCACCCTCTCTTTTCCACAATTGCCAAACAAGAAAAAAACAAAAGCGAAAAGGAAAGAAAACAAGAAGGGATAGGACAGACGAAAATAAGTCCCAAGCCCATCCCACCTCTTCATCTCAAAACAAACACCGCTCGCTAATTTTCCTCACCTGGCATTCCGAGAGCATCTGCCGTCCAAAATTTCTCCCGCCTATAAAGGCGGCAAGTTAAGATCAAAGTCCTCTGTATCGAGAGCGAGCCTCCCAACAATGCAATTCATCTCATTCGCAGCAATGAGACCTGGCAACCTCCTTAGGGCACGGTGAGTCTCGAGATGGGCCATGAAATCCTTCAGCCCATTAAATGTGGGCGTCACATGGGTCGCCGTAGTCGGTTTATTACCACCAAACGCGCCGAGTGTGGCGAGTTGGGCATTGACAGCACTACCGCGGTCCTCATCCAACCAGCCCTTCGCGGCGCCCTCGGCGCAGCAGAAATAGCAGGCGTAGACGCAGTTGCTATTCGAGGCGTCGCTGACCCCAACCTTATTCATGACATGGCTCTTAGCGAGGAACGCCCAACGATACCGAATGCCACCAGCCGAGACGCGGACCTTGATGTCCATGGTCTTCTCTCTCTTAACAGCGCCGCGTCCGCCGCTCGGTAGTGCCGCGGAGACGACCGCGGGGCCCTCGAAGTTGCATTTCGTGCATTTGATCACGAACTCTTTTCCGCCTTTCTTGGATTCTACGCCGAATCCCTTCTTGCGGCTGCCCAGCTGTTGCCGCACGGCGCCCTTGCAGAACCCGGCTAGGTTGGCTTCGCTGGGCAGGTTGAGTTCGGATCGCGCGATTTGCATCGCGGGCGAAGGTGCCGCTGCACGCATCGTGGATTCTAGCGACGGCGCGCTTGAGGATGGAGGTCGTGGTTTGTCGTCCGTACAGAGCGCGTCCATGTGCTGTGCGATGGGCGATGTTGGGCTGTTCATGGGGCTGGATCGGTTGCTTGGGACGATGTCTAGGGTCTTGGGTTTGACGTAGCGAGGCTGAGCTTTTTCTTCAAGTGGTGAGGGTGCAGATTTGTTCATGGCTTCGGCGATACCTGGTGGGAGAGCCTTTCGCAAAGCGAACGAGGCAAGCTTGGAGCCGGTGGATCCTGTTGATCGTATAGATAGTGGTCTCGAGCTGGCTGAGACTGATGGGACCTTTTGAGAGACAAGTCAGTAGGAACTGTAGCAGATGCGTACGTAGGGTTGACTACCTAGCTTACCTTAGCTTGAAAGAGAGGGTCAACCGCTGCACTTGCGGTTGTTGAACTTGGCTCAATACCTGCTTGAAGACGAGCAGGTCGAGCTTGATGTGTTGAAGAAAGGTGTTGATACGGTTGAGAAAAGTGAGCTGGAGCCGCGACTGCCTGATTCATGCTTGGTTGCAACGGGTGGTTATAGTACTGAGGACCCGGGGGATATTGGCCATTCAAAGAGGGGCTTTGCATTGGCGGCGGACTGTATAATGGCCGCTGTACTTGAGCCATCATTTGCCGCTGATGTGCGGCGCCTTGACTGAAAAGAGGCTGTGGCCGCAGTTGGGGCTGCGTATTCATGGAATGCATATACTGTTGATATTCCACAGACGCTGCTAGAGCAGCAGGAGGTCGGCTGCGCAATTCCAGCGCTGCAACGTATTCCAGTGTATTGTATTCGGGATTGAGAGGCGGTGGTTGGCTTTGCATACTTCGAGGACTCCCAACTGAGGAATCCTGCTCTGGAGATTGAGAGGATGGTACCACTGTTGAATTATCATCCAGTTCATGGATGGGTATTGTACGAGAGAAATTCGGGACCTGTGCTAGAGTGGGATCCTGCTGGGGAAGAGGGGTTTGGGTTGTATTGCCAGGCACTTCTGCCATTGGTGGTTCATAGAAGCTTGAACCCAGAGGGAACTTCTGTCCCTTGTCGTCTGTTGTATGAATGAAGGAATTTGCGACGTAGGGCGGGGGTGATGCTGGGTTCGAGGACGTTTCCAAATCAAGATTTGAAGGGAATCGGCCCGTGCCTGTAGAAGCACTATCTGGAGGGCCCTGGCTGGTTTGCCTCTGCATGGGGAATGGAAGGGCCGGGACGTTATCTTCTCCTGGTGTTCTGCTTTGGGGTCGATCTCTATCTCTCTCACTAGAATATGAGACTGCTGAATTCATAGAGATTCTCCTTTGTGGAGCGAGCCCATTGGATGTTTTCCGATCATGTCCAATGGCCGTCCTTGAGCTGTAAGTGGTGTATGAGGTGGCGGACTGGGCATCAAATGGACTACCTCCAAAGGAAGAATGGGTACTTCGACTACTCGAGTACGCCAAAGAACCGGGAAGGTGGACTTTATCAGGCTCATCGATGTATGGTCGATGAATCTGTTTGACGGCAGCAGTGGCCGTGGACATGCGTTGATACAACTGACCGAGACATACTGTGGCATTGACTCGACAGTCATCTGAAGTCTCCTTCAAAGTGTGTAAATTAAGGGAAGCCTCGTCCATGAAGACTTCTCGTAGGTGGGAAATGACTGCGTGTTGGAGGGCAATTAGGATGTCCTTCATTTGCTCTCGAGCGACAGCGTCTCCACGCGCATATGTCTCACCGAATCGCCGGACATCGTGATCGTACTGGCTCTGGACAGCCGCACATCCCAGTGTCAAGGAGTCGTCGAACTCTTTGGTCAGATCCTCTGGGAGGATGAACTCCTCTGTATTCTTCTGCTTGTCTCTGAGACGTTGTACTAACTTGGACGAGTCTCGATAGGCCGTGATCACTATGGACCATCGCAGTCAGTAACCAAAAGAGATCGTATGAAATACGGCTAATCATGTCGCATGAAAGGCGAAGATAAAGCCTGATCGAGGTGTGACGAAATTGATCAAACAGCAAAACAAATTAGGTTGCACGGCATATTCCCAGAAATAACCCGCTGTCCGACGTCGCGAGTGAGTCATCAGAATCTGAGATGTACATCTGTCAGGCAAGGAAGCCGCGCAGCCATTGATTTGGCTCGTGTTCATGACATGACAGTGTGTTGTTTTCGTACAGCTCTTCTGAACATTGTTGGGTTTTGCCGGGGGGGGGGGTTGTGCAGGGGCAAAGGAGCAAGTCGAAGTAAGATCTTACCTGCTTGCACACATGACTCAACAGACAGAACATCCATGACTTGATGGTAAATGGCCTTGAGTCTTTTTCGGCGGTTCGACTTCAGCTGCTTCTCCCCATACGGCCTTGGACACGGGTTGAGTCTTAGCTCATCAGCGTTTGAGCGCTTCGCGGACTGGTTAGAGCAGAAACGCGGGGAACGTTCTTGGTGTGGAAATAGGATTAGATGATTTGGAAGAGATGAAAAAGACAGAAACACGAATCCCAAAGTGGGAGGGATCAGAGTCTTTGAAGCTGAGGCTGAGTCAGGCCAGGTCAGGCCAGGTCAAGTCAGTCGGTCACGGAGGACCGGACCACGTAATTACTCAGGATCAGTGTCAAGATCAGGATGAAGGACCTGTCCGTGTTCCCCAGGTCATCGCACTCCGGCTACCCAGTCAGTAAGTAGTAGGCAACCGGCTGTGTGCCGTGAGTACCTCGTATAGGAGGAAAACATTGCCCCAGCGAATAGTGGTGCAAGCCAGGCCCGAAAAGGTGGGAAGACGGTAGCACAAACCTCGCTACCGGCTGCACAAGAGTCCAGGACTCCTCAGGCATTAGAAAAGGTACGAGTATGTGCCGTGACATATTGGGGAACAATGTGGCTGGCTAGATAGAGATAAGAGCGTACGCCACGAGACACTCCGACGCGAGAGGAACCAGGCTAGGTTGATTCCAATGGACGCCCGCGGGATGGGCTTGTCGGGTATATCCTCGAACCAGTGCTGTTAGCCAGCTGAAAGGGGTGCCTAAGAAACAAGCAATGATTGATTTTAGCATGTATGATACGCCGTGTAGAGCGCCGAGTGGTTTTGGTAGAGTTGGAAAGGCAGGAGTAACACGGCAGACAAACACCATGATGGTGGCTCTGAGTTGTCATTGGCTGATAGCTGAGTTTGATAAGGAATGCGTCTTCTCAATGGCCCCAAAACAATCACCAAGACTTCTGCATACTCGTAAGCTGAACAATACGGAGGACCTCGTCCTCGGTAAGGTGAATTTGGGCTTGCAGGATGTCGACTTCTAGACTCGAGTCTTTTGGGTCTCCTCAAATGATTGCCTGTCTCCACCCCCGGTAGCCGCCACCTGGCACCGCTTGGTTCAAGCCCCGTGGACCCAGATCCGGTGTCAAATGCTGTCAAACTCCCTGCAAATTGGCCCATTCGTCTATGTCCATGTGTCTTCGGTTACTGGGGGCTTGAATAGGGCCTCGGACTTGTCAAGGACTGAAGGCTTGCAAATCCACCAGCAAGAACCATTGCGATGAGGCTGAACTCAATCTTCGCCCGCTTCAGTCGACAGATTAACCACGCCAGAGGCTTTGACTAAATGTCACCATCGATCAAACTACTCGGGACTCCGTGGTCAACAGGGTTTAGATTGGCTCTCCCTTTTTCGTCAGTTGATCCTCCCACGTGGGCAAGGAGCAGCCGAACTCTCACCCAGAGCACCCCAATAATCGATAGGGGAGAAGACATTGTGGAGATGGGTTCCCCAGTCTACTTCGTACTATTCCTGACTGCAATTGTTGAACACTGGTGAACAGAAGACCCAAAACTTGCTAAAGGAGGCTTGCGAGGCAACAGCCGACGAGTAGTACCTCACTGAGACACATGCATTAAACACAGTAAGCTCCTAAAGTCTACCTCGCCCAAGGTACCTCGTATGCCCTCGAAGTCCATCTATTGGTCAAGATGGCCCTTTCAGTGATACAATCCAATCCCGTCATCAAATACATGCATATGAAAAAGCCAAGCCTAGTTTACGATATCAAGTATTGAGTTCAAGTCAAGAATACGGTGCAGCTCAGCATTTTGTAACTCAAATTATACGGCGACACATAACGCGTGCCCAGCACCGCGTTCTTTTCCAGCGCGTCGCAGAGCTTCACGTGCACTGCCACGCCAAGTGTCTGACAACCACCCTGAGTCTTGTGAAGCCAACCATAGGCACTGTTTTCTCATCAAAATACATCTCAAGAAGGGCCCCCAGCGATCCTCTAAAAGTTCATGTTGAAAAACAATGGACGAAAGCAGCATCTACAACGACACCAAAAACCCACTACTAGGTCTCACAGGGGATGCCAGCTCCAGAGTCTCCCCGCTTGAACAAGAAGTCCTCGACGAATACGAACGACTCTTGAAGAATATGAACGAGGTGAGCTCTAAAACAAAGAAAAGTGAAAGAATGGAAAATCCACGCTTGAGTCTTTTGTCGTTTTTGCACCAGCTTCTCGGCCAAAGTTGATTGTCGAATTCCCCATGTACATATTATCCACTCCTACTAGCCATCATCGCAAAGTTTGAGGAGGGCAAAAGCTGACATATACACACCATTTCCCTATATTTAGTTATCTTCAACGCTGGCAAGTCTATCCGGTGGGCCGATGACGCTCGAGATCGCAGAGGGCCTGAGGCTGCTGGAGCGGAAGGTCGCCAGTGTATATACTTTGATGAAGGCTAGCGTGTATAGTATTGTTCTCCAGCAGGGACAATTGGAGGGCGACGCTGGCAGCAGTGTTTTCACGGGCGATGAGACCGTCCAGCCTGGCGTGGGTTGAAAAAAAAGTCGCCGGGGCATAACCATCCAACCACCCAAAGGCTGGACAGTACGAAGTACGACTCTTGCTTATGACCGGACTAAGACGAGCTTCGCCCCGTGGCCTGGAATGAAAACAGAAAAGATGAGGGATGCTCCAACGCTGAGTCTGATATATCGCACACGACGATACTCTCCATCATCGGGTATCCATGGCTCTTCGACACTCTCCTCGCACACGATGGACCATTTCCATATGTCTGAAGCTATCCATCCGATCGGAGCACTAGCAGCAAACGCACATGCGGAATCAGAGACAGGAAAATGACCAATACTCACTTCCCTCCACAGATGAGACGTATCTTACATAGTATTGACTTGCTCGCTCAAGTCTTTTGCGAAACATTTTTGGTACAAGATTCTATGTGAGTCCAGCATAATACACCTTCCGAACATCCACCAACTTTTTGCCACGACCTCTGGCAATATCTTCGGGATCCTTTTGGCTCAACAACGCCTGGACCGTCGCTTTGACCGTGTTCATCGGGTTTCTGGCACGATGGACCTTGGCAGCAAGATCTGAGATGCCAGCACATTTGCAGATTTCCCAGATGTACTGTTGACAGCGAAGTCCAAATCCTGTTTATGATCGGATTAGCATATATCGACGGACTCAAGTTGATTAGTCGAAACATACCTGGAGGGCGGGGGTACAGTTCTAGTTCTGTGGCACTGAATTTGGCCTTGAGATCCCCGAAGACGGTTCGATCCTCATACCGCAAAATGGGCTGCATATTGCGGATCGCACGGTATTGACTTTGTAGTCTGGCATCGGACATTTCCATCGACTTGCCTTCACCAATACCTATCAATCCATTGCCGTTCCCCGCCACAGACAACATGTAAGCCCGACGGATCTTTCCCAATCGTGTCTGGTTGGTGACTGAATGGAAGATGATGGTCTTAACTCGGAGTTGTGAGATCTCTTTGCTGCTGTAGCCGGTCATCTGCATCAATGCCACCAAGGCTGGAGAAGGAGCTTCTCGTTGCGCCAGAAACGCTTGGCCTTCTTCGTCCGTCTTGTTGCTTCTGGCCTCTTTGGGTAGCTTCTTGCGCTCTGAGAGGTTGGGTAGGTCCGGAGCAAGAGCGGATCGTGGTGCGAGCTCGGACTCTTCTCGGCCTGTGGTTAAGCGTTGGTTCTTGTCGAACTCCATCCACTCGTTCTCTCCCGCGCCAGGAACCAGGTGTTCCACGCCATCTTCGTCAACCCAGGTCTCCAGGCTTGTCTTTTTCATTGCCTCTTCGATAAAATCCTCTGCGATCTCATCTTCATCCTTCATGCGCTGAGCATCGTCAATATTGGTCCAAGGAGCTCGCACAGGCTTGTCGATAACTGGATCTATTGTTGTCAAGTCGTCAAAGTAGTCCATGGTCCATGGCTCGGCACGCATGCGGCCTGGTGAGTCCTTTATATGTTGTAAGGTTCCAAACTTCTTGGCTGCTTCGATGGCAGCACGTTGCTGTGGAGAATATCTCTCCGGGGCAGCTCCATCTTCAGCGAAGAACTTGTCGGCGCGATCCTTCAGGTAGGACAGTGGGTGAGTAGGTGCTTTGCGGTCGTTATGCTTGACACTAGGGAAACGTGGTTTGCGGTTGTGTTGGACAGAGGAAGAATGGAATTGGCGTCGAGCAGATGTGCCTGCACGAGAAGTCTTTGAGAACGAGCACAACAGGCACTCGGATGAGCGTGCCACACTCATCGTGTTGGGGACGGGTATGGCAGTCGAGCTTCCAAGTGCAAAGAAAGTCCAGAATTGAAGTTCAGTTCGGCCAGTTGAAGCCGGGCTGCACCTCGAACTCGAAAAGACTTGGCGCGGGCATTGACGCTAACCAATTTTGGATGATTTTCTACGAAGGCCGTAAATAATTACATTCTTCACTTCATACCGGCATGTCCCCCATCTGACATCTTGGATTTTGTCCAAGACTCTTGATCCCGATGAAGCCAGGTTCTTCTGTTTTTGAGATCTCTCCGTCGATAGAAATGGATCATCAAGCACAACTTGAAATGATTTATTGATATCCATTTCAGCGTTTCCAGCCCTCTTCCACCATGGATACCTTGCCATGCGTGGTCTAGTAGCTGCAAAACTTTCAAACCATCATAGCTTTTTCATCTGAGACACGATAGACCATAAAAAAGATCCACATTACATTCAGGAACCATGGACGAGTCCCCACACTTTGTCATCGGGCATCATGACTCAAAACGGCCTCTACCAGTGACTCTCCAGACAGTTCAAGATGCTCATGCTGCAAATGTGAGGCTCTAACCTGCATCTCTCTGATTTCCGCCTGCTGACCCAGAAAAGTATGATATGCTCACAAGTCCTATAACGACGCCTCATTTTCAATCTAGAGTGTTAACTTTACTTTCCACTTTTCTTTCCCAACATTCGAATGGCACTGAGGACATCACCAAGACCAAAAACGCTTCCCCAGTGGTCATTCCCCCCCTTACACCGGCGGACACACCTCTGACTCCTGATGATTCCATCAGCCAGATCATTGGGATCTCCAGTTCTTGGATCGATCTCACTTCTCCCGATCCTATTATTGCAGAAGTCTCGCGCCAAGTACTGAACCTTGAATTAGCTTATGCGGCTTTCTGTGGCATCACGTACCTTCTGGTTCCTGGCCCACGTCTACGCGGTCATGGCACTTCAGATAGTGGAATTGCGCAGTATGCCCGCGCAATCATGGACGCCCTTTCTGAAGCGCCCTACATTCAGCTCTATGTGTGGCAACCTATCATCGATCATCCGGAAGAATTGGTTAAGGAAATGGGCGATTTGACGCCGTTTACTCGTCAACAATTCTTAGACGATGAGGACTTAGAACAACAGACGAGACTAGATCTTTTTGGAACCTGGGAGGCTTGGGATATAATTAGATCAATCTGTAAATACCATTCAAGATTGGGTGTAGGTAAGCATATACAGGTTCCAGCCAAACTGTTATTTTCCTCTGGCCTCCACCGGCTACGAGAGTCCCCTCGGTTCCATGCCTGATGCTGATTTCCTCTTTCAGCCTTGTCACTACCGAAGCTCCTCCCTCCTGTCCCCATCCAATCAAGATGGTATTCCGAGCCAGTTCGACTTTTGACTCTTGACGGCAAGATCTTTGCGAAAAATGCGAAGGGCTATCCTGTTCTCTCACGTGCGCATCAATCTTTTATCAGCCGTTTCATCCGCCTTCGTACTCCGCCATGGTTTCTACTATGTGATGTAGGATCTGTTCCGGGGTCCAACCCGATCGGGTTGGATCAGCAAGGAGCCTCATCGACGGCAGCATTTCCTACGCCTGCTGAAGCCGCTGAGAATCCTCAGCTCAAAGACCCAACCCCACAGCTTTCATACATGCGAAACTTGCAAACCAAACAACCAGTTCTGACACCTCTGGACCGCTTTGGTGCCGGATATCAAGATTACCTCCAGGCCCCCTTGCAGCCACTGACAGTGAACCTTGAAAGTATCACATATGAGGTCTTTGAAAAAGATCCCATTAAGTACGCCTGGTATGAGCGTGCGATAGCCAGAGCATTGCACGACTGGATAGAGCAAGGGAAGCCCACGTCCAACCCAGATGGCCGTGTTGTCGTGGCGGTGGTCGGTGCTGGCCGTGGCCCCCTGGTAAGTCGAGCACTGAAAGCCAGCGAGGATGTTGGTGTTGAAATCGACATGTGGGCATTGGAGAAGAATCCCAACGCTTTCGTCCTGCTACAGCGGCACAACGAGGCGATCTGGAACAAGCGTGTTAACCTAGTCAAATCCGATATGAGGACCTGGAGGGGCCCCCTTCGCCCAGCGAGCTCACAGCCGACGAGCCGGATTTACAACACTGAGCAAGACGACTCCGAAGATCAAGAGTCACAAAAGGGAGACACTAGCACCAAGAACCCGAAATCCACAGGGACGACCGCCTCTTTCACCGGGCCCCCATCGCTAGACTCTCCCTCTCTTCTAGCGACCTCAGAGCCTGCTCCCACCCAACCAACAACATACAAGATCGACATCCTGATCTCCGAGCTCCTGGGATCCTTCGCCGATAACGAACTCAGCCCGGAATGCCTCGACGGCGTCCAGCACCTGATGAACCCGGTGCACGGGATCAGCATTCCAGCGTCATACACGGCGCATTTGACGCCCATTGCTGCGCCCAAGCTATACGCCGACATCACGCATGGGATGACCAGCACGACGCCCCACGCGGCTGAGATACCCTACGTGGTCATGTTGAACGCAGTTGACTATCTGAGCACCACCAGCGTTGCGGAGGAAGGCTCTAGCGATGCATCGACAACCACTCAAGCTGTCTCATCGACCTCCTCGGGCACCTCAACTGCCAATCGCAAGGCTGTGGCGCAGAGCATCGGAGGCGTCGTTGGAGGAGCAAGCAGCCCTCCCATCTCAGTTCCAGCACCAGGCATAATGACACCCCAGCCCATCATCGGCACGACGTGGTCGTTCCAACACCCGAACCCGCTACTCCCGGCCTCTTCCACCACCGCCACCACCTCCTCATCAACCACAACGACATCTCCATCACCCTTATCATCCGAACCAATCTCTCTCTCCAACGCACACAACGCCCGCAGTAGCATATTGACCTTCCCGATCCCCAACCGTGGCACCTGCCACGGCCTAGCCGGATACTTTGAGACGGTCCTCTACAAGGGAGTCGAGCTCTCTACCAACCCGAACACCATGGACGCCAAGAGCGAGAGCATGATTTCCTGGTTCCCGATTTACTTTCCATTGAAGGTACGCTATGCGATGCTATGCTATGCACACTCTGTGTACACACCCACACCCACACCCACCCACCCACACACACACACACTCTCTCTCTCACTCACTCTCTCTCTCTCTCTCTCTCTCTCTCTCTCTCTCTCTCACTCACTCGCATACACACACACACACCCACACCCACCCACCAACCCTGGAAACTTGTTCCTACCCACTGCCCCTCCTCTCCGCTTTTCACTAACCGCAACCTCAACGCATAGGTCCCACTAACCGTGCCCGACTCGTCCGAGCTGCGCGTCACGATGTGGCGGAAGACCGACGACCGCAAGGTCTGGTACGAATGGATTGTCGACGTCTTCATCTCGAGTGCAGGACCCGCACCCGCGAGCTCGAAGACCAAGGGCGCTACTCCTGCCGTCAGGGTCAAGAAAATCCGCGTTGGCGGAAGCGAACTACACTCGAGCGAGAAGGATGCGTGCTTGATGTGACGTGATGTCTGCCCCGCGAAGCACTGCCGATGAAACTTTTTGCCATGGAGAGGGGGTAAAAAAGGGGTGGGGGGTTGGAAGTGTTGTTGAGTCTGCTCCTTGCTCCTGCTCTGTTTCCTCCCGCTCCTTCCCCGTCTTGGTACATACCTTCATAGATATAGGGAGCATCCTCACTCCCGAGGACGGCTGGATCTTCGAAGACTCAAGGCTCAGATAAGGATATAGGCAGGCGGTTGGATAGTTGGATAGATAGGCACATAAGGACGAGCGCCGCCTGCCAAGAACTCATTCCACAAAATCCCCAATACTTCTAGATACTTAATCCCCAACATGGTCCCAGAATCTAAGTGAAAAGCCAGAGGAAGGTTTCCGCACCTGCCCTACCGTATCTCCCAGACAGACACCGAGGGTAAAGGAAACCGGACCAATTAAGCGGACGGAATGGGATGTGAAAGGATACACGTAAGTCGAATCAGAATTGGATGTCCTGTGTCCCTATGATAGCTAGCTAGCCCGCTCTATATGCGCACCACTACAACGAGTGCATTTGGGGAGCCTGGGGAGCCAGCCCCTGCGGTCCCCTGTGGGATCGATTTTCGCCTCTATTTCATACCATACTGAGCACAACGGGCTGCTTGTCGCAACTGGTACGTCGGTTTGAAAACAAAGAAGCCGCCTAGCACCTTCCTCAGGTAAATCTAGTGACCCAAGACAATATTATCCTGAGCAGATGAAAACCCATTTCCCTTATCGATTCATCTGTCCTCCCACGGAACTGTTGTTGAGATTCTGTTGTGTTTGTGAGATCCGTGCATATCCGTAGTCACCTATCCGTTTTGTTGTGGAAAAATTTTCCCTGCTGGCCAGCTTGCCAGCCAGCCAAGCATGGTGTCAATATCAAAGATCCCCTTGGCAGATGCCGAGACTTGAACTCGAACTCGAAATCAAGCTGCACGATTGATCTGCCTTGGCGGGGTCTTCTTGACCTCGACTCTCGCCTCCTTGGTGAGACCAGGCACCGACAACGCTGCTGATGGAGTAGCGGTAGTCACACCACCATCTTCAACCCTTACCTCAGAATCACCTGTGCTTGTGGCACTCAGACTCTCAGACTCGGAGATGACGCTGCCGACACCGTCACCCGCGGCGATCTCATCGGGCTCCATTGTTGTCTTTGGTAGGGCGGCCGGGATCTCGAGACTCTCGGTGCTTCCGGACAATCTCTCTGCCAGGGAGGCACTGGAACGGGTGTTGTCGACCGCGGAGCTCAAGTAACTCTTGCCTGCAGTGCCAGCGGCGGTTTCCTTCGCGGAGCCGGCTTTCGAACCGGTTAGACCTCGTCGGATGGCGAGGACCGAGTCGACAATGACTGCATCAATTCCCTGTTTCACTTGCAACTTGACCTTGGATGAATCATTGTTGAGCGCTCCGTAACTGACACAGACCAGACCACTCTCTTTGACCACGCGAACTAGTCGCGGAGCACAGACCAGCGGGTCGGCAGCGCTGACAATACCTAGAAGATTCCAACGACTCGCAAAGCGAATAGCCTCTTGTAGACTCGTGGCCCGAACATCCCCAACAGGAGACGTCCCAGCATCAGTGAGGAATAAGACGGGAATACTTGGTTGTTTGAAAGATAGCAACAGGCAGATATCCGGATTGAAGGATGAGAAGATGATGTTCCTTCCTTTACCCAAGTCGTAGACCTTGGTCAAGACCGTGTCGACAAAAGAATTGAGTTCAACAGCATAAGTGTCCATTTCTTCGTCTTCACTTTCCGACAGCATAGGATATTTCATCTCGATGTTAAAGCCCACGTTGGAGGGGACTTTGCGGAACATTTCTTCCAAGGTGGCAAATGGTGCTTGGATGTGATTTCCACGGCTGTTTCCTTTAAATCCTTTCTTCTTGAAGTCCCGGGTATGCTTCATCCGTTCTTGCATCTCGAGTGGCTCATTGTTATCTCCACCACCCACAGACATAGATCGCAGTCTGGAAGCCCGCGGATCACCGCCCTTGAGGGTACTAACCTTTGGATTCTCGAAGAGCACAGGGGATGCCGGCCTTGAGTGGCGTGGTGTTCTCATTTCGTTGACATGGAGGAATTGTTCTAGGGTCAGAGTATGCACTGGAGCGTCGACACCTGTTTCACTGACCAAGAAATCATGGTAGATGACCGGAACATGATCCTTGGTAAGCTGTACATCGAATTCAACGTATGAAGCACCTAGATTGGCTGCTGCAATGAAGGACTGGATGGTGTTTTCACCCAACTGGAGAGAGCGACGACCAGCTGCCAAATTCTTGCCCAGTCCACGATGGCCAATGACCATGGTCGACGTCATACTCTTCCAATACGTCTGATTTTCTGTAATGGACATGTTGGGATGATGGAATGGTGTAATCACCAAGAAGTTGAAGGTCACTGAGCCGATAACCTCAAGGTCATTCGCGGCGACAATTGGTATTGTCACATCACCTTGTAGGAGCATTCGCTTGGTGCCAATATTAGGCTTGATCGTAGACAGGAGTGCGACGCCGCGGCCAACGACACGCTCCTTCGATCCGGAATAGGTTGGAATCAGGTCAAAGAATAATTTGACTTTTGACGGATCTGCAGCGTGGAAGACTATTGGCTCCGTGGAGAGATTGTCTTGCACCGGCAAGTCAATGACTTCAGCCTCGCCTTCAGCTGATTTTGCAGAAACCACAATTGAGAGGGCAGTGTCCAGTTGGGTCGAATGCGCATTAGCCAGAGGTATTCGATCGAGATTAACGGGACGAATGGACTTGCGGGTGTCCATAGTACCAAGACTGACAAGTATCATGCTCTTATCTGTGAGGTATCGATGACCGAAACTCTTGACTGGTTCGCTCATTTTTACTGCCGATGTAGGCGTTGCAATGTCGTTTGATTTCCTCTCAGAGAGTGACGAAGAGACTGGTGGAGAAGTTGATGTGATTGAATCGGGATCCTGCTCAGGCTCATGAAGGACATCGCAGAGCAATTTTGCGATATTGACATGCCCACGCAATGCTGCATGCTCCTTTGCTGTCCAACCCGAAGAATCAAGTCTTTCCAAGTCGGCCGAAGCTTCAATCAGAACTTCGACGACCGGCAAATGTCCATCAACACAGGCGATGAATAATGGTGTCCAACTGTAGGTCTTTTCACACAATTCCGTGTTTGCCTTTTGAATGTCGCTGCCGGCAAGCAAGATCTTTGCACATTCAACATGGCCGAATCTGGCTGCCAAATGGAGAGCTGAGTCGCCGTGCTCGTCTTGATAATTGATGTCGACACCTGCCTTCACAAGGAGTCCCACGATGTCGATGAAATTCGCCTTTACAGCCAGAGCTAGGACAGCTGAAGACTTTGGAGAGTTTCGACGTACGGTAGACCTTGAGAATTCAGGGGCCATGGCTTGCTCTGCATCAAGCAGTGCTTGAGTTGTAAGAGGGTGGCCACCGATCACACTCAGGTGTAAGGGTGCCCAGCCGTCGTTATCCTGCCAGAGTGGGCCGTCAATGCCGCCGTCAACATTGAAAAGTTTCCAGTATTTGAGGCGCTCAATGATAACCTCGCACATAACTCGGATGCCATATTCAGCAGCATAGTGAAGTGGCGTGCGGCCGGAGCCGTCTCTTGCCATCAGTCCCGCCCGCTGCGAGGTCTGAAGACTATTTAGAACGAAGGCAAGGAACGAAATCGACTCGTCATCTCGAGTCAAGATTTGAGCTCTCTGGTTTTCATGAGGGACGGATCGTTTGAAAGGCACCACGGGAGGTGTAGCAGGGACGATAAAGTTGGTCAGCTCCGTCTCAGCGTTGGGAAGAAGTTGAAGGCTTGGTTCTTGGTCAATGTTCGACTGCTTTCGACCTATTGACACAACCAAACGATGAATTGCATTCCGACCATTGATATCATCCGCATCGTCCAAGAAAACGATTTCCCGTAAGAGAAGAGCAGTTGAAACACGGCTTCGAGCGGATATGGCTCGCTGAAGTAACAGTTTCAGGAATTGTTGGATGGAATGCTCTGAGATGTCGGACTCCGGCTTAGTCCGGAATCCCTTGATCAGTTGTTCAAGATATCCCGTGTCGTTCTGTCGGATACCGGCTTCAATCTTTGCTGTCTGTTCGGGGGAAACATGCAAAGACGGACGAGAAGTGGTGTGTTTCAGTGACGCAGATGAGATAGAGGCTCGATCTTCGTTGCTGGTCAACGCTGCAACCTCACCAAGGACTGAGATCCAATCGTTGATCTTGCTCAAAGAAGAAGACAACTGTGTATTTGTAGCAAAAGCCGAAGGGTCAACCCTCAATTCGAGGTACTTCTTCTGTGCATGTGCTTCAGGTATGCGCTTGTCCAACTTTTTCGTGATCTTGATGAAGCCCCTCCTATTGACCTCGCCATACCATTGCAGGTTGCGCAGTTGGGCTCGCAGTTCCAGCAAGGCCGCAAGGAGGTCTTCACGTTCATCTTCTTCGAGTTGAGCGGCGGCCTGCAGAGAGGGCGAATATCGGTCCTCAAGGAGCTTGAGACGCCTGGAGAAGTCCTGGTATTTCTTGTTGTAGAAATGGTCCACGTCTTCGAGGTTTCGGTCCAAGGAATAGAAGAACCCTAGACACAATAAGCATTGCCAATAGCTCGCTACTATCAGCCCGTCCTACCAGCAAGGTCGAGGTTCCCGTCCTGCTTCAGGCCCTCGGCCGATGCTTTGATCAGCTTCTTCAGTGCTTTGTAGTTGATATAGGAGGAAGCCCACTCGGGGACCTGATTGCGGGGCAGGTTGCGTCCAAACTTCATGTTGGACTGGTATTGTTGGATGCGTAAGGAATTTACAGACCGGGATAAGAGAAGAGAGGACGGTGAAAGGAAAGGTCCATTCGCACAAGTCGAAGCTGAGTCAGGGATCTATCTAATGCGGACTCGGCGAACGGGAATGAATGGAGAGAAACGGGGGGAGCTGGCCATAGCAGATAGTTGAGTGGCAGGTGGAATGGCAGGTTCAGGTTAGGGTCAGGTCAACCAGAGCAGGCCCCAGACCAACGGAACTCTCATCGGCCGGATTGATTGCGGAGAGGGACAAAGGAAGAGTGAAAGAATTGTGAGAGAATGAAAAGATGTCGCGTGGAGAGAATGCTGGGTATCATTGGCCTTTTGATATTTTTGCCCGAGGCCCACGTCATTGGGCAAGCCAGTCCCTGACCGCTCCCCGTCAAGTTTCCACCGGGAGGAGGACGTGTGACCATTGATCCCGGTCTTACATGTGTCTCAAGAATATGACTAGCAGAGAAGAGGGACAAATGTGGGGAGGGATGGACCCGCGATGGACCCGCGATGGATCCCAGCTACCGGATGGAATGGGTCCTTGACTGCCGAAGACCCAGATACACAAGCACACAGGTACGAGACCCTCAGACCAATCATGAAGGGGCTGTGGAAATGGATTCCACGAATTCATATAACAGCTACCAGTATCAGTAATCTCCTGGTCTTAATCCTCCGTATATCTGTACATGCGCCTTTTTGGTTTCATGAAACTCCAGAAGATGCCTGATGCCTAATGCCTGATTGCTGCGGAAAACAAGAGTGTGTGCAACGGTGAGTTCTACCCACCAGCGCCAACTGACCGTCGGGAGAGAGCATGTTCTCTCGTCTCACATGATCATTGTCCACCAATCTGAGATGGCTCCTCGAACGCCAAATACGGGCAAGGAGTAGCTGCCCCAGACCAAAACAAGACCAAGCATTTCAGTGACCTACGAGATAGGTGCCTGAGTAACAAGAACCGCTAGCTTCACCGCCGGTTGGTCGCTTGCCCACCATCTTGCATCATGATCGTATCTTCGTCGTCGTGGTGTAGCGTAACACTGTTAAACTCGAGAAATGGGTCTGCGATTTCTCCCCCAGGAGTCACCATCCCCGAGTCAAGAGGCACACCTTTGAGCACAGTGGTCGTCCCTCCAATCTCCACACTGCCGCTGTCCTTGACTGTTCGGAAATTCAGCGTGTCAATTGCACGACCCTGGTGTGGGATCATCGGCGGCTTCATATGTCGAAGAAGTGCCCAGGTTATAGGGCGGAAAAACGGATGACTCTTGACATCCGAGGCGCCTGCACGAGATCCTAGCCGTTTGACCTCGTCTTTGATCAGCAGCTTGCGGATCACAGATTTACACAAACTGTACCACGTTAGTGTATCGCCAATCACAGCGGTCGGGTGACACTCACTTGCTCACTTGGGTCGAGTGGGAATGGTCTGGGAAAGGAACCTCGTCTCGGAGAATATTCGCGAATGTGGCATTGCGATTTTTGCCTTTGAACGGAGTTGTTCCAAACAACATTTCATAGATCAGAATTCCTAGAGTCCACCAATCGACTGCACTCGTATGCCCGTTGCCTTTAATAACCTCGGGAGCAATGTATTCTTCAGTGCCGACGAACGAATTGGTGCGGAAATCGGCGATACAAGACTTGGTGTCCACCAGGGGATATCCTGTTGGATTGGAAGCATTGCGAGTCCCCAAAATCATCGTAGGGGCACCTCCAGAATCCGATTGTTTGGATAAGTCGAAATCTGACAACATGATATGACCGGACTGATGCAGAAGGATGTCTGAATATGTCAGGGTCTCGTTCTGACAAGCAGAGGGTATGCTTACTCTCGGGTTTCAAATCTCGGTATATAAAACCCATCAAATGCAGATACTCCAGCGCAGCTGTAACTTCAGCTGCATAGAATCGAGCATCTTCCTCGCCAACGCACTTGTTCGGTCGGGTTTGTAATGCTCGGAAGAACTCTCCACCACTGCAGTATTCCATGCATAGGTATAAATGCTCTTCGGATTGGAAAGAGTGATATAACGTAACAATGAATGGGTGATTGCTGGTAGCGAGGATTTCTTGCTCAGCCAGAGCTCGCTTGATCTTGTTCCGTTTAATCATTTCTTTCTTGCTGAGAACTGCTCCAAATTAGCTTGCACCTCATTGATGGAGTACTTCACACTGACCTTTCATAGCGTAGAGACGATTTGACTTCTTCTCACGAACCAAATAAACCTTTCCCACATCCCCTTTTCCAATGAGTTTTATTTTATCGAAACTCCCAGGACCGACCTCAACGTTTCGGACTTTGATCGAGTTCGAACTATACGTTCGCCGAAAAGCAATTGACTGTCGGATCTGCCCCGGTAGAGGAGATTTGGCCCCAGGCTTTGGAAGACCAGGCAGACTCAATGTGCTAGCATCTTCCTGGGCTATCATTCCTAGTTTAGGAGAAGACCCTGATCCGACCTCGAGAGGTTCCTTGCCCAGTTCTGCCGTCTGAGGTCGATCTCCAGCAGTCTTATTGGCATTGAAAAGACCCTGGGCATTGGGAGCAGATGCCACTCGTCTTAGTTTCCTGGCCAGTTCTTCCTTTCCTGCAGAGACCAGATTTTCCTGAGGCGTTGCGCCATTGACCTGGACCTTTGGGGTATCGGGAGGAGAAGGGGGGACACTACCCTCGTTATGATGGCGCAAAGCAGGGAGACCTTGATGGATGAAATAAGGATTGGCCTGTGCAGTGGGGGAGGCTATAGTATCGTCAAGGGGATGCCCGTCGCTGGCAATGGTGGTAGAACGGTTTCGGCCCAAGGCTGGTAGGAATCGGGATTGTTTGAGGGGCTTTGTCTCGGTCTTGGGGGTAGGTAAACCATCTGAGCCTATAGAAGTTTGACTGCCACCGCTGTTGATGCGGAAAAAGTTCTTGAGTTTGGTAGTGGTAGGCGTATGTGTACCGGAACCTGAAGTGTCACCATTGAGATGCTTCTTCGAGGAGAAGGAGAGACTGGAAAAGTTGCGTTTCTCGGTAGCCATGATGTTGCAGAGACCAAGTGAATGGATCCACAGAATCAAACGATGGTCGAGGCAGAGCAATAGTGATCAGGAACGCTTGTGAAGAACAAGATCGAGAAGCAGTATCCGATAATGATGGCGAGTGGGAAGTTGGTGGATAGGACGAGGTGGGCAAGAGGACGGCAGTGGGATCGGAACTGAGGCGTTATCTGCGGAGCGCCATGTCAGGATGGGCGCTGGTTGAGGCTGGTGACAATAAGCCTGAAATGTGAATGTAGATGGAAGTGCAAGTATACTTGGTATATTGCAAGGTATTTGGCAATGGGGACTGGGATGGAGCTGGAAGAGCAAGTGCTGTGCTGGTCTGCTTAGAGAAGGGATGTCAACGAGCGAGCGCCACTGCTCAGTTCCAAGTATGCGGACTACGAGTAAAGTTGGTTGGAGGAGGAGGAGCAATGAGGCGTATGGACTGCGGACGACTGTGGAGTCGCGACTCAGTAGTGGAAGAGGGAGTGGGAGTGGGAGTGTGCGAAATGTCGCCCTCGGCCCTCCTTTGGCCTAGTCTGGACCGGATACTGCAGCCTCTCCGGGTGACTCCCACCACCACTCTGTCCTTAGTGGTACCCTCGCTCTTAGTATCTGGCTAAAAGCGGGCTAACATCGACTTAGTCGCAGCTATGACTAGTTAATATGCCTGGGCACCTCCTACCCTCCTCAAGGACACAAGTCCCTAAATTGCGCGTACTCACCACCTCCCGCCAGATCCAACTTACAGTAGGGGGCACGACAGAAGGAAAGGGGTCCCGAGGGCAAATTTACGAAGGACACACGGACTCCAAGGGCTTACCGCCTGGCTAGAGTTCCAGGGGGATAGGAGTTAAGCTTGTCGTGTAATTCAATTCCTGTCGTTGCCCTGCCCCCTAAGATTACGAACCCTCAAGGGCTGAAGGGCCATACGCCCATAGCAGGGCAGGTAATGCCAAGGCCCATAGTGAGATACCTACCTACTCGTACGAGAGCTATCCAGGGTGCGGAGTACGGATACCTTGCACTCTAGATGCCACATAAATAAGACGGCGGCTCCAGCTCAGGCTGATTCATACCCCCCATTGTACGCAGGACATGGTGGTATTAGTTAAATGTCGTCACCTCTGATGGCCACGGACTTTACTATTTAGATGGCAATGCTTCATATATTAGAGGATAAACCTCTTCTTCCTCTACTCGTAGTTAGCTGGAAGCATTTAGGCCAGACCAGAATGATTCGCCTTCATCTGCATTTGTACATTGTGTCATCCTGTTAGATTTCGCCTATAATCGTCATCGCACTCCTCAATGCTTGCCAACCCACACCCACAAGGCCCGATATCCGGTTGATTTCTCAGCAGGTTGTTCAACTTACAGGCACTTTTCCTGCAACATCAGCATTCTGCCGTCCCACTTCTCTCGACACTACGCGTCGCTCTACGGGCCGCTACTCTTCTTGTTTACCCATGGAGGTACCTCCTTTATACTCTCGTTGGCAGTTGGGACACACTATCCACTCCAACCAATGCTTGATTGAATGCCTGCCCGTATTGGCTAGCTGTATTGCACAATCAGCTTGCTGACATTACATATTATCTTGCTGATACAATTTCTGGTCTGCTTTTGTTTCCCTAGCGTGTCATGTAACATGTTGGTCTTTTGACCGAATACGTCTTGTATGCTTCTGACACCTGTTGTTCTTGGTATTCATCAATCCGTCCTGACTGACATACGTTACCCGACTAAGCATTAAGCCCTGTTGTTTGCTCGTGTCCATCCCAACATGCCATCGTGGCATTCACTTCCCGTTGTTCCAATATTCTGAAAGACATAAAAGCCAACCATAGTAATTCATGTCTCCAGGTTGACCGACTTGTTCGTACCAACCATACACTCCGGAGGAGAAGACAAGGTATCTCCCGTAAAACTGCACTCCAATCTGCATTCGAATTTTGGGTTCATTATCCAGAATCCAAATCTCACATTCCCTGCACTCTGTACGCATCACTTCGAAATGCGCTATCGCCTTCACTGCCATGGCATCGCACTTGACACGATTGGGGCCCAACAAACCACGCACCTCCTGTTGGGCTTGGTCGATGAATCAACGTTGGACTGCGAACTTTCCCGGCGGCCGACAGCAGCGATTTAGCAGAGAACTTTTGGCTATCGGTGGTCCCATCTAGCATATGTGGAAGATGACCCATCGCATGGACATTCTGCACAGAGACTGATGAGTAGCCCTTATTGAGATTGGCATCCTGACCACATTCCCAATCTTTCATGAGTCGGTCCTGGCTAGGCCAATTCGACTTATTGTCACCTTGAGTCCAGATATTGGAGCCGGAGGCTAAGGGCTGGTTCAGAGAGCACATGCCACCGTGGGATGTGACTGGTGGAACGTCAGCAAGCTTGTGACCTGCCTGAATGAAGGCTTTGCTCCTACAACGTTGTTGTCAGCACAAGAATTGGAAGTATTGGCAATTCTTCTGTGGCCTACTTTGTGAAGTCACGCTCATTCTGTTCAAAACTTGCGACATTCTGAGGTGATGAGTGAGAGCCCTGGCTTGACTTACTACCCCTCGTATTTTCCGGTTTAACAACACTAAGTTCACGGCATGAATTAGTCATGGTACTCTCCAGGAGGATTGGCAGACGACAAACCCTTCGGTGCTCAAGCTAATCAAGCTGGAGGAAAGTTGACTCAGAGGCTTTCCGTCAGAGGAGCGACGCACATCGATAAATTGATCGGCCATTTCTTTGGTCATGGTTGGTTTGGATGTCCAGTAGCGTCTTTCAAAGTCGTCCATGTTGGATGAAGGCGGTCGCTGCAACCCACGACCTGGAACTTGGGTGATCGTACCATCCGGGAGTTTAACCAGGCTGACAACTCCTTGTGGGAGCCTCATTGCGTCGAGCTGGAGCTCGTAATATGCTTCAACTGTTGCTGGTGCATCTCCTGGGTTCACTGGCAACCACTCTGTATTTTCTGAATCCCCCTCGATAATGGTGTCAGGGATAGTTGCAACTGCTTGGTGGTTGAAGCTTGATGACTTGGAACTAGTCTGGGAAACAGCTGCGATGACTGATTCGACTGCTTCATCTGGTGACTCGCTGCCTGCACATACTATGACTGCTAGCATCTCTTTCTGTTGCTGCTCGATGTGCGGAGGAGGACGACCAATGCGGACGCCCCACTCATCAACTGCGACATCACTAGCAGGGCTTGAGTGCACATTTCCAACAGCACCTAAGATCGTTTCTTCAGCTGGTGGCGATGGCTTTTGTGGAGCCACGATGGGAATGGCACGGCGTGGAGCTCTGGTTGTGGTGGAATATGCAACAGTGTTTGATTCAAAGCTATTTGCTGTAGAATCAATCGCAACTCCGCCAGACAAGGGCAAAGCTGCAGTAGCTGGTGCTGAGTTCAGAGGAACATAACTTTCAGCTTGAACGTTCAATGTGGTACCGTGGTGAATTGCCTGGTAAGGAGTAGGGGTTGGGTTGTTTAGGGCGAAAGCGAGTTTGTTCTCCCAGTACTTGATTTCATCCTTCATATCTGAACGTTGTTTGGCAACCGCCATGCGCTGTTGTGAAAGGTTGGCGTCATGATTGATCATTGCACGACAGCGATCAATTGACCTGAGTTGATTTTCAAGTTCTTCAAAGGCCGATTTCACTGTGAGGATCATGTGCTGGCAGTAAGTCGAATAAGCTTCACCAGTTAACATGGGCGATGTGCCTGGCACGCCATACAGATCTCCGTAAGGGTACAGCGTTGGATGATACTGAGCACCCAATGGTCCACTGTAGGCACCAACGCCTTGGCCGAACAAAGTTGCATTCATTGGAAAGATCTGAGGACTGTGAGCCCCGTATGGATCAAACGAAACACCCGAGAACAAAGGACTGGGGTGCACCACTGGGAAAGTAGCAGACTGTGCAGAACCAGGATTGGCCCCAAGTGGGACAGGTGGAAAGGTGAAAGCAGTGTCAAGACCAGCTCCCAAACCATAGTTGTCTGTCGCCTCTGAATGGGCCGAGACCTGAGGAAGAACTTCCTTGGCCACCTTCATGCCTTGTTCAGGACTGATACGGCTATTGCCCTCCTTCTGGGCTGAGGCACGGATCAGCGGACTGTGAAGTTCCTTTGGAAAGTCCTTGCCAAGATCGGGTGCACCAGTTGAGGCAGCTGGGAGGGAAAATACTGGAGGTCGTGGGCGTTGCTCCATTGGAACAATACGGCCACCAGCGGTGACACGTTGATGTGTAGGTGATGAATGTTTTTCAAGAAACCGAGCGAAACCCTTATCTTGCTGAGCTCGAGTCTCACTTGGTGGACCAGAGGGTTGTCTTGCAGGCTGCAGGGTACGATTGCCAGCATACACGACCATTTCTTCTTGCGATTCACTTGACTCTTGAGACCAGTTTCGAGGCTGGTCACTGACTGTTCGACGCATGGACATAACGCAAGCACCTAATGGAGGTACAACACCAGCTACCTGGAATCAGTGCGTGAAGAGGTTTCGACTTGGGAGACTCTCACCTCTAGCTGCGTCGTATGTGAACTTGGAGAGGTCGAAGTTGGCTTCCTCTACTCGCGGAGCGAGCTCAAGTAAGCGAGTCAAAGTGTACCTGCGCGGCCGGCTAGGCAGGGAGCCTGTGGTTTGTTTAGCCATACTGATGATATTTGGTGCTTTGAGCACCGCTTGAGATGAGATTGTGTAGCCAAAGAAAGAACAGAACCAAAAAGGCAACCTCTGGACCGCAGAGGATCCCACCAGTGAGGACTTTGCAGCGAGCGAGCAAAGAGTGGAAGTGGTGTACAAGGACAGACTTGAAAGGTGACCACAGGGCGATGATCGTCAGAAATGAAAGAGCGCGGGAAGAGGAAGCAGGAGGGGCACATCTCAACTTACCGGAGCGATAGAGTCTCAATAGGCAAGAGCACCTGTTGGACTCGGCAACGAAGGCTATCCAAGAAGGTCGATAGAGAGCTTACACTTGAAGGAGAAGCTGAGTGTTGCGTACACGAACATTCAGAAGCAATTTAAGAAGGTAAACAGTCAGTGACTTGAAGGCAGTGTGTGGCAAGGCACCTATAGTGAATGGCTTGGGAGTCGGGACTGGCAGAAAGTAAATATCCATTCACATCTGGGGGATCACATCACATGCAAGCATCCTGGCAGTATTCTGGGTATAACCTTGAGTAATATTTCATCCCCCATCCTCATCATAGCGTGTTTCCAGATATATTCATCCGTTGATTCATGTCTCATATTCCAAGTGGTAATGTAACGCCTCCACTCCAGGTATAGTGTTTAGTCGGAGAGACTCAGACGTGGTGCTTGGGGTCGGTTGGAGAGGTGAATGGGTTGATTGGCATGTCGTCGTCTTCGTAGGATGGGCGTCTTGGACGAGTGGAATTGATATCGAACATTCCCCTTTCTATCTCCTTTGCCTTTGCTTGATCCTTCAATTCCCAGCTGCCTACACGTTCATGACCGCGGGTCTGGACCGGGTCTGGGCTTGCTATCACCACCGCTCCCGCACTTCCCTTGGGGATGGTCAGATCTTGATCGCTTGCTAGTCTTTCTGACCCTTTAAACCCTCCGAGTTCTGACCGGCGTTTTGTCTGCACTCGGTGGACGCGAACACCACCAAAGAGTGCCACCGCGCCAAATACTAGTGCCGCGACAGCTAGAGTGACCACGGCACCGATCACACCAGCAACGGCAGGGGATAGTCCTCTATTGTTTCCGCCAGAAGATTGGGTCGTTGGACAGAGGGCTCCGTCGTCGTTCACGAATGCTGGGCAGAAAACTGAGAACGAATTACACGTCGTGCACCAGTCCTCAACGTTCAACATCATGAACTGTTGTAGGTTTGTGACAAAATCTGTCAAGGGAATCATAGTCTGGCTTGGACTCAGCCCGAAGAGAGGATATTCGACAAGTTGTGAATCAGTGCCTGTGCCATTTTGATAAAAGAATCTCACAAAGATCTCGTCATTCTCGGGATATGTCCTGTCGGCTTCGGCTTGCATCGAGGATAGTTCGAAGACAAAGCTCGCTCCTGGCTCGGGAAGACTATAGAAGGCAGCATTTTGAGGTGAGGTTAAACCTGCTAGTGCAGCAAAAGCGACCATGGGTTGGAAGTCACCAAACAGCAGTGTCATCTTTGCTGAATTTCCTTCAGTGTTTATGCTTGTGTAGAATGCTTGTAAAATTCGAGTCGCCAATGTCCTGCCCGCGATAGCTCTAATTTGGTCACCCTCGACTGGCCCCGACACTGCAATATCTGCATTCTGGGCAAAGACCAAATCGGCAGCAAGGATCCTGGCCTTCGTCAGATCTTCTGGCTCAAGTAGCCTCGCCACAGTGGTGTTGTGGACACTAGCATATCTGAGGTAGTCGTAGATGTAGTAAGCATCAAGATACCCGGCAGATGGAGTTGAGAAGTATCCATCAAGGAAATCTGACTGAAGGCTTGCGTAGAACGACTGTGTGCTGTTTCGTAAGTTTTCAAAAGCATCGGTCTGATAGTAGTCATTGACAGACGCCCTCCAAGTTGGGCAGTTGTGGCTGCCGTCAAGCCAAATCGAGTTCATGTCGTTGCTGGTCATTGTGAGGATAGCTGGATATTGGTAACCATCTAAGGGAGCCACCAAGTTCGTGCCATTCTCAATTGTACTTTCGCCGGCTATGTAAGTGTAATTGGAAAATGTCTCCAATGGAGGGTAGAGGCCTTGAAGAAAGGCCTGAGCAGAGCCTGTAATATATTGCTCCTGACCGGCTAGAACAGTGAGTTGTTCGGACTGGAGCTGAAATGGTGAGATGCCCGCAATGGTCGTGACGTCGGCATCTCCTTCAATTGGAGTCACATAGCGTTGGCGGACTTTGGCGCCCGCCTCAAATAGTTGGTGAGCACCAAGTGGTGTCAGAGTGGCTGGCGATGAGAATACGAAAGGCGTTCGATCTCCATAGTTGGTATATATGAATGTGCTTAGGACCTCCTGTTTGAGACCTGACTGAGCCACTACGGCAGACGACAAGGCAACGAGGAATGCCGGAAGCACACGCAAGTAATGACCAGTATCCATTATTACAAACAGCAAGGTTGGCAGAATTAATTTATGGTCAATTCAGTCAACACTCGGATTCGAGCGTATGAATTGAAGAGAAGAGGATAGATAACCATGGCGGGGTGCAGCTTGCATTATGAGCTCAGCCAGGCCGACCAGAGGAAGAAGCTGGGCAAGCTCTAAGAGCTCATGCGAGCTTTCTCGATAACTAGCAAGCTTACTACATCGAGAGGAGTGTCCCATGATCATTGTGGACGAGTATACTGGTAAGCGGGAAGGTGGGAAGGATAACCGGGGGACAGCTTCGATAGCAGACAAAGTGAAGTGGGGTTGCAGCTTGGAATGCACTTCAATTCGCTACAATAGGCCATGCAACTTGAAGGTTTGTAGCCTTGGATGCACGATGAGGATGATAGCCCCATGGGTGCCGCCGTTAGCTTCTGCGCTATGGCATGTAAAGTGAATGGTACCTGATAAACGGATTCATGCAACAGCTGATATCTTAGTAGGGGCAGAAAGCGTGTGCTCCGTACTTGGCATGGAAAACGTTCAGAACTTGAAGTGGACTGGATCGCCGTGATCCAACCAGTAATTAATCGCTACTGACCTTGTCCTTAGTAACGAGCCGAAACACCATCAATTTGACTCAGGAAGCACAGAAATGTATCTCTTCAAGGGCCGCAAGGTTGACTGATTGCCTTGGTTCAAAGCTGAATACACAGGTTGGAACCTCGTGCTAACTGACGCCATTGCCCACTGCACATCGTTGGTCCGAGCCAAAGAAGGAGAAACCATGTTGCAATCACGTCACGTCAGGCCCGTATCGTTAGGATTCGGAAGGCAAAATGAAGGGGGCTGGGATATCGCAGACCGAGGGTTGGAACATTACTAAGGACAGTACGGAGGATGAAGCGAGATCTCCTAGTTTAATCCAAGGAGCTGCCCAAGGCGTCTTTTCTCGTTATTGATTTCATGGAAGGAGGCGGATTACTCCGTACACCGTGGGTGATGATAATCATAACAATTCATACAGTTCCCCAGGTACTCAGTAGCAATTAACAAATATGGTCGTTGATACATCCGCGATGATCAGTAGTTTTTACGGTTCCATGGTCTGCTTTGCTAGCCAGCCCAATTCGAGACCTTACGGGTACAATGCGCGAGACTGCCCGTAGCATCGTGTATTACTGTATTGGTTCGTCCTGACAAAAAGACAGGCCACTACCCCGCCATATCCCACATACTGGCACTTTGCAGTCAACCAAGGTCAGGCATGCAGGACAGGTTCGTCAGACTCTAATTTTATTTCCCGCAGCATGATTACCACGTGACAATATCCTCAAGTCACTGGCACCCATCAACTTTCTTCAAAAAGTGCGCTTGTCAACGATGTCGGTGATTTCGCCTGGAACAGAGGCTGCTGAGGGCAGCAATGGAGCGGCGCTGGACGACGGTAGTCAAGGTACAGACCCATGCCGTCATTTCCTCGATCTGTCAAACCAATGATTTACCAAGTGCAACAGGTCAGTCACCAACTACCGCCTCCACGATACCCTACTCCAGTCTGTCGGACGGCAACCCTCGAAGTCCAAAGCGGAGACGACTATCTCCTGTCAATGATGAGGACAAGAGCGGCGATGCCACCCTTTCACAGGCCACTCGCGACGCTCCCACCACTCAAAAGGGCGAGGTTTCAAAAATTGAAGACCCGGCAGTGAAGCAACAAAGCCATACTCCCAGTGTTGCGACAGCTCAAATTCAGCCTCAGAACCCCGCTGTCGCTGTTCGACTGGAACATCTACCGGCCCTCGATACTGCCGCCTATCATGTATTGGCTTTCCTGGCACGGTTAACGCCGGCCGATGCGCTAGGACTTGCCAGGGCTCCAGACTCCCCAAGTTCGCGAGAATATGCAGCATTGCGATCGCAATTTGAGTATACGCGAAGATTCTATAATACTGGGGCACATTTTTTGTCCGCAAAAGATACTGGTCTTGAAGAGAAAACACAGATTGATACTCTTCGAAAGGCGAATCAAGCTATCTTTGTGTCAAGCGTATTTACAGGAGAGATTGGCCTGCGGGACATGGATCGGAGTTTTCTTTCGGTATTTGTGCCCGAGGGAGGCAAATTGTTGAAGCCCCAAGGCTCCATGTATCTTGAACTAAAGACACAAGGATTTATTACTGCTTGGCGGACTGGCGCAGCACCGCCTGCTGTAGTTATGTCGGACTTATTTGGTCCAGACATAGATAAGAGCATACTGTCAAGAAGACCGGGAGTGAGCACTTTGGCTCTGAGTGAGCAAGACTTCCTTAATCGGCTTTCGTCTCGCCGCGAAATTCTTCAGACTCACATACAGAACAACACTCTAAATCAGCTGCCAGAGAAGTATAAATGGGAAGATTTTAGTCGTGAGGTCTCTTCATATCTTTTTAAGAATATTGAGAATCCTCTCGGCAACGCTGATGGAACTACGGCTCCACCCAGGAGCGAGGGGGTTCCTATACCGCCTCAAGGACAGATGGAAGGCCAATTTTCAATTCATGGTACATCTTTTCCCCCAGGCTCACGTGAGTCATTTGCTTCCCCAGCTACGGCATCGACGACGTTACCCGCTTCTGGACTGCCATTCCAGGATGATGATTTCGTTGCACAGGCAGCTAGAGCTGCGGAAATAGCCATGCAGGGAGCTGGGGGAGTCTCTTTTGCAGAACAGCTGCCTGCGACAACATCAACACCACCCTCTAATCAAGGGACGAATCATGCTGCCCCAAACATGAGCAAAGAATATCAGCACTATGATCCCGCCATGGAGAGAGCTTCAGCACGATCCCTTGGAGAGAACCCATCCAGTATTCCGAGTGAGATACCCCATGTATCACAGACTGCGCCAACTTCAGTTCTGTATGAGCGAGCCCGACTGGCTGCAACGACAAAGGCGCTTGCAGCACGAAAAGGGACTAGCCCTAGCCAAAGACGCCCGTGGACGACTGAAGAAGAAAACACTTTGATGGCCGGCCTTGACCGTGTCAAGGGTCCACATTGGAGTCAAATACTGGCCATGTACGGACCAGGAGGAACCATCAATGAGGCCCTGAAAGATCGCAATCAAGTTCAATTGAAGGACAAAGCTCGGAATCTCAAGCTTTTCTTCCTCAAAAGCGGCATCGAAGTGCCATACTATCTTAAGTATGTTACTGGTGACTTGAAAACACGAGCTCCTGGCCATCCGAACAAGCAGGAATCAAAAGAACAAGAGAACGGACAAGGGTTTATGGCACTCGACGAAATCGAGCAAGAAGCGCTGGCGACGGGATCCAGCGGGTCTCGCTCAGGACGTCAATCACCAGCTGTCGATGATTTTGAGGAGCCAACACCAGCAGCAGACATCAAAAAACCATTTGAACCCAGCATGGATGATGTAAGTGTCTCTCCCAAGACTACCACTTGTTGCTTTGACCATCTAGAGTCAAGACTGGAGATCTGGATTCCCTTCTCGTCGAACTACACTAATTCGAAAATTTGCAAACAGGTGGAAGCCATGATAGCGAGAGCAGCTGCACAAGCATCTCAGTCTCTGGGCTCTACTTGGCCGTGATGGCGACAAAGAAGACTAGAAGTACCTGGAACTGTGGTTCTAGCACCTGCAAATCATGATGAACCTTCAGTCTACAGCTAACATAAGCCCCTTTTCCTAACAGATGTGTCAAGGTGACATAGATATGTATCAAAGCCTCAGAGTTGTATTCCCAGTTTAAAATTTTTACAGAGGGATCAGGCGGTGTGTGGCGATGCATTGAGGCTACTGATATTCACGATAAGTCAGACATAATGCAAGGTCGCATCAACCATTTGCGATCCACCTTAGTTCAGACGTGCCTAATGTATTATAACTTTGTATGACAGACATATGAAACCAATACCTAAAGGTCAGTGGCCACAGCCCGTAAATACCTACCTAGGTAGATAGGACACTCAGTCATTTCTTAATTGTATTCCCCAAGCGCTCCAAAGGGTAGAGTCATCCTGATCAAGCCTCGGACGAGTTTTGAGTCTTCCGATTGGGCGGATCAGAACTTCGTAGTGAGCCAGCCACCATCAGTAATTATCAGGGGGATGGTCCATACCATATACTGTACTCCGTAGGACTGTCTATCATCCTGCAGAGTGCTCTAAGTGAAGGTTGATACGGTCGCTGTCACCTCACCCTCACCGATCGGTTTTCTGTTCTGCGCTGTCCTGCTCCATTCAAACGGCACTAACTTTTGTGCGAACCGCATTCGAATACAGCCACCACCCGGAGGGCACTATCCTCTTCAGTCCCACCACTCCTACAATAAGCATAATGGCAACCGAAACAAATGACAGCACCGCTCCGCCTAAGGAGATGGACGTCGACGTTGACGCAGAAATGGAAGACACGCAAGACACTGCAACAGCGACCGCCACCGACGCCGCCACCACAGGAGCCGCTGGCGGCAGCGGGAGTAACAATGCGCAGAACAATGAGTTCTTATCAGCGGCACTCGACATTGAGTTCACACAGCCTGAAGCCCAGCCTGCAGCGGCGGGCGCGGCAACGGCGACGACGACAGGAGGCACGGGGGGCGTAACGGGCACTGGCCTGCTACATGGAAATCGCAAGGACGTGACGCTGCGCGAGTTCCTGAGCAAGATGGATGATTATGCGCCAATTGTATGTTTTCTTGAATCCCGCTAAGTACCGTTGAAGAACGTCTTTCGAGATCCAGAGGACAAAGGAATTCCGCCGTGCTGACAAGATTGCCTCTCTAGATCCCCGACGCCGTAACAGCACACTACCTGACCCTATCCGGGCTCCCACCGCCCTCGGCCGCCGACCCAACGGGCGCAAGCACGAACACGACACCGCTCCCACTGGCACGACTCCTCGCGCTTGCGACGCAGAAGTTCGTGGCCGATATCGCCGCCGACGCGTACCAGTACAGTCGGATCCGGTCGTCGAATTCCGCATCGGCCAATAACCCCCTCGGTGCGGGCGGCATAGGTGCTGGTGGACCTGGAGGGGCGGCAGGCGTGGGCGCAAGCGGTGCTGGTGGCGCAGGCAAGGTACAGCAGGCGGCGCAGTTGGGTGTGCAGAGGACTGGGTTCGGTGGTGGCGGCCAGGGCGGGAGTGGGCAGGGACGCACGGTCTTGACTATGGAGGACCTGGGCATGGCGGTGCAGGAGTATGGGATTAATATCAAGAGGGGAGAGTTCTACAGATAAGAGCAGGGTTGATGCTGCCGTTTTTCTTCACGGCGATACACGAAGTATGATGGACCCTAGGCTGAGGACTGAGGGGAATCATCGCGTTGGACTTTGACATGCATGTGCATAGCGACGGCGTCGGAGGGCAGTGGTCACAGGCTCGTGGTTACGACCAGAGATAAACCATGATGGTTGCATAGATTCTCAGGCGGTCATTTTCAGGAGGTGTAAAAATTCCAATCCTTAACCGACTGGGCTTGCGAAAATGGATGAAAGTAATCCCATCCATATTTTCAGAACAGTTATGTCTCCATCCTTGCTCTACTTCGCCCTGCGGCTTTTTCAGCTTCCTCAGCGAGAGCGCTGTCCGAATTCCTTTTATCAAAGAGCAGTGTGCAAGCAAGTCCTGGAGAGCCGGCCAGCCAGCGTGCGAGGAATGTGCTCGCCCAAGCAAAAGCTCATTTACCCTTACATGCCTCATGGAAACTCTAATATTATCTTGTGTCGTACAAGCCTTCACCGATCGGCAAACCCTCTCTTGTTGCTCTCTATTTGTTCTTGCTCAACTTATATGTAAATCGTTTCCTCGTTCTGCAAGCTCGCCAACATCAGTCGAACCGTCACAGTAAAAGGCCGAGGTGACAAAGGCCCAGGGAACCGCCCCCAGATGGCGGATGGGGGAAAAGAATCAACTCACGGTGAGAACTCGCCCAATTTCCTTCCCACCATCTCCTCGGTCACGTAGACGTCGTTGTACGTCTTTCCGTTGTGGACTAAGAACTTGTAGCCGACCATATACGGCGTGATTGCTGCCGCGCGGGCCTGGGTCTTTATGGCGTGGGTTTTGGGCCCGGAGAGGTCGAAGGGCACGAGGTTCGGGCCTAGGAAGATGGATGTGAGTATATATTGGTTTTGTATGTGAATGGAAAAGGTTGATATCAGACTGCGGTCGTCGGGTTTGGGTGTTTGAATGAAAAGATCTGTTGGTTGTAGCATGGGTGTGTTTTCGGGCTGCCATACCTTTCCAGACGGATCGCTTCAGTAGCGACAGTGTTGGGCGCATTGTTACCCCAGGTTCATGGCCGATGTACTCGATTGCGGTAGGTGGTGGGTGTGGTGATTTACAGAGAAATGCTTTGCGGAGGTGCTTGACTCGAAGCACGTTCTTGAATGACGGATGTCTGACGAAAACCAACCGTCCAATCAAACGCCAGATAAGCAGCAGGGTGATATTGTCAGACTGCACAGTTATTTCTGTCGTTCCTAGGCATCCCTGTCGAGACTTTCTAGGCGGTCGCCTTACCCGGGCCCAGCATTTCCCGACCAAGGACAGGAAAGGGTCAGGCAGTCAGGTCACTGCGAATGCGGATGCAATTCAAACTCCAGAAATGAAACTCCACACCCGTGACCCGACATCATCACTCAATCAGACGTGGGAAATTTGGTGCCTGCCCCGAACAACGATTTCGGGAGATTTACTCTCCTGTTTACCTCCTGATCCTGACTATTAATTGAGTCCGCGTTATCTGAGAAGGTAGCAAACAATAATATCACCTACACAGTCTTTGTTCTTGTCATGACCTTACGATAACCTCCGCCCCCTCTTTCTTCCCTATTCAACCTTCGCCCAACAGATCTTGCGTGCGACGAATCATCTGTCTTTTGTTCTTGACAGATCCATCTCACTTTCGAATCGACTCCTTTTTGTCCTTGCGGACAGCATTCTTGGAGTAAAATTCCGAAATCATGGCGTCACCGGCAGTAGGGTCGTACTCGAACCCAATGAAGAAGTTCAAGTACGCAGTTCCAGTTCCAGTTCCACACCATACAAAGTCCGCAGGCTGACGGGCGATGTAACTACAGACTTGTCTTTCTCGGTGAACAGAGTGGTATGATGACATGTCTCCCTTCACCGCGGGCAGAAGAGAATCTATACTCATATGTGATGATTGTACAGTGGGTAAAACATCATTAATAACCCGGTTTATGTACGACTCCTTCGATACCACATATCAAGCGACCATTGGCATCGACTTCCTATCCAAAACTATGTACCTCGAGGACCGCACGGTACGGCTGCAGCTGTGGGACACAGCAGGCCAGGAGCGTTTCCGCTCGCTGATTCCCTCGTATATCCGGGATTCGTCCGTCGCCGTCGTCGTTTATGACATTTCGTCCAAGAAGACTTTCGAGCAGACGCGGAAATGGATTGATGATGTGCGCGGTGAACGCGGCAATGACGTGATTGTCGTGCTTGTTGGAAATAAGACCGATCTTGGTGACAGTAAGAGAGAGGTCACTACCCAACAAGGTGAAGAGGAGGCCAAACGCTCCAACGCCATCTTCATGGAGACCAGTGCAAAGGTCGGTCATAATGTCAAGGCCCTATTCAGGAGGATAGCCCAGGCCTTGCCCGGCATGGATGCCGAAGGCGAAAATCAACCCAATCCGCAAAGTGAGTCGCACTCCAGGCCCAGATTTCCTCATCTGCTAGCACTGGGTGAGATCAATGAAGCTAACTCGGCCCAAAACCCATAGTGATCGACGTGTCGATAAACAATCAAAAACCCGCCGAGGAAGGGTGTGCCTGTTAAAGGATTCCAGGTTAACCTCCTTGATCGAGTCCATTCCCTGCACGCATCAAAAATCATAACTGGACATTGAGTTCCTTCTCTATCTCTCTCTACTGTCCGTGTGGTTGTGCAATCAGTCTTCCGCTTTACGTTCAACCATCCCTCACAAGGGTGTGCGCCGGTCGAACGCATGATATACCGTGTTATCGGAGGACCACAAAGTGGATCTGGTAATTTTCATGAGGACGCAAGTGAGAGGTCCTGGTGATGGAGAGTGCAAGTCTTCGGTCTACACAGACATGTGGGCACAAGGTCCATTATCCAATTGGCAGAAAAAGACCAATTGGGTTCGCTTCGTTTTAGCATAGCAAGGCGTTTTTGGGTTGCGTGATGGAATGGGCACCGCGTCGAAGTTGGTATGAATTTTGAATCGAGCCAATGTACCTCTTTTGGTGGTGCTTGGTCGGAAGCCATAAGGCATGGATGAGCAAGGACATGAGGACAAGCGCGAATGCCTCATGCAGCGAGTTGGCAGCTTGAAAACTGGGGATTGTCCATGCAGAGAGTATACACACACATATACATACGGGTTCGGCAGAAGAAGCGCATTGGGCAGAAGTGATAGCGGGTGTAAATCTTAATGTTGTTGTTTTTGCTCATCTTGTATTGGCTTCATCCTTGCAGTCTCTTCTGTTCGAAGTTTGGGGAGTCGTGCTTGACTTCCTAGTACCTGCCGCAAGCAGGAGTTTAGAGTCCAGTATCAAAGTAGAAGTGGAACAAAAGGCACAAGCCGGTCTTCATTTGCTATCAATTATGGACGTCAAGAACCTAGTTGGGGAGAGAGAAAAGAGACATTCGATTTTTCATTACGTCAGAAGCCAATCAGCCACGTCCTGATACAAGGCATCGAGGCCCTTCAGCCTCTGCACCTCCTCGTCGCCTTTCAACTCGATATGCGTCCAGCTGTGGATGACATTCGGGACAGTACGCCAGTTGACACCGTTCCTCTCCCACTCTACGCCCAACTCCTCATTGCTGGTCTCCACACCCGCGAGCATCTTCGCCATCGCATTCGCCTCATGCTCCAGGTAATCATACTCGGCGGCAATAAAGAACACCCTCTGCGGCAGCTTCTCCCTGTTTGCCGCATAAATCGGACTCAGCAGCGGATCCGTCTTATCCTGACCTGGCGGGATATAAGCCCAGTTGAAAATCGGGGCGACATTCTTCAGCATATCGGGTTTCCCGTCCTTGGTTGTTTTGTACTTGCCCTTGTATTTCCCGGAGAAGTCGACCACGGGGTAGAAGGCGACCAATGATTGGACTTTTTCTTTAATATCGGGCAGTTGTGCCACGGACAGGGTCAGGTTGCCGCCAGCGGAGAAGCCCATGATGGAGACGCGGGAGGCGTCGTAGGGGTGCGGTGGGGAGGCTAGGATGGCGCGGATGGACTCAGCGACGTCGTGCACGCTGTCCGGGAAGGGGTTGCGCGGCGCGAGGCGGTAGTTAATGCTGATGACGAGCAAGCCGTGCCGGCTGGCGAAGTGCCGGTTGATCGTGTCGTCGACTTGCGGGTCACAGACCATGAAGCCCTAGAAATGGCGGAGGAGGGTGTGAGCAAGGCTTTGCTTGGTGGGTGCTTTCGCAATGGGGTATATCTTATATGTTATTGGCGAGGGGAGGAGATGGCCCTGAGAAAAGCAAAGGAAGTAACATACTCCACCGTGAATTGATATCAGCAGCGGCAACTTTTCTCCCTGCCGTTGCTTCTGAACATGATCTGGGGGAAGAAAGACCCTATGCTCGAGCATCGGACGCACAGGATAGCGCTTTGTATACTCAGGGAGCGTGGGTTTGAGCTTGGTTGCGCCGGTGATGCGCATGATCTTGAACATTGACGCAAGGCTGATCTTCACGATCCATGCTTGAAAAAACAACTTGATGCGTCGGATTAGGCCAGCGCGCTTCATGAGATTGTCGCCTGAGGGGCTTGTTGGAGGCGCCATGATGGCAAGACATGCGTGCAGCACGAACCGCGTAAAGGGAAGACTATGCTTAAGACAGATGTGGACAAGAGGAGAATGGAGGACGTGGAAGAACCAGTGATGAAGAGCAAAGAGCCTGACGGAGTCCTGATCGCATGTATCTGCTTGACATCTGCCGAAAGGGCTCAGAACCTACCTAGGCACGGATAATGGTCAGGGTACCAAAAAGCGGAGAGAACAAACGAGGTCCTTTGTCGTTGGTAGGCTCCTCTGAACCAAGCGTGTTCGGTTTTCGATGTCATCCTCTACTCGCTCGTGTTTCCTACCGTGTCCTTATGTCATGGAATATTCGAATAATGCCAACGCCACATTCAAATCATAAAGATGAGGCCACGTGCCACCGAGATTTCTCAGCCTTAAGAGCGAGATCTCGTAAGTGCTCGGCCGATGCAGGCTTGGTTAAGTCCATTCCGGATGGCCGGGTGGCGGACGAGTCGAGCTCCAAGCTCCGAGAAAAGAGCAGTCATAGCGAGCCGCCGCCGGTAGTGATGCTACTGATGGGTGAGTCCTGCCAGTGCCAGGCCTGTCCTGCGCTATCCTGCCCTCCACATCCGTCCTTCTTGCTACTTCCAGCTTAGTCTGTGGATGCTGAGTGCCCGGGGATGTTGCATGGATGACGCCTAGGATGAGGGCCTAATGGCATTGGAAGGGGTCCTTGGGGGGCTGCTCGGGGCCTGAGTCCCTGAGTCTTTAACGAAGAGGAGCCACACCCGGCGATGCTGGAACTGCTCAACCCTCCCCGGCCCAATTACGAAAAGGGTCAGGCATGGCAGGACAGGACAGGGGCCGCAAGGCATGGGGTGTCGAAAAGCCCACGGAATCTCCACCAGCAAATTCCCTCAACTTCCCGAAGAATTCAATCTGTTTCCATTTCCACCTGGCAAATGACTGGTTCATGCTTCTCCTCGACTTCCACTCTCTTCCTATCCTTTCCTCTCGCTAACTCCATCTGGCTTGAGTCCGCCTGATCTTGTGAATTCGAGCTCGTCGGGATTGTTCCAGCTCCGCCAGCCTGGCCATTCGTCACCACTCACAGGCACGACTCACGACTCAGAAGTTCAGAGCTCTCCCGCCAGGCACGACATTTACGAGTACGATTTGGGATTTCCAACACCACCACCACCACCACCACCACCACCCCCCGATATTTCTATCACACATCTCTCCCACCATTCGTTTCTCTCCCACTTCACCATTGACACGCGACCTACTTCCATTGACACTCCACTCTAGGGTGTCGACATCGATACTTCCACCTCCCTCAACATTCCGCCCTTTTCAAATCTGCGCGTTCGTTGTCGGCTTTCGAGTCGTCAATGAACCTGCATTTTCTGCCTTCATAATTCCGTTCAACCCGCTACTCTTCCTGCTGAAGAGACCTTTGTATTCACTAAATGCCTTTCAAGCCCTTCGCACACCTCGCCAGAGTTAGTTTTGCAAAGGGAATCGCCCATACTTACGCCCCTTCTTTCGTCGCTGCTGGACAGTCCCTAGGTCAATTTCAGAATTACCCCGTTGCCAAATTCTCAAAGACCGCCCAATTACAACAAACCTTTTCTGGTCCGGCCGGGTCGAACGCTGGAGCAAAGGCTGGTCATGGTTCACAAGCAGGTGGAAATGATGCTGGTTTAGCTCAATACTATGCCGCGTGGCAACATGCACAACAAACGGGGGATGACACAGATTGGAAAGAACATGAGTCTGCCCGGAGGATAGGATGGAAACATCAGGAGAGAGTCAACTCTGCAAAGACCGGTGTACGTCTTGATTCCTCTAGACCCCTCGATGCTCTCCGATCCACTGCCCGCCTTCCAGTTTCACGCGAGGGTAGTGACCGACTTGTACCTCAAGTCGAATATCCAGATCACCCCTTGGCGGAAGCCGAGGCTCTGGGCAATGTCGACGAGGCAATCGCAAAGGAGATTCACGATGTAAATGCATCGCACCAGGTCGACGATATCACCTCTCGAGAAACCGAGCTAGGTACTCCCGTCGCCAGCACAAGAGCCCCGACCCCAGCTCTCCAAGAGTCAACCGCCACTGATCTTGACTCGTCGGCATATTCTCAAGAGCAGACGACACCACCAACAGATGTCACATCTCTCGCTTCGGATGAGTCCATTCTCTCTGAACATATTGTTCAACTAGGACAGCAACAGCGATACGCAGAAATCCCCGCCGTCTTCGAAGCCATCATCAAAGACGGTCAAGTCCCCAGCATTGACGCGTACAACCACATATTGTTGTCAGCCATCAATTTGACCAATGCTTATCAGCCATGGCCAAAGGCCCTTGAGGTCTATGGTGACATGACCAGACGTGCTGTCGAACTCAATGCCACAACATACATTATTCTCCTCCGTTTCTTGGCTGCAAGAAGCCTTGAAGTACATCAAGTTCAAAAGGCTCTTGGTCGAAGTGCTGCCCGGTACGGGACCGATGGTGCACTGGTCCTGCCTTCGGCTACCAGCCAGCAGCAGCTGTATGCTGCCGACACCTCCCTCACCTTTGCCACAAAGCTGTACAATATTGCTCGAGCTACACTGCAAGATTTCCGGCCATCAGCCTCGCTTTATAATGCTCTTGTCAAGATATCTGCGCAAAGTGGCTTTGTCGATCACATGAACGTCCTGCTCGCTGACATGAGGTCTTACGGAATTCCCCTGGATGCTCGCCTTTACACTGTCGTCATTGACGCCCAAGCATCCAAGCAGGATATCCACGCAGCCCAGAGTCTATACGAGGAGTATCGTGATCGTGCCATCAGCCGCTCTGCAAATGATCCACTTGATATGCAGGTCTATACTGCTCTTATCAAGGCTTACTACAACACTGGGCTGGCCGAGACTGGACTACGCTTTTACGAAAGAATCTTGCACTCATTCAACGAATCTGCCAACGAGCATGATCTCTCGGAGCAATTGACAACAACTTTTATCTTGAATGGTCTTGTTCAGCACCATGTTGAGAACAAGGCTTTCTCAACCGCCATTTCCAGCATTAACGACTTTGCTCTTCAGCCTGTTGCCCGTGACCAAGCCCTGTCAATGGTCTGCGTTTCCGCTGCCGACGCCAATCATGAGACAGATGCCTTAGTCGCCTTCGAGGCTATCGCCTCCGACAACATCAAAGCAGAACCTGTCATGGCCATTGCAGCCATGCACATACGTGCTGGTGACGTGACCAAGGCCAAAACCATCTGGAACAACGCACGAGGCCTTCTCTTGACTCCCACTACTGACTTTGCCGCAATGTACGCATTGTCACTGGTTCGCAGTGGCTCGATCGAAGAGGGTATCACAGAAGCTCGGGATATGTTTCAACGAATCCGTGCATCGAGCTCCTCTGAAGCCAGTCGTCAACTCGCCATAGCGGAAATCGATGAAACTATTGTTCTCTTTGGCGATGCTCTATCCAAGCAACAGGCTGTGGTTTCGGCATCAACCAGTGTCTCGATGTTGAGAGCAATGATCGAGAATGGTGGTCTAGTATCACCCGTCGCTCAACATGCTATCGCTAGCCTTGGTCCTGAGTGTGTTCATCAACTCAGTGCTCAAGATATTGCCTTAGCCCTTCACGTTCAGGCGGAGATGTTTATGTCCGACAATTCTACGGACATCGCCCATCCCGCTCGATTCTCTCACTTGTTGGAGACTGTTCTCAACCGCGGCATTCTTATGGATCCGTCAACGGTTCATGTCGTCAGCGAATGTATCTCCAAGGTGACTTCATCACGACCAGATCTCGCTCAACGCTGGCAAGAACTATTGCATCCCAGTCTTCCAGCCCCTATCAATGCTCAGCCTCATTCACCATTGACACCTCAATCAGTTACCGTCGAAAACATTGCTCCTGTTGATTCGTATGATCCCTATGCTCATACAACCGATTACCGTGCATCAAAGGCCATTTCAGATCTTGTTGAAAGCACTAGCGGACGCATTGAGAACCATCTCAGCGATGCATTAAGCCGTTTGAGAAATGTTCGTCGTGCTGGTAGGCATCTTCATTACTCGGCTTATGCTAAACTCATCACTGGTGCTGGAAAGGCTAAGCAAGCCAATCTTGCCCAAGAGATTCTCAGCATGGCCCATTCTGATGTACCTATGGCGTTGCAAATTCCTGCCGTCAGAGCTGGTTGGATTTCCATCTTTGATTCGATGATTGCTGCTTGCCTCACCGTTGGTGAACGTGGCCAGGCGAATAAATTCCACCAAGATCTCCTCGAAATGGGAGCCGCACCATCAGCTAACACGTTCGGTATTTATATCACTACACTCGAAGGAACCTTTGATGAGGCTACTGAAGCTGTCAAGATCTTTCAACGTGCCTTGGCTGAGGGAGTTACACCCAGTGTGTTTTTGTACAACGCAGTCATTGGCAAGCTTGGCAAGGCCCGCCGCATCGACGATTGTCTGCGATATTTCGGAGACATGGAAGGTCGCGGCATTCGTCCGTCCTCTGTTACCTATGGTACCCTCGTTAATGCTCTCTGCCGAACCAGTGAAGAACGCTTCGCCGTGGATATGTTCGACGAGATGGAGGCAGCACCCAATTATCGACCTCGACCAGCCCCCTACAACTCTATTATTCAGTACTTCTTGAATACTAAGCGCGATCGAAGCAAGGTCTTGGAGTATTATGAACGCATGAAGTCCAAGAACATCAAACCAACATCACACACATACAAACTACTGATTGAAGCTTACGCCTCGCTCGAACCTGTCAACCTCGAAGCAGCCGAAGCTCTCCTCTCAGAAATGAAGCAAGCTGGTGTTCAGCCTGAAGCAGTTCACTATGGCTCCTTGATCCATGCCAAGGGCTGTGTTATGCATGACATGCCTGCTGCTCGTGCCGTTTTCGAGTCTGTTGTCAATGGAGCCATGATTCGTCCAACTGATACCTTGTACCAGAATCTCCTCGAGGCAATGGTTGCTAACCACGAGGTAACCAATACTACCGAGGTTGTTGCTGACATGCAACGACGTGGCATCTCGATGACGCCATATATTGCGAACACTCTCATTCATGGTTGGGCAGGTGAAGGAGATGTGTTCAAAGCAAAGGCAATCTACGACACACTTGGTTCGGCCAAACGTGAACCAAGCACGTACGAGGCAATGACCAGGGCCTTCCTAGCTGCAGAGGACCGGCCAAGTGCCAATTTAATTGTGCACGAAATGCTGCACAAAGGATATCCCGGTGCTGTTACTGAGAAAGTGCTCGCCCTTGTGGGTGGCATCACAGCTTAAAATTGGAGGTCCCCAAAAATTAATTCAGCATCCGAGTGTGGTGTTTCAGCGCTTGCCTCGATGCTTTTTCTTTTGTTTATTGATGATGATACCCAGAACTCACGAGCGACAAGCCTGTTGGCTCGAAACGGCCATGGCGTTTATTGGATTTTCTTTGGCGCTGTCATTATGAGGAATTGCGTTGTGCCCGGGACGAAAATATTGGCGGTTGCGAAGTGCGATGACATATTGGATCAGGCCGGTCCTTGGGAATGGCGCCAGTCGAAAAGGGTTCCTTGACAAAGGCGTTTTGACCAAAAGGTGCAACTGTGCATGTACTAACAGAACATAAAGATACACTCTACTCAATTTTTTCATAGATGACTTAGATATTGTGGCTATATCTAGGTGTGCATATGCCGGATAGTCCCTGATTAAATATAGTGGACTGGGCCGTTGTGACTGGCAAGAGCCAGCGCCAATGTCACGAGGTGGAAGAAGAATTCAACTTCTATATGTTGAAACACCCATCAAGATTCTTGATCGTATTTTTGTTATCGTAGCATTTGTCTTTATATCTGTTTCTCGATGCATTTTTTGGGTCATCGCGGCCCTGAATTTTAACCGGCCAGGTGCTATGTAGTATAGTACGGAGTAGTTGTTTCTTTTGCTTCTCACATGCGTGGTCCTGTGTTCATGAGTCGTCGAGCTGTGAGACTATATGCATATAAATATATCATGGACTAAGCCTTTCGATCTTCCAAGCACTAGCCCCATCTCCATCATTAGCATCCTCCCCTGTCACTGTGATTCTCGTGTACAGAAATCGATCATGCAACCTGCTCTCCCGCCCCTGCCAGAACTCCACGGTCTCCGGAATGATGCGCAAGCCGCCCCAGAAAGGCGGAACTGGGATTCGGCCCTGGCCGTCAAAGCGGGCCTTGGCGTCCGCGACGCGAGATTCTAGATCCGCGCGGCCGTCGTCCTCCTCATCGACATCATCGACGTCTCCGCTGTCTCCGGCCTTACCTTTCCCTTTCCCTCGTTGCGGAACCAGCACACTAGTCTGCTGGCTCGCCCAGGCCCCCTCTCGACTCCCTCTCGCGCGTGTGTCGAAATAAACCTGGCTCTCCTCCTGCGTCAGCCGCTCGACCCGCCCCTCTACACGTACCTGCCGCTCGCACGGCTTCCACCAGAAACACAGGCTCGCGAATGGGTTGGTCGCGATGTCCGCCGCTTTCCGCGACGTGCCGAAGTTGCTGTAGATGACGAAGCCGCGCGTGTCGAGCTCTTTCAGGTACACGATCCGCGAGGACACCCGGCCCGAGGGCAGAGACGCGGTCGAGAGCGTCACCGTTTCCGGGACGGAGTTGGCGAGCTGTGGGGAGCGGAACCACGTGTGGAATTGTGTGAATGGGGAAGGGGACAGGGAAGAGCGGTGGAGGCGGGCGAGCGAGAATTGCGCTGCTTGTTGTGGTCCTGATGAGTGTTGCTGCTGCTGGAGATCCGTTGAGTCTGTATTGGTGGTGCTGTTATCTCCTGGTGCGACTGTGCATTGATTCCTCCCTCTTCCCCTCCCCCGGAGAGGAAAAAAGGGGGAGGAGTCAGCGTTAGTGTATGTCCTTTTTTTGGTAATTTGGATTGCGGATATCAAATGTTCATAATTGGGATCAGCGTCTCTCCTTTTTTCTTCTTCCCGCTTCCGCTTCTGATATCATGATGGTGGTGGCAATGATGACGACGACCAGAGAAGAGTGCATTTGGGGGCCATGTTTCACTGGACTAGCGAGGCAGACTTGACTACCTCGCATAAAACGGAAAGGAGAGGAGCGAGCACTTACAGATGAGCTTGCCCTTTTGAGATGCTGCAGACGTGGACATTACGGCTTGGTGAAGCATTCCTAGCCGAGGAGTAAAAAAGTACCAATATGATAGAAGTCTTGTTGGAGTTGGGAAGATGCAGCACGAACTTCTGATGGGGAGCACTCGTCGTATTTAACCAAAGAAGGAAAGTTGAGAGATTATGTGAGCATATGCTTGCTGGCCTTTCTATGCATGCACCGCACCCTGTCTTTCGAATTCTATGACATGAAGGAAATTAATTATTCGTTTTCTCCGGGGGGAGTGCTTTTGTTTATGGGTGAGTTTTGTGGTTATCTCATGATGCGTGCAGTGGAGAATTTGATATGACTTGCTCGGTAGCGCCCTGGCCTTTGTTGGGTACTGGCATAGTAGTGCGGAGTATTGCTGCGAAAATGGTACATGTCATGCGCATTTGCTCTCCCCTAGTTAGAGCAGCGGCTGATATCACGTGGTAACACGTGGTCACTCCTGAAATGCTGACTCAAGCCCGTTCCCATCCCTTTGGCCCCTCCCCTCTTCTCCCCTCTTCTCCCCTCTTCTCCCCTGTCCGAGTCTCGACTCTCGAGTGACGAGTCCCCCAAGCTTGCATTAGTCCAGGGACCCTAACGAGAGTCAAGTTCAATTCTGCCTTGCTCTGGATGCCTGTTGACACCCAACAAGCGAAAAAAACAAGCTTCTTTTCGAGACACGTTTGACACCTCTTTTCTTACAGATCCTTTCAGCCCAACCCACAATCTGGCAGCAGTCCCCAATTGCAGCCTGTCTTCTGTCTTACACGCCTCTCCCTGAACCGCTGGCCTACCTAGTATCTTCTCGCCCTTAGAATCTAGGACTCTCATCCTTCGATAATCCTTAGCCAGCTGTAAAGCACAAGGCCCCAAGCAAGAAAGAGCTGAGCATTACCACCGCCTACTAGGTAGCTAGACCAGAAGGACCACACAAGACCTGACCTAATCTTCAACCAGTCACACAACCCCTGATCACCTTCTCCATACCCTGTGGCACACGCACAAGCTTGCCTTGCTGGTTCGATTCCGTAGCATCTATATCTCAGCCCGATTCTTCTTTCCTTTTATTACTTCTTTCTATATGCCGCCCACTCTCGACAAGATTGATACCTCATCTCGCCCTATTCCCAACAAACCGATTCAGAACACAATGGTATGGCCCCTCCTTGCAGTATATTGAATCCTAGTCCTCTGCAGTGGTCTCTCTAGTCCAGCCATCCTGGAAATTCCATCCCCCTCTTTCCGAGATGGGACAAAAGCAGGCTAACGCTTGGCACGCTTACCGCGTGTCTTTCTATAGACTCCAGATACTCCAGTCAAGCTATCCGAGGAGGAGACTCAGGCCTACAAGGACGTCTTTGCCTTGTTCGTAAGTACCTAACTTGCCATAGCAATGTCTTAACCGCCTGATACTGACGATTTTGTTCAGGATAAAGATGGAAGTGGTAAGCACACCCTGGATCCCAAGGAGGTTTTCAGCCCCGCCTTCTGAATCATCGACCACTCTCCCGGCCCGTCGCTATCAGCCTCAGCCTTGTAAGCGGGGCTTGGGTGATTTGGGTCTCTGATTCTGTCAATTCATCCTAACCGAAAACGTGGCTACCATTGTTGAGAACGGCTTTCTGACTCATTTCTTTATCAGGTACTATCACTGCAACCGAACTTGGTGACATTATGAAGTCACTGGGTCAGAACCCATCCGAATCCGAGTTACAAGACATGGTAAAAAACGAGCTCCTTCTGTGCCCTTGTGCCCACTGGCCCGCCTCCAAGCATTCCGTAGAGCACGTCTTCATCTTCCACCCCAAACAAACGCCATTTTCAATCATATCGTCAAGATGAGTAGCTAACGAGAAGATATGCTATTCAGATCAATGAAGTCGACGTGGACTCCAATGGCAGCATCGATTTCGATGAGTTCCTCAAGATGATGTCACAGACTGTCAAAGCCACGGATTTCGCTCACGAAACCCGTGCCGCATTCAACGTCTTCGACAAGGATGGGAGTGGCACAATCTCCGCCGACGAGCTTCGCCAGGTCATGAAGTCTCTGGGCGAGAACTTGACCGATGAGGAAATCGACGAGATGATCCGCGAGGCTGACAAGGATCGAAATGGCACAATAGATTGTATGTGGTTTTACGCTTTCGTGCCTTATCCCCTCCCCTGCAAATTGTTTCGGCTTTTGGGTGGCTTCCTGGCTGCCACCCCTTTCGATCCCAACACAGTGGTATTGTCAGGAGCGACTCAGGCTAATTGTACTTCCTTCCCAGACGAGGAATTCGTTCAGCTGCTCTCCCCCAAATAGGCGAAGGCGGGCATGGAGACTCAGCGCCGTGAAGACGCTGCCGTCCACCTCCAGCTAGAGTGGACTACCAGATAACCCCCTTTCTTCAGCGGTCCAATGCTTTACAACGAGCGGCTACCTATGATTCCAGACAGATATAAGTCTTAACCGTGCCCTAAGCTACTGTTTCTGATTTCATGACCAAATTACACGACAAAACCATGATGAGAACTATGCATCGTTCAGAAACATGAAGGAGAAATCCCCTTCCTCCCAATTCAGATGAGATGAAGTCCTTGTTGATTTCGCTCTCTAGAGTTTTCCACACAGCAAACCAAATTCTCATTGATATATAATAAGCCTTGAGGTATACCTGAACTTCCCATACCACCTCCGGTTATCATCCTCTCATGATTCGCTTTTATGCGCTGGAGTCTCGTCGTAGTTTTTCGAGTCCGTCCCGTCTCCCTACACCTTTCCTTTGTCCTCCCCTTCTACCTCACATATATCCTGGACACATTACGTAGGCAGGCAACATGCTTATCGGTAATGGTACGTTCATCAAGAAGGACGAGGGGGGTCCACGTGAGAGCCAGAACGAGAGAAATAAGAGTGGCTGAACGCCCACATGTGAGAGAGATGGGTTGAATGATATCATATGCTGGGCGAGATGCTTCACGATGGCTCACCGTTATTTACTACCAAGGGATAGAGGACGCAAGCACATAAAACTTTTGCCATAGAGCACGAACAGTTGAACAACTAAGTTTTCTTCTCATTGGTTCTGTCTGATCTAGGAGCAGTTAAAGGAGTAGTTAACTGATGTGCACGGTTGTGGTGTGTCTCGAAATGTGTGTGTAATATGCGGGGGTTCCCCCTGAGCCACCGCACGCTTTCGGAGAGAGAGAGAAGGCATCTTCAGGCCCTGAGCTGATCTGTTGGATAACAGAAAAAACAAGGAAAAGGTCGATAGTACAAGTAGAAAGGGTGGGTTTCTCCTTTGCCCATTGCAATTCGCAACGCCGATTCTGGACGCCACACGGCCTGGTAAGATTTCCGCACTCGCAGACATTTCGCAATCCTCCTTTCCTTGTTGAAACTTAAGGGAAGGCGACTAGTTTCTATTTGGCAAAGGGAAAAAAATCCTGACAAAGTTAAGTAGACTTGCCCGGAATGTTCACCAAGGCCTTCGATAGGAAATGCGGACAGACGATAAGTCCCTCTAGTGTGCCTTGGACGTCTGACGAGATCGGGGATTGGCTCGGTGGCGAGGATTTCGACCGCTGTATGAACCACTTGAGCTGGGAGGTCCACTACCAAATCGTTGACGCGGTCCGGGGTTCGACAAGGGTCCTGCCTTCGACGGAATATCCTTCTTGGTGGATTTGAGCGAACCCGGCATTCGGATAATAGCGAACTGAGATTTCTGTGGACCATTATGACGTTCGAAAAGATTGCTCACCATGAAAGGGGCGGTGGATGTGGGTTCGACAGGAAGTGGTGGAATTCTCGATGTCGTTGTCGAGACAAATTGAGTGTGTAACAATGCATCTCGAGGGAAATTGATGGCAGGTAACGAGCCTGGTTCTCGATCTTCGAATAGATCATCCTCACTCTCGACATCTTTGGTGATGACCGATTCATCCTCAAAGGCGAAATCTGCCTCCACCTCAATGTGGATTGGAAGGGAGACGGATGCTGCCGGAATTGAGGCATGTTGTACATCAAGAGGTTCTTTGGTAGAAGATGCAACAGCAAGCGCAGGCCCCACGAGTCGTGCCGCGTCCTTGGCAGGAGAGGACTTCCTCCCCAGCAATCCGTTAAATCGCTCTTGCCAAGAAGCGTTTTGAACAATGGGGGTCGACACTGACCGCATTGGAGTGGCAGCTGCAGGTGCAGGTGGCGGCATGGAGACTCTAGCTGCCCATGTCAATGGACCATGCGACTCTGGCTGAGATGATACTTCGGGTTGAACTTGGACTGGGCTTGGAGGAGTTGGTGGCATCGCTGGTGGAAGCTTGACCACAGCCTTCTCTCGAGGAAAGTGTACAACAGGCCTTGCAAAATCTCCATCGAATGCAGGATGAAGACTGGCGTATTCTTCGGCTGGTGGAGGTGATGGCGTCCGGGGCGGCTCAGGATGACTGTAGGTAAATGCGCGTCGATCTTGTGGTTGATTACCAGATTGCTGCGGGAAAAATCGAGATCCACGACCAGCTTGGCCAGCTCCTATTCTTGGAAGAGTGTCGGTGTTGGACAGCGATCCGACCGCGCCAAAGACAGTGGACGGCGGTACAGTTGTTTGAGAAACATTGGCCAGGTGACGCTGCCCCGCCTGATCACCGACGTGAACTTGCTTCCAGGTTTCATTGAAAGTATATTGGGGCCCTTGACGAACTCCAGTGCGTAGTTCTTCCTCACGGCGAGCAGCAATTTCTCGTTGGATTTTTTCGCTCTCAGCTCTTTCTTGCTGGCCAGCAACGGCGTGAAAATTGCCCCATGCCTCTAAGCCTGTGGGTTTTGACCCGTTCTGATACCCGTTCATTGGTGGCTGAACGTGCTGTGATTGAGGAGGAGCAATCGGCGTAGGTTTTGTTGTGGGAAATAAAGAATCAATCTCGCTATCTACAGCAAGCGGACCTTGATCAGGGGAGGTGACAGATTGAAATGAATATGAACGAGAGTCTGGAATTGCGTGATTCACATGTTGTGTTTGAGGTGAGCGTCCGGCATGGGGAGTTCTGCCATTCATCCAGCCTTGCGCGGTAGAGGACGTGCGCGATAGATCTTGAGGTGCGTAGCCTGCTAGGGTTTGATCAAAGGTTCCGTTGCCGAGGGCTTTATTGTTTAAATTCGGTACCCCCCAAAGGTTGCTTGTCTGTGGACCCCGGTGGTCGTGACGCAAGTCATTCCAGCCGCTGCGTGCATCACTCCCAGAAGTATGCTTTGGAAATTTCGGACTAGGCTCAGGCGGGCTAACAACGTCCTGGTTACTTGGATGCCGTGTATCGGGAACCGTTCTAGCACCATTGACAATAGGGGATGGATCTTGATGTTCTTCCACTGGTGGCTCTTTGGACTCAACTCTTGCTGGCGGCATTGTCTTCTGAGAATCCACAGGACGAGACAATGACGTTCCAAGCTTCTTTATTGAATCAAGTGGAAATACCTTCATCATGCCGTATTGCTGTGGCTCTCCAGAAGCAAGTGGTTGCGGTGGCTTTGGTGGAGATTGTGTTGTTGTCAATGGATTTGCAGAAGCAGCCAGGGCCTGCTCGGGAATCTTCTTGGGCACGCTATCATGGACGTGTTCATCCGGTTTGCTTGTGGTGGTAGTGGGGCCAAGGGAGGCCAACTTAGCTCGAATTCGTTCTTGCTTCTCAGCTTCCATCCGTTGCTCTTCCTCAATTTTGCGTTTTCTTGCACGTTCAATATTCTCTTTCATGAGAGCTCTCTGCTGTGTTCGCTGTGCTTCGATGTCTCCTTCGGTTGCTGACACAGGCCCTACAGAAATGTAATCGTTCGTTCCTCGGGCTTGGTAGGTAGGGGTCTGAGTGTTTGATATAGTCCCATCCGCTGACAGTGGCGCTGTGTCAACTTCGATTGCCATCTTATGAGTATCGAAGACGGGGGTGGCATGTTCACTAGACTTGATCGACATTCGTCGCCCGAACTGCCCGCTACCCCCGGAAATGGTGGAAGAAGCCCTTCGTCTTGCAGAGTCCATGCTTGTCCTGTTGGTCTGGAAAGCTGCTGAGGGTTCAGCAGGGGCGTGCACGTCAGTATGACTGGGCCGCTGTAATACAGCAGCAGCACGGAAGTTCTGATCGTTCCTCGACATGCGTCTTCGACTTTCAGGAACCGCCTCGTATTTCCCAGAACTTGGCATGTACAGCTCACGTGTCTGTCCAGGCGAAGTCTCCCTCCATGATCGATTGAAGTCGTCTGCCGAAATTTCCTTAGCTTGGGATGGTCCTGAGAGAGCCGAGGGACTTTGGGAATTGACAGTGCTTTGAGGGAGCCGATTCGAAGGTGGCATAGACAGCGGTGGGTTAATAGCGACTGGTGAGACTTTGTCTACAGGTGGTAATGGCGCCCACGGTGATTTAGAAGGGGCTGGTGCATGGTTCGCTTTCGGGTTCATCAGGCTGGGTTTGTCGGAGGGGCTCCTCGACAGAAGAGTTGCCGCTTTCTGTGCTTGCTGCCTTTCAGCGTTGGCACCCAATTTCAAGACGGTGGCATTTGGACCAACAGAACTGGTGAACTGTGGAGGTAGAATTTTGTGGGTTTGTGCAGGTTGGGATTCGTCGTTCGTATCAGCAGATGGCACAGGCTTCTGGGTTGGGGGAGGAGCAATTTCGGCAGGAGTGAGGGTGCTCTTGGTACCATCATTCCACTCAATCGTTTCCGGTGCCCAATCGTCCTCATCATCGTCAATATCTGCCCATTTTGCCTCTTTGCCGTCTCCATCCTCCTGTATGCGCGATGTCAGATGAATGCCATATTGCTGCTTAAGCTCTTCGTCGGTCAAATGCTTCGTCGATGGTTGGGGGGTGACTAGTGTACATGGTCAGCATAGACGGACAGACAGACAAGCTGGGTGAGAGATAATACCTCGGTTCTTGTTCCAGACCTGCATGGGATCAGGCGCAGCAGTTTTGAAAGATTTGGTCTTTGATTGGAGAGAACTTGTCGTCTTAGCGACTAGACGCGGACGGCCAGCGGGTGGAGTAGAGGAAGACAAGGAATTCGGAGGTGTAGCTTATCCGGGGTGTCAGTTGTGCCACCAGAATGCGTATAATGGACAGTACCTTTGTCAGTGCCTTTGGCCGTAGAACTGTCCGCAATGACTTTAGGAACAGAATATTTGGCAAAGCTGACGGGTTTGGCGACCAACTTCTTCAAAGGTTTGTGCTCAGTAGGCTTGTCACCGGCGACACTGCCATCTGCGCGGCTGGTGTCTGTGTCTGATCGGGCAGAGACATCGTCGATTTCGTCCATCTTAAAGGGCATATGGATTCCATTCTCTTTAGGTGCAACCTCTACAACAGCAGTATCGTCCCCAGAAAGTTTGATCTCAGGTGTGGATGTGGTCTCAGGTGCGTCGGAGGGCGAGAGGTCGCCGACCGACAGAGTTTGGTTTACCACATCTTGTGCTCTCTGCTCTGCCATAACAAACTCGGATCTGGAGTGGCGCAGTGTCAGACACCAGCTGCTGGCAATGGATAACAAGATATGTACCTGTTAGGGTGTGTAGTCTGCCACGGTTGCCAGGCTGCTCAGCGTGGTCCGGTAACGCAATAAGGCGTCACGGATCGCGATGGAGTGATGGTACAGTGATCGGGATTAGGAGGCTAAGGGATTCTATCGATGCCTCAACAAGGAATAGAGGAATACAAAGAGGAAGAAGAGAAAAGGTGGATGGGCCGCGGAATGGATAGAGAGATAGGAGGGTTTAGAGGCTGCGCTCGTGAAGTCCAAGTCATTCAACTCAGGATCAGAGAGATTTGAAGTGGTCTTGGCACGTTCAGCTGGGGCCGAGGGCACCTAACTTTCGCCTGGGCTTGTGGTCGCAGGGTTTACCTAAGGACACTGCATCACCGGGTAATGACGCCTAAGCCCAGACGCCTTAGCATAGAGTTTACTAGAGTTCACCTAGTGGGAAGCACTATATTCATGTGTAATCCTCAGCACCACACTGAGGAGTCATACGAGTAGACGGGCAATCCATGGTCATTGCACATCATTAGATGATTTCAAGTGGTGCCACAAATAGACCAGCGCATGGACTAATACGATTCCCTTTCCAGAATAACGCTCAGCCGGAGTTCATTGTGACCTATCTACAACTCGACCAATTCAGTCGGATGGACCGTGCTCACAGCATTTCTCACTCATACCGATCATTGAACTGTCGGTGGTTAATGCCAAACGGACAGACAGAGGACAAGGATGATCACAATGTTTCCCAAAGAAAGAACATGCTGTTGAAGTGATAAACACCTGCATTGGTCTAGAGCTTCATGAGAAGCTCACTACCTTGATTCCTATTTTATGTACAGTCTTGCTTCTTCCCATCTAAGACAACCATTTTCAAATCAGTGGGCGTTGTTCTTGTGGTGTCCTGTGTCGCGGGTTAGCCAATATCTCCCAAACTTGGTATCTGATGGTAGTTCATACTTAAATGGAAGTAGTACTCCATGCTGTAACCCAGTGTCATGATACCAAAGATAACGTGCCAGATAGCTACTTCACGTCAGTTTCCCGCGCTGTGTTAGATATCTTGCACAAACATACGCGCTGCGGAGGGGTTTTTCCCAAAATATTTTGCCTGGTACCATCCCAACGGGCCGCCAGCCGCTCTCTCCGGTGCTGGTCCTTTTGGTAGTCTCTCGTAGAATTTCACTATTCTTGCCATGCGGACGGCATCTTTGGCGGCCCCAAGTCCCTGTTCCAATGTCAGAAGGTCCTAAGTCCAAAGCGTTGATGCATCGAGCTTCGTGGTGTCACGATCGGATTTTCGGGGTGATCTTTCGGCACGCTTGCCAGCGCGAGGTCTCATAGATCCGGGGGGGGAAGTGGTGAGCTTACCGCTGGATTTGCAACCTAGGGAAGAATAGTCAACAAATGCAGCAAGATTTGCAATTGAGATTGCCCTTACCTTGGGAGGGACCAGAGTCGACACACTTCTGCGAATGACAAACGACATTTTGAGCTGATTGACCGGATTAGCCTCAGTCGAGGAGTCTCACGACTTTCTCTGGGTACATACAGGAGACTCAAAGCGTGCGTATGGGGCGCGTAAGAGTAGTTCGAAGCTGTTGCAGATTGAATGTCTGGTCAAACAGCTCCGTCCAACTCCTGCATCTGCAACTGCCAAGGCCGGTAGCTCAAAAGACTTGGCACCACCAGCAATGTACGAGCACAATATGCGTACTCGGAGATCACGTGCGGATTCACCTCGACCATGCCGCTTTTGAAACCTCCTCCTCCAAATTCACCCTCCTTTCAGGCTTTCACCCTCCAGGGTGCCTCTCACCTTCGACTCACTTAGCCAACACTCACCCTACCCCTTCGTCCTTACCTAACGGTCCCGTTTTATTCTACAATATGTCAATCCGCTAGTTATAGTAGATATAGCCTATCTTTAGACCCCCTAGTAAGCAGAGTATTCAAGCCTTCGCTTCAATGAGACGATGATCAATGCGATCATCAACTTTGTCGGCTGCTATACCTAAATCCGCCCAAGGTTCCTCCTTCTTTAAAGAAGAAGACCTCGAACAACAATTGGAATCTATAACGTCAAATCCCTCATGGGGTGATCCCAGTCGACGGGTTGGAGAAACAGGTTAGCGCCAAAGTCCATTTTCCCTCCGAGGTCTATACTAGCCAGGCAAAGAAGCCTAGTTGCTATCAACATAGTACAATTTGTGCTTTCACATGCGGCATCTCTTTCTGCTGCCATATCTTGCGCCTCGACCAAGCTGCGAGCGTCTCGGATGGCTTTGCCATCTCTTGCTCTACTCATCTCTGGCCAATGGACAGCTCGAAGCGTAGGCCCGCTCGCTCCAAGGATGGTTGTCTGACCTGCAAGCGGCGCAAAGTTCGGTGCAATGAACAGAAGCCTCGCTGCTCGCACTGTGGGCGATTGAATCTTGAGTGTAGCTGGCCTCTAACCGGCTTGCGAGGACTGCACCCCCCCGCGGCACGTAATGACCGACAGCTGATGCCTGGCCTTAGCTACGAAGCCAACGCATTCGACGCATTCGACTATGCCAATCTCTTCACTGATTGTCCCTCGAGCTCAGGTGTCGCCAACTGTCCTTGGGCAGATGATGGCATTTATGGGATGACCAGCTTTGGACAACGCCTCCCGAATGATACAACAGCTATAAAATTGTCTCAATTAAGTCCCTCAGCTGTGTCCACTAGCCTCGCGGAGAATCCTCAACTTGTCGAGAATTTCTTCAACATGAAGGTACCTCCAATTCTGGAGCCAATAGAAACCGGGCCGAGGTGGCTCTCCACAAGATCGCTCTTTGAAGCCATGTCCAGCGAGTCCCAGATGGTTCGCCTGGCGATTATGGCCTTCTCCGCCGTTCAGCATAAGGTCTCTGGTGCAGATCCGAACATGGATCACCGAAGCTTCTACGACAAAGCGAGTAAAGAGCTATCTCGAACTTTCATTGACTGCAGCAAGGATGTGCAGCTAATTTCGCAAGGCCTCAAGCATATCCTGGCCACAATCTTCCTCTTAACGTATGCGGATCTTGTCACTGAGCGGGTCGAGATTGCCCATATAAATCTCAAGGAAGCTCATGTCATAATAACAAAGGCAGATAGGGCTCAGCTTGGACCGCTGGAGCGGAAACTGATCTCATGGGTACGTCTACTGGACGCTCGAGCGGTCTCTGCTGGTGGTGAGGGACTCTTTGTAGCCGATAGAGTGGACGTCGCGGCTCCCATTCCCAACAAAGGCTCCCCTGCCTCTCCGCTAGTCGCTCGTCAAAATGTCGAGGTCGAGGTCGAAGAAGCCCTCTTCGACATTCTCTATCAACCTGGTATTGAGTTCTTTCAAAAAGTTCAGTCCTTCATGGGTAGGATTACGATGATCGACCAATGGCACCGCAGTCGAGGCACTGTTGAGGACGAAACTGAGGTCATGACAATTGCAGCTAGCATTACAAAAGATCTCGGAAACCTCTATGAACAGAGGCCGACACTGATGGACTACGCGGTTGGTGGCCATCTCACCGATAAGTTCATCTCCCAGGCGCTTGTCGTGCCCGTCACGAGAAGCTTCCAGTCATATCTGGCCAACTTCTATGCCTGCTACATCCATTTGCATCGCGTGGCTTTCAAGCACCTTCCTCGATCTAACAATGTATGTGTTGCTCTCACAACCATTGGGATGCTTGCACACGAGATGACTTCTGCTCCCGAGACGTTGCCGGTGAACATGCTTTGGCCACTGCTGATGTGGGGTTGTGAGGAGGATGATGCCTACGAGCGTCAATGGGTCATTCAGACAATCCACAGCATGGAGCACAACGCGTCCAATGCTAAACGCATAGCTGAGCTTCTAGCGGAAGTCCAACGCCGCCAGGATCTTGGGCGGGCCAGAGTTGATGTACGGGAAGTCTCACATCACATGTTCCAACAGGCTTTTGCTATCGTGTAATTCTATGATGATACTGCGAATCTGTTCTCAACTGCTGTTAACGGAGAGACCTGGTTCATAATCCGTATCTGCCTCTCCTCGCTCGAGTAGATAGGATACGGCCAACGGCGGTGACTGGACTGCTCAGGGTAACCCCTCAGCTGCGCAACAACCCACTTGGTGCCATTGATGCCCCATTCCATCTTGCCCAGCTCTGCCTGTAGCGCTATTGCTTCTTGCAGCTGACCTTTGTTGTAAAGTTCGAAGACGGCAATACATGTCTACAACAGATCAGCGGTCTTTCGAGGGAAGTCTAGAATACAGATCCTGGGATAGAGATTTGCTACGCCAGTAATGCAACCAACGCTTCCTGCAGCCATAGCGGGAACAAGCCAATCACTCTTGCCTGCAAGCACCGCAAACTCTGACGGCTTGAAGATAGCAGCAGCTCTCGTTACCTTTGCAATACCACCGCACGTTAATTTCACACCCGCAATGTTCTTGTGTTGACCGAGGACTTCCAGCATCTCAGAGTCAATTTCCAGTCCAGCAGTGACTCCAGGAAAGCTATATATCACGGCTGGCAATGCCGAACTGTCCGCCAGCTCACGGAAGAACCCATTGATGGCTGCTTGATCCATCGCAAAGTGGAAGAAGCTGGACACCAGTACCAGGACGAAGTCAGCGCCCGCCACCTTGGCGTCAGTTGTCTGATCTATGACGTCCCTTGTGCAGTTCGCTCCAGTCTATCTCTTGACTGCTGTTATTCTTGAAGAAGGTCAAGGACGGTACATGAATACCAGGCGGAAACGTGCTGCTGGTGTTGGTGCTACCGTTTGTCCCGTTACCGGCGATCATGTTGTCGAGTGAAAGCATTGCTCTGGCCACCTGCGTCGTAGTTGCGGCGTGAGAAGAAGTTGCTACGGTTGTCTCTACACGACTCTCCTCGAATCCGTGATACGATGACTGCTTGGTGGATGTGCGCAGACTGAACGTCATCCCGCTTATCTTACGAGCGTGAATCAAGGCCCAATGTTCGCATGTCCACCGACTTGCGAGCAGTCCCTATTGTGCTACCATTACTTTCCTGGCTATCAACGTCCGAGATCCACCAGGCGACATCGTTCCCCAAGACCCACCTAACAACATGGAGATCCTTATTCGACGGCAGAGCCGATCGCATATACCGAAAAGGGCATAGCTTAGCCGACGTTTGATAATTGGAGAGACACATGTTTCTACGGACGCCAAGTTGACAAACACGACCGCCGTCGAGAAGTGTCCCTGGCTCGAGCAATCACGCAAAAATACAATGGGAAAGCAGGATTGGTCAAGTGATTATTGTGACTCCCATTGCCTAAGCATTTTCCAAGAGATGCATGTTTACAGGGGTCAGCGCCTTGCCTCTTAGTAGATACTCTTCACAATTCTCCATCGACAGTCTCTCAAATCCCAAGTTCGTCTCAATTGCACCACCAGCGTTGTGGCAAGTTAGGGTGACTTGTCGAAGCTTCGTCAGCTCCGTGTGCACGTGGGGTTCATTTTCAAACACATCCAGTCCCGCCGCGAACAGTTGTCCGGATTTCAGTGCCTGGTACAGGTCTTCTTCATCCACAAGCGTGCCTCGAGCGATGTTCACAAATCGTGAGCCGGTCTTGAACTCGGCCAGTGTCTCTCTTGTGATGAGCTTCTTTCCACCGAATGGAGTGGCCAACACGACACAATCCGACGTCGCCAAGAGATCCCCTAGAGTCGCTTCGTACGTCGCCTCAATTGACCCTTCAATCTCACTCGATTTCTTCACAATGTCGTGGTAATGGATCTTCATGCCAAAAGCTTGGTAAGCTTTCTGGGCGATTCTCAGGCCGATGTTTCCCAAGCCAATGATGCCCAATATATGGTCACTGGGGTTATGTGCAGTCATCGTCGCATACTTATGAGCTTCAGTCCACTGCTCCGCCTCGCCAGACCTTGCAGCCAAATGCGACCAGGTAAGGTTCCTGAAAACTGACAGGATATGAAAAATCGCCATGTCGGCAACAGCTTCGGATGAAGCAGCGGCGCCGTTGCAGTACACAATGCCTGTCGCCAGTCAGCGAAAATCGCCTCAGCCGCCTCAATTCCTACCGTGCTCCGCCAGAACATCAATATCAGCCCAATCATATCCTGCTCCTGCGCTTGCGAAGATCCTCACGGATTGAGGCAGTAACGAGACAAGTTCAAGGTCCCACCGTCCCATCTCGCCGCCAGTATTCCAGAAAGGCCGGAAGATGCCTACAAAGTCGCCCCATCGCTTCTCCTTGAGCGCTTCCATGAACAAGGGCCGTTGTCTCTCCTCATCACTGGGTCGGATGATCGTGAAGTTCTCGGTCAGCCGCTCATAAACTTTGGGATTGTGTTTGATAGGGTCCCCAATGTGAAGGAGGATAGGCTTGTCTGCCGAAGGCATGGTGATGGCTATGTCTGGGTGACTGCCAGAGGTTCGTTATTCTTCTTCCCGCGAACGGCAAATACTGTTTTGTATGGTTTTAGTGTGATGTTAAGAGAGATGATGGTCTCCCTGGCGATGCCTCCACCTATAGACAGCGACGCCTTGCGATCGGCTATTGCATATCGCAAGAAACAGAGAGTCAGTCCACGGTTCCTGAGTTGCGACCTTGTCAATCTAAACCAGAGGAAAACCTGTAGCTATGGGGTCCCCGAAGCCACCCCCAAGGATCATAGATGTGTGCGGGGGGAAGCCGATCGCAACCTACAATTGGGGAAATGTGTCAATTTTCAGTTGTCGGAAAACTTTGCGATTCGCCCCTGAACGCCCCCCAGCTTCGCTTAAGCTCCTACGCGTCTCGAGGCATGCTGCCCTGTGTTACTATATAACGACGGGGTCGTAACGTGGCATTGGCCACCACTCTCGAGCAACATCACTATCAACAGGATGACTGTAACCATGGCCGATACAGCCATCGACAAGAAGAACTCAGCCGACTTCCATTTGGAAAGTCTGGGAGTGGCCGTCAGGCCAGATGAGCCCTTCATTATAGATAGAGAGGTCAAAGAGAAGGCTCTCCTGCGTCGCATCGATCGTCGAATGATGCCGCTGATGATGTTGATCTGTAAGGACGATCGAATATCTGACCACAAGCAGAGTAACTGACAAAACTCCCAGACGTCCTCAATTACCTCGATCGCAACAATATCGCAACAGCTCGCCTAGGTAACTTTGAAGAAGATATCGGCCTTGTCGGAACCCAGTATAACACGATCATCTCCATCTTCTTCGTTGGCTATATCTTGACTCAGGTGCCCACGAACATGATCCTGGACAAGGTCCGTCCCTCCATCTTCCTGCCGGTTGTCATGTGCTGCTGGGCTTGCGTCAGCGCATGCTCCGGCGCTGTTCAAAGTTACCAGGGCATGGTTGCTTTGAGGTTCTTGCTTGGATTCGTGGAGGCTCCTTTCTTCCCTGGTGCCCTATTTTTGTTCTCATCTTGGTGTAAGTGGTATAGCACTGCGAAGTGAATTTCGAACTGATCTTACTTAGATACCAAGACAGAGTTGGCAAAGCGGATCTCGATTCTCTATGCTGCTGGTCAGATGGCCGGCGCCTTCGGTGGTCTTCTGGGTAGCGTCATAATGGGCGGCATGGATGGCAAAGCTGGTCTTGCGGACTGGAGATGGCTGTTCATAATTGAAGGCACGGCTACTATTCCTGTTGCCATCGCTGCCAGCCTCGTCCTGCCCGACTACCCTGCTGACACAAAGTGGCTCTCTGATGACGAACGAAAGCTTGCCGTTCTTCGGATCGCCGAAGAAGCCAATGAAGAGGACGACCATCGCGCGAAAGGTGCGTTTGCAGGCCTGAAGATGGCCTTCACGGATCCGGCTCTCTACTTGGTCTGGTTCATGCAGCTTGGCCTGAACACCGCGGCATCGTTCACGAACTTCTTCCCTACAATTGTCCAGACACTGGGCTACCCGCAAACAGAAACCCTGCTGCTTTCTGCACCCCCTTATGTTTTCGCCGCGATCCTAGGTATCGCCAACTCATGGCACAGCGACAAGGCACGCGAGCGATGGCTTCATATCCTTTGGCCCCAGGTATTCTGCAGCGTTGGCTTCATTATTTCCGCCTGCACGCTGAATGTCGCGGCACGGTACACGGCCACATTCATGATGATGTCAGTCTATGGCTCATTCGGCTGCATCCTCTCGTGGGTCTCAACCACACTTCCACGCCCATCATCCAAGCGCGCAGTGTCCTATGCTGTTGTCAACGCGGGCTCAAATCTGGCGTCCATTTATGCCAGCTATTTTTATCCCAAGTCGCAAGGCCCGAGGTACTGGCAGGCCAATGTCGCCAATGTCGCATTCTCAGCAGCTTGCATGCTACTTGCAACCATGCTGCACTTTTACCTTTCTTGGCGTAACAGGAAGCTTGAGCAAGCTGCCGCGGAGGGTACGGGCTTGCAGGGCACAGCAAGGGACGCAGAATTGTCAAGCCTCGCTGAGAAATGGCAGTGCAATCCGGACTACAGATACACTTTGTAATTGAAATCATCTCCGGGTTACACACGTATGGCGGGCAGTCTAAAAACGCTGGTTTAGTCTCATGGGTTGGTTGTACATACCCGCCACCCGCTGGAAATTGTCGGCGAAGTGTCGCTCTACGTGTTACTCTGGCAAAGGTCTCGAACAAACCTTAAGTTCTTCTATCTATCCGACCATCTGTGAACCCTGTCCTGGCTACAACTTAAATAATGGCTGTAGCAGAGCATCGAGTACTTGGTGAGTCTAGCATTGTTCGAGGGAGGCTCTGGGATTCTCGAATTCTTCACCCGTCGAATGCGCATCTCGGGTGAAGATTGTGTTCCTCGAACAACTTCCCTAACTTCTCAGCCTGACGCTCTCACCCTCGTTTTCCCTTGACAGACCTCTAGCTTGTTCAGTACTAACTGGTTAGCGTTGTGTGCCTGGGCTGAAATATGTTCTCAGCGCCTCAAAGAACTCAAAAATCAAGGAGCAGTCAGCCTAAGTATCTAGTGCAGGAGGTGTTACCCTTAAAAAATTGCAAGAAACCAAGTCCACTGAACAGCGCGAGGCGCCCCTGCGGCGATCTTCGCAGGGGTAAATCATGGCTGAGGGGGCTTAGCATCCATATTAATCATTGCCTACCGCACCAAAGCCAGATGATGACAACCATTTGTCGTCAGCTTGCTGAAAATATTCCAATCAGTCATTTCGATACCGCGTCCGAGAACAATGCTAAGATGCGGAAAGCACCTCGTCCTTGGTTGACTGTAGTTGGGAATTCCAAAACATCTCCGATGCCATCTTCGGCTTCAATGAAGGATATGCGGCACCATCGAGGAGTGATCATTGATCAACAACTACGAAGGAGTATAACGAGACTGTCATGCATTATCATTCAAATCCCTCCTTTTCCAATTGACTAGTGGTCTTGAGAAGAGATTCATTCTCCGTTGACATGTGATAGGCTCACTTCCGCGCTAGCACCATCAAGAATTGCTACGGCTACTGAGGTAGCTGAAAACCGACCTCAGAAGCGAGCGAGAGGGAGGTCCCCTAATTCCCGCAACAAGAGGAGGCAGTCAAGAGACATTCATCCCTAATAGGATTGCTAGGGCAATTCAGATTGCCCAGAATACTTAACTCTGATGAGTCAGAATCAAAGTCAACATCAGCAATCGTCCTAGCTCCTCCAAAAGCGGCGGTACTGGCCGCCATGTTCGGCGGGAAATTTCCCTGCAACCTGCCTCGGTGGTGCGTTGAACTGTAAAACTATTTATTAAAGCAGCACTGGTGATCACGTGCCAAATCTCGGCCCCCGCTTTCCTCCTGAGCCCCAATCTTTCAGGAACAAGCCTTTCTGCCTTATCAAACTCACTCTTGCTTCAGAGGTTGAGCGGCTTTAGAAGCAACATTTGAATTGCCCGTATTGTGCCTCATCCGTTTTCACTCTCTATATAACCCGGCTTCCTGACGCTTATCCGAGTGATCCAACGCAACTAGGCTGTGCAAGCAGAACGGCTCGAGAGTTGGGCTGTCATCCCTAAGAACACGAAGAATTAACCACTCTTACACTCTCAGTTTGCGCTTATGCTAATAACGACATTAATCCAGATAGTGAAGACTGAGAATCGTATGATGGTCCCCACCGTCTTAGGTGAATGATTTGATTGAGTTCATCCATCTTTGTCCGGCGACGAGACTATTATGCGAAACATGTACTTGAGATCACGTGAAACAAAGAAGAGCCGCGCTATTGGTTGGATCTGATTAACTCCAACTAATCTGAAAGCAGTCAAATAGAGCTAGCAGCCAATTTGAAAATACTTCTAAAGGACCTGAATGGAGGTGGTAAATCGGAAGCGGCAGCGGCTGGGATACAATGATTACACTGTTGCGATGATATGTCCTTTGGAGGTGGAAATGAGTGCAGCTAGATATATGTTGGACGAAGAGCATGAAAGGCTGCATCATCTGGCTGGGGACACGAATGAGTACATTCTTGGCCAAATGAGCGGTCACAATGTTGCTATTGCCTATCTACCTGAAGGCTGCCACGGTGTTGGTGCTGCGGCAACTGTGGCCACCCACATGAAGCGAACGTTTCCTTCTATTCAGTTACGATTGCTTGTGGGTATCGGCGGAGGTGTTCCGAACAAACAGGATGTTCGACTTGGCGACGTTGTTGTAGGAATGCCAGCCGAAACTCATGGAGCCGTTGTACAATACGATCTGGGGAAGAACACTACCAGCGGATTTTCAAGGAAGGGATATCTACTACCGCCTCCTCAACAATGGATTCACGTTGTCAGCCAGATGAGATCGAACCACCGGTTGACTAAGCAAAACAAAATTACAATATATCTATCGGACATGCTACGTAGGTATCCAGATTTGACCGAGTATCAAAGACCGCCTCCGCAAAGTGATGTACTCTACACCCAGGACAACCTGCATGTTTTTGGAGAAGAAACTTGCTTAAAATGCGATCAAACTCGTGTCATACAAAGGTCACCTGAAAGACATGAACCAACAATTTTCTATGGCCTAATCGCCTCGGGAAATCAAGTCATGAAGAATGCAGTACAACGAGACGAAATCAGTCGAGATGCTGGCTGTGCGCTGTGCTTCGAGATGGAAGCTGCGGGTGTTGTCAATGATTTTCCAAGCCTTGTTGTTCGAGGTATTTCAGATTATGCCGACTCCCATAAAAATGATGACTGGCACGCGTATGCCGCAGCAGCAGCAGCGGGTTGTGCTAAAGAACTGCTTAGTTACGTTGGTCCACACGTTGGTATGTCAATGCCCTTGGAAGCCAATAAACGCAGGACGTGATTATCTGACCGGAAATGATCTGATCGCAATAGCTGAGACTTGTAACGAGTTGATGCGGCCAGATGATCACGACCGCCAACACGACGGCCAAAAATCTCGGGTTTCCAGCGCTATAACGGATAGCTCGTTTGATCGAACGAATGACTCGGAGATCAGAAGTATTTGCGAGTGGTTCAGTCCTTTGAATTTCTGGAATCAACAACAGGATGTTTTTGACAGATATCATGACGGAACTGGGACTTGGTTTCTACAAGACCAAATCTTCCTGGATTGGCTGAACGGCACAATGAAGGTCCTATGGTGCCCTGGAATTCGTACGTCATTATCCATTTCTGTTTGCGTCTTCTAACATGGTATCAGCGGGTTCCGGCAAAACAGTCATAAGGTGCTCAACCAGACTCTTTTTTTCATTTGTCCAAAGCGAACTGACGTGTTCTATACCTAGTTCTGTCGTTGTCGACCTTTTACGAAAACGAAGATCTCAGGACAAAACGATTGGAGTCACCTGTATCTACCTCCAGTACAAGGAGAAGCACTCCATCACAACCCTGATCTCCAACCTTATAAAACAGCTATTACAGCAATGCCGATTCTTACCTGAGCCCATAAGGTCAGTATTTGTAGGTCACCAAGACCACGGTACTAGACCTGGTCGAAAGGAATGCTTTGAGGTCCTGAACCGGCTTCTAAATGAGTTCTCCAAAGTATTCCTCGTCATTGATGGGTTGGATGAAGCTAGCGAAGACATTACAACCAATTTTATTAAGCCAGTTCTTGACATGCTGGCCCTCCATGTTGTGGTATTCTCACGTTATTTACCCTACATCGAACGGCTTTTTTTGGAGTCCCCTCGATTAGACATCTGGGCTAACAGCGAAGACCTGGAGCGATACTTTGAGGGGCGTGTTCAAGAAAACGCCGATTTTGCGACTCTTATAAACGAGGCCAATCTACACCAGGGAATTTTAACTGCAATAATACGAAAATCTCACGGAATGTAAGCTTTTTCTTAACACTCTTAAGAGTAATGCTGAGTGATGTACAGGTTTTTGCTTGCTCATCTCCATATTGGCTCTATTATCAAATTGGACAATCCTCAAGCAGTGGAGCGGGCACTCTCATCCCTTCCTTCTCAACTATATGACTCATATGATAAAATATTAGAAAGGATCATGGCGCAACCAGAGCACGATCGCGCTCGGGCTGAACAGGTAATCATGTGGATTACAGCTGCTTTGAGACCGCTTACTTTAGACGAGCTGTTGCAGGCCTTGGCCGTGAGCATCAATTCCAACGAATTCAGTATGCAAGCTCGACCCACCGTGACTCGTTTAGTTTCGGTTTGTGCAGGTCTCGTCACATTCGACAAGCAAAGCCAGAAAATAAGGCCGGCACATGAAACCATCCAAGCCTATTTCGAAGAGAGGCTGTCTGTTCTGTTTCCAAATGCACAAAGAAAGATGGCTACAGCCTGTCTTGTCTATTTAGCTTCCGCTGTTCCTAGAATTCAGTTTTGCACGACAGACGGAGATTTGAGGCACCTTTTGGCACAGAATGCATTTCTCGATTACGCCGCTCGATATTGGGGTCAGCACAGCCATGATTGTGGAGAGACGAACCCAAAGGAACTGGCCCTGCAGGTTCTCCAAGACTCCTCGATCATTTCGTGCATCACTCAAATCATGTTTGTACCTGATCTCCATTTCCCTGGCTACAGTCAACAAGTCCCCACTCGGGTGTCTGCAGCTCACCTTTTTGCATTCTTCAATCTAGAACATACACTGGGATTGTTTCTCGATAGAGGAGGCTGTCCAGATGAAAAGGACTCTGATGGCATGTCGCCTTTATCGTGGGCTGCCGCACAAGGAAACGTGGCTGTGGCGAAGACATTGATTCGCAATCCTGATGTCGATGTAAATTCGCAAGATGACCAGGGACAGACACCTCTATCAAGGGCGTCTGAAGAAGGACAAGATGCTGTTGTGAAATTATTACTCGACTGCAACAGAGCTGACATAAACTCTCGGGATACAAGAGACATGACACCTCTTGCCTGGGCGGTATCACGACAGCATGTTACAACAACAAAACTGCTGTTGGGGGCAATAACCTCTCCAAACACTGTTGATGACGAAGGTCAATCTGTCCTTTCTACGGCAATTGAAAGCAGGAATGAAAATATTATCCTGCAGCTGTTGGTAGCTGGGGCGGATGTCGATGTTGGTCATACCACGCTATGTGAAACCCTCCTTTGGGGTGCCCATCAGGGTCACTGGCAGCTTGTCAAGACTCTTTTGGAGAAGAGTAGTATGACTTCCAAACCATCGGACATATTACCGAGAGGGCTACTTGATAAAGCAGCTGAGGATGGCCAAGAGGATGTTGTGCACATGTTAGTTGAATCTGGCACCGACGATCGTCACTGGAATCTTCAACGCAGCACCGCTCTCTGGCTGGCGGCTGAAAACGGGTACCGATCCATAATGCAAATTTTGATCAAGGCCGGGGCGGATGTGGAAGCAAAAAATGAATCTGGCAGAACCTTATTACAAGAGGCCTTGGAAAATCAAGACAAAGTAATGGTTGAATTCCTGGTTCGCAATGGAGCAAATATTGATGCAGCAAATGATCGAGGAGAAACTTTACTTGAGAGCACGGTGAAACGAAATGATCGGGACATGGTAAAATTACTCGCCAACCAGGGGGTAAACGTTCGGGAAAACATGGCGCTGCACTGGGCTGTGGAGAACCGTAAAATCGAGATGGTACGCTTACTCCTACAATTAGGAGCAAGAATAAACCGGAAAGATAACTCGGGAAAGACAGCTCTGCATTTATCCGTTGAGTATGGTTTGGAAGACATTATTTGCTTACTTGCAGAGAAGGAAGCAAATTTAGACGCTTATGATAGCTGTCGAAGAACCGCACTGTGGTATGCCGTCAGGCAACGAGACTGGTCAACCGTGCGTCTACTTAGAAGACTTGGAGCAGAAATTGACCCATGCGACGCGCCTGAAGGAACACCCCTACAATGGGCCGTTGAGATAGGAGATCAGGAAATGGTAGCAGTCCTTGTTGAAGAGGGAGCAAACATTAAGCAGCAAAACTCCTCAGGCCAGTCTCCATTACGACTGGCAGTGGAGAGGGACCGTTATCAAATTGTACGGTATCTCTTGATGAATGGAGCAGATATCAATGACCAGGACTCGGCGGGCCTGACAGCTTTAGCATGGGCGGTAGAGCACAGCCTCTTCGAGATGGTCCAGTTCCTGGCAAGCAAAGGGGCAGACATCGAGCTCAAAATGAAAAACGGCCTTAAGCCCCTCACGCTTGCGGCTACGAGTGGGTCCTACAACATGGTGAGGTTTTTTATGAAGGAAGGGTCTCGATTTGATCCTCCAGAGACAGAAATTTCTTCTCCGGAGAAATGGCTATCTCAAGCGATTTACGGGGCAGTGATTTCCGGCGAAAACTGGAAGCTAAGGCGACTACTCGAAGCCCGGTTAGAGACTGAAAACTACCAACTTCATGACAGCCTCTTGGCAGCTGCAGAGAGACACAAGTTTGAAGTCGTGATGAAGTTGCTGCAGGATGGTGAGCGGTTTGCCATTGACGAGATAGAAGGGCTGATTATATTGGACTCCGCCGGGGCAAAGGGTAAGCTCGAATTGGTGGATATGTTATTGAAGACGAGTCAGATCGACTTGAATGGCAGAGTACCGAATTCGAATCAGGGCTTCACTCCCTTGCTTGATGCGGCCTGGTTCGGTCAATTCGCAGTTGTCGACCGATTTTTGAAGGAGCAAGACATCGATCGAGATATCCAGACACTGCCTGGAAACGCGGTAATACATATAGCGGCCAGCCGCGGTCATCTAGAAGTGTTGAACGTCTTGTTAGAAGAGCACTCTGTCCTTGCAAACAGCAGAACCAGTTATGGATGGACAGCACTGCATCTTGCGGCGCAGTATGGACATCTGGCCATAGTAAAACGACTCTTGCAAGAGAACGGCGTCACACCGAACGATCTAACCAATGACGGCCGTACTGCCGTCCGGGTAGCGGAGGACTACGGTTCATGGAGTGTGGCCGGTTACCTGAACACGCTTCTGACGAGAGGGCCACGGTAGCAAGTACTATCTTTGGTGAGGAAGCTGTCTGGTACATCCTAGATCCTTCCCTCCGATCCTCTCTGTGTGAGTGTCAAGGACATTCTTTTCCACGGGGTTCCGTAATCCATTGCTCCCGTGCCCTTTGTAACCTTGAAGACCGGCAGAGCTCTAGTCGAGCAACGCAGCCCAGCTGCCCACATATCTCGGCGCAACACCTTCCTGCATTGCCAAATTGCTGGACATGTGGATTATTCGATTCCCAGACCTTCCGAAATCTTGTTCTTCCAAAATGTAGCACCACGTGCAAGGACTTGATATCAGCTCCCGTTATCCATTCATTCCGAATCAATAGAATAGTCCCATCGGTACTCCATATTACGGCATTACCATGCTACTTGCCGACACTGATACCAGTCCTGCTCGGCTTCCGATATGTGATCCAAAGGCTCTTCGTTTGGTTGAGGGCTAGGCACTGCCCGCAGTTCGAGATCACTGTTTTCAGGCAAGGAATCAAGACATGGTCGCCAGTAGCATTCATCTCGCGGATAAGAGATATCGTTGAACGTATTGGAACTGTCCAACGAGACTTGTACTGAGCGGACTGCATCTCCATAACTTGCAATATAGGATGCAGCCTGGGGGCCAGCTAACGGAGAGACCATTGTGGTACTGTGGCTTGATCTGCATGGCAAGGATATGCTTCTGTTTGATATTTGATTCGTTCCTGATCTTGAAGGGAAAAGCCGTGGGAAGATATGCTGGATTGGTGTTCTTAACATTGGTAGGTTGGCGCAAATGACCCCGAGACCAGCTTCTACTGTTGTCCATATGGTCGACACCAGAGAGCCTGCTGTGACATCGGTACCATATGCTGAGGCGTAGAGAGTCGTCAGACGTGAGATTGATGCGGCGCAGACAATGCCCCCAAGGCCGAAGACTCCGGTCAGGGCTATCTTCTGACGAATCGGTAGTTTTAGTGTGAAGATAACTGGGAGTACCATCAAAACAATGATGAAATCCGTAAAAATGTTGTAGATTGCGTTGCTGTACCACAAACCATAAATATTCACACAGATTCTCTCGGCATTCCAAGGATGCCAGGCGCTCGACATCGGGCTGCACTGCATCAGAGTTGCTATGGTAAAGCAGATACAGGCGCAAAGCACGAAAGGGATCAAGACCCAGCATGTGCGTACAAACCAAGGACGATCGACAAATATGCGAAGGTATAAGAAGAGGACGGATAGCTTGGTACAGTTGATGGTGAGTTTGTAAAAGATTTGAACCAGGAAAAAGCACTGAATTATAGAATTCTTAGTCAAGGCTTCTAGGACTTGGAAAAATCAATTGTTGCTTACGTTCAATGCTTGAGAAGCTTGCTGACGTTCCAAAACATCAAGAGGGCTGCTATATCCAAAGTTGACGGCTGCGATAGACGCAGTGCATTGAGCAATAAGGAATGCCTATTGGAGCAGTCAGAATTGTCACCTTCTCAACCAGATGGGCCGGGGCTCACTGTAGCTAGAACAGTTGCAAGGTCATCGAGGCCAAAGCGTCCCAACATGCGGAAACGCCAGTAAAGGCGGTTAGAGACCAGGAATGTGGCGAGAATGGGGGCCACCACAGAGGTTACAACGAGATTGTGCCCTCGTCCCGCCGACCCAAGGCTCTCCGCTGGACAATCAGGACATTTGCCTGCCATCATTGTAATGGTCTTAAAGAAAACTTAGACCGCAACGGCATCCGAGAGCAAAGGTCCTCGAACTCCTTCTTTATGTCAGTAGTCGCTCAGCTTATTTGTCGATCGTTTTTTTCGGCTCATAAACGATGTTTGAGCACGGATCGAGCGCCGAGTCACCCGTTACGGATCGTGGGCGGATAGCTATAGCGGATAAATAGCATGCTAGATATCGATTCTTGAGGATGGATGACCTTCTCACATGGAAGACTGGGCGTTCATGATTGATCCGAAATGCCTAAATGACGAGCTTCTGGACACGACAAACTTGATCAGCGTGGGATGTTCAACCGACACTCACTTGTACAGTATTTATGCAATTTCATTTCCAAGATGCGTCACTTTCGTTGCCCACCCAAAATTGAACATAAACTTCAAGTTACTTGAGAAGATGCAAACGTGGCTTCAGCAGAGCATTGTTGTATACCAAGGCCGGCACATTGTGTGGGCCGCTTGACTGCATCGTGTAGTCTGGGCAGTTCTGGAAAGCTCACATATGGAATCTAGATCTCGTATTTGTCATGGAAACCGGTGTGGACTGATTAAATCAGTACGCTTGCTTGGCAAAGCTCTTTGAAGAGAAAATATGATATAGCTGTGGGCGACTCGAGGTAGAGGCCCAAAATCCTCAACGATGGCCATGATATCAACGGGGATGGCTGACTCGTATCCGGTTCCTTTCTTTGAACCGGTCCAATTGTAAAGCAGAGGATGACATATCGCATTCTTGACCCAAGATTTCCTGTGAAAACTCGAGACTTGCAAAGGCATTTTGTGATTAGCATTCTGGCCGATGCAACTGGCCGACTGGCCATCACGCTCGAGGATGTTTCCACGTTTTGACCCGTTCAACCAATGGTCCGAGGTTGGACGCCCGCGTTCTCATTCGGTCAGGTAAATGGCTTCCACACATGGCAAATGCAAGGAATCGGATAAGACGGTGCACGACATCTCGTGGTAGAAGCAGACCCTTGAGAAGTCAGTCGCCTCTGGGTCTGTTGAAGTCAACAAGCTTGAGATCAGATTTACTCAGAGGCAGATTGAGGAAACGGCTTAAGTTCGGCTAACTAAATCAAACAAAACATGGACTTCCGACGTCCAACAACCAGCGATCCACAATCAACTCATGATACGAAAGGATCACACAATGAAAGAAGCAAACAAATTTAGACATCTACCTACCAAAGGGGGTTGTAAGTTCTCCCTCTTCTGTCTTTACTGACACTGGACTCCTTTCTTCAACGTGGCTTCAACACAAGGTCCTGGTTTATTACACGACGAATGTGTATTTGAATATGAGGAAATCCACCATGATAAGCAAATGGTGTCCTGCCGCCTGCAGGAAACAGCTTCACCACGGCTGTCAACTCCAGCATCACGCCCGAATGATGGATACGCAATGCCTCCCGAGTCCTGAACCTAGAAAACTTTCCAGTTCTCAAGAAATATCCCCGTGCCTCATGATTGAATCTCAATATTGGAACATCATGGGTGATTTCAGCCCCGACAAATGCTGTTTCCGAGGGCGAATAAGGACGCAAACGCTTACTGTCACATTGCCAATATGAGTGTCTGTATGCAAGGTCACCGGAATCACTGCCGACCGGCGAAGTTCTTGTCGTTTGCTCATGCAGGACTCTCACCGTGTGCTATGTATATAAAATATGTACATATCGCCCTATCGAGTCGACAAAGTTCGTCGCACTATCAATCTGAGTCAGTGCGTCAGAGGATCACCAAGCGAACCTGAGGAAGCTCAACTGAGATACACTGCGCACTGTCGACTAGGATCTACCTAGACCCAGGATTTGAGTCGGTATAACCAACAGTATCATTTGGATTGGAAGTATCGAGGAGCGCTATATGTTCAAACATTAGACTGGTGTCGGAGCACTTCAGGCGCGATACGGAGATTCAAACGAGCTATGTTATTGTCATTCTACACTGCCTTTAGAATTTCCATAACAACGACCACGCCAGAGTATGTGAAGACAAATCGCTGCCTCAGAACTGTTTCTATGGCAGCTACATATCCATGTGACTACGTGTTCTTCTTCCAATGATTCTGCATATTGTATTCATCCCACCGACCCACGGAACTTCCAACCACAGTTCAAATCTTCTTATTCACCTGGCCATTCTCGCCTTGAACCAAGCAAACCACTAAAATCGAGAATCTGGAATCAACGAGCCTGGTTCACAGCCCAGAACGCTGAGTTCGACGACTTCTAGAATACACACTACAATGGCCGGCCTCTCTTATCCTGATTACAATCGCAAACACTGCTCGTCAACCGTAAGTCGTTACCTTGCAGAGTCACGCCAGCCGTCCGCACGAGCAGTAAGATTTGCTAATCATTTGCAGAGTCACGAAACACTGTTGCTGCTGGCGGTTCAACAGCAGTGTTCACAGCCTGCTGTCGTCAGTGCCAACGTGGTCGAGTCTACCACGGGTCATATATATCAAAAACATGAGATCTCCAAACTTGATAAACACTCATTCCACCCGCAAGATCTGCAAAATCTCTCGCATCGTGGAGACAACCCATACATATACGGTGGCATTTCTTCAAACGATATCGACGTCCAATATCCACATCCACATGTCCAGACCGCTGAAGACGCGCCAGTTGGGTTATGTCTCAATCCAGAGGCTCCTGCTTTTGTTTCCTTTTCGACGAAATTTGGGAATAAACTGAATCCACAGGCTCCTTCATTTACTCCCTCTTGCGCTGATTCCAGGAATGAATTGAACCCAGAAGCAGCGACGTTTATTCCTTCCACCAACCACAGAAAGAGAATGGACCCGGAGGCTGCCGCATTTCTTCCTGCTGGCGCAATCTTGAAGGATACATGTATTCATGAGCCTCGAGAAGATTTCGACGGGGAGGCTCGGTGATTTTCTGCCAGCCGATTAACACCGGATGAATTCGTCCCGGCCCCTTTACTTTGGCCTTTCGCTTTCCATCATCTCAACTACTTCGGACATCCGCTTAGTGGAAAGTCATATACCACACCAGCTGCTACTCTTGCTATGCTGAAATCACATGGCAAGTATAGAGCAGCAAAGTATACGAAGAACTTGCGTATCTCTGTTCTGCAAGGCAGAGCCTCCCTGTGGGTCGATCCGCTGGTCTTTGTCCGAGATTGTGACGATCTCTGGAGCCTGGAAGGTACTGCGCTTCAAGTGGCTGCTACTGGAGCATGTCATAAGCTCTATCATCCACACGCCGAATAGAGAGTGGACCACTGGAATGAGTGTGATGACTATCCAGTATTGGACCCTGATGAACCCGACGAGTACACGCCAGGGCATATCATAGTCAATGGGAGGTTCGACGAACAATTTCTTGACCGTCGGGATGCTATCCCTGAAGTCAAATCTCAACACCAGCAGTCTGTATCAAGGCAGCAGAAGATGCGAAAGAGAATCCGCTGGTCTTGTCTTATTGACTCACTGGCTGGTTGACGGGGGGAGCGGTCGCCCTTGCTTTCTAGCATGGTGTTTGGGGAGTTTGGTGTGTGTGGTTTTGGCGTTGGAAAGATTGGAAAGCAAAGCTCGAAGTTCGGAGTATTCGATAACAACACCCTTTGTGCCACCACCTGGGGAGATAATGCTTACTGTACTAGAAACCCAACTATGGGTTGTAACAAATCCCAGATAGATGGAAATGTTGAAAAATCCAAGACCAGCCAGAAGCATACCTTGCGGAGTTTCACCGTGCCAAAAACACGACTTGTCTCTGCTACTTGGCTTTAGACTTCGCCGGTGCAAGAGGCCGGCCTTAGAAGCGTAAACCATGACGCAGTCCTTTAGGGTTACTGTTGTAGGGTTGAGAAAGGAGCATCTGAGCCCAAAGACACAGCAAGTTACAAGGCTAGACAATACGAGGACCAAGGACGGGGATGAAGACCTCAATGACCCCAAAAGTTCGAGAAATTACTATCACTATCATGGCCTCTCACTGCTGACAGCCCTTGCCCGAGACAAGCCAATCAGGCCGGTGTCAGGCTCAGCGGAATACTTGACAGGATAGTCCTTGGCCCACGCGACTAAGCCGGCGTTACTGTCACCCTTGATGTGATCGTAGACGCCGCGGGTGTCGTCCACCCCCCTCCTTCCGGTCTCACGCAGTCCCGCAAGGGCGTCGACCACCAATCTCAGGACGTCGACCTGGCGGAACGAGCGAGCGCTGACCGTGCCCCACACGCTCCACACCAAGGCGACCGTGATGAGCGCGGCGGCGAGGATGCAGCCGATGCCGACGAAGAGGATCACAGGCACGTACGTGATGCGGTAGTGTAGGGTTTGGGCGGTGTTGGCGGCGGAGTAGAACGCTTCCGGGGTGTCGCGGGAGGTGTTGGTGGCGGCGACTTCGTACGCGATGCGTTCGGTTTCGGCGGACGCGTACAGGAAGTTCTGCGCGAGGGTCGAGAATGAGACGCTTGTGCTGTTGATCGCACTGCAGTTTACACTGGTGATCTCGGACGCGGTGCCGGTTAGAGTCGCGTCGATGCACGGGTCGGCGGAGCGGGCGAGAGCTGGGCCAAGGCCGGGGAGTGTCACGTCTGGAGCTTGGTAGTTCAGACTCAGTTGGAGTTGTTGCATTCGCAGATATTTTAGATCGGTTGTTGCCTCGGACACGGACAGCGAGGTCATGTTCTTGAGCCATTCGCCCGTGGGAGAGCGAATTAGGTCCAGGGTGGCTTCCTGACGTGAGATTTTGCATGATATGGCCCACACAGACATGACTGCCTTGGTTGAATTGAATCCGAGGGCGGTCATGTTGAATGCTTTGGGGGTAATGGTGCCGAATTCCGAGTCATACCGTTGGTCGCTGAGGTTGAAGCTCGTGGTGAAGGCGAGCACTGCGCTGGAGCCATCGGCTGGTGGGAAGAGCATGAAGGGATACACTTCGTTAAATGCATTCTTGATGGTTGCGATGTCCCCGGGGTAATTGCCTGTGACAAGATCGGTCGTCCCTCTTGTCATGGAGAATTGGACCGACTTCGAACCCATCTGTATGACCGTGAATGTGTCTGGTACGAAGGGTTCACAAGACACAGACCAGCGAGAGCCGGGCAGTTTGTGCAACGTGGAAACTGTCTGTGGTAGCTCTAATGAAGCACCGGTCACGTTGGTCATGATGTAAGCATGGTCTGCTGTGAGCTGTGAGCTGGCGTTTGATATACTGAGCCCGGTCATCAACCCACTAAACTGGTTGGCAAATGATGATCTCTGTTGGGTATTGAAACCCCAAGTTCCCACGAATGTTTGAGAGACCAAGCTGTTCGGAACTGCCAGCTGCCTATCACTGAGCAATCGGAGAGGGGAGCTTCCTCCGAGGCTATCTTCGTTGTATGCTTCGTAGGCGATGACATTCCCCAAAGCTGATTTGGCGATAGCTGAGACAATGACCAACAACCCCAGTGTCACCAGTCTCTTAGTGCGAGGTGCCAACAATGTTGATAGCTTGAGGACGTCATAGGAGCCGCCGGTGGTACTACTCACCTCGACGAGGCAGGCAAGCGGAACTCCATCTTTGTCGGACTGTTTCTCGTTGACGACAGCGACACGGGCACAGGAGAACCAGACAAGGTTAAAAGCACCCAAGATCAAGGGTGCGATTAGAGCGCTACAGAGAAGATCGACTGCTTTTGCTTGTGGTTGGGTGAGACGACCACCAATTGCATCACTCTGGATGGCAGACCATTCCGACTCTTTCCAGCGATTGGAATTTACTCCTAGCCATATTGCTAGAGATATCAAGGGAATGAGCACCGATAATGCGGTGGCTGAATAGTAGAGGGTTGCATCTTTGGAGAGTGATCTCCAGTGTCCGGAATTGTTGTAGACTCGACCATCGAGAGTGGTTCGTGAGGGCCGCAGCTGTGATTGAGGCTTCTCATATCTTTCACTGGGGGTGGTCATCAATGTCGATATGTGCCTCAATGGGCGAACGTCGTCGGACGAATTTGACATGAACTCGGCTTCGGTTTTTGAGCGTCGGGAAGGATTCTTAGTAGGGAAGATCTTCCTGTGAGGCCCTGCACCAAACAGAGGCATATTTCAACCTCGTGGGCGATTGCTGTGATCGATATTTTGAGCAAGAGAAGTGACAGACTTCTTTTCAACCCAGAGACGAGCCACCAGCACATGAGAAAAGCCCAAGCGGTCGAAGGCGCCCATCATGTGTATGTACGCGTGCTCAGTAGAAGCGAGAGTTACGAGTAGGTATTCAGTACGGAGTACTCGGGCTACTCCGTGCAGGACATTTCGGGTTCCTGGTAGGGTGAAGCTCCGCCCCCCTCAGGCGAGACATGAATCGATGCATATCACCAATCAGCAGCGTAGAAAATGATAACCCATGTAGCCACGGAGAAGGCTTTGCGAGGTTGGCGCCGTGGAACGGTCTCAGATTTTGTAGCAGAAATCAGCTTGACTAACCTCAAAAGTGTCGTGGTGGGTAATGCGTTCTCGTGTCCTGTAATGCACAGCTGCTAATTTAGGGCTGATGAATTCAAGAGATGGTTGCTTGCTTATCAGACTCATACCGTTGCTATGTACGAACAACTTAGGCCAGCAATGCCGATCTTTAATGGCTCCAGGGTACTCCAAAAAAAAAAAAACGGCTGTGCATGCATGACTTCGAGCTGAATTGATGCTTGCGTCGACCGAGATTATCGATTGACGAGCCCCCGTCTCAAGCGGTAGATGTCTCGACTGACTAAGGAGATATGGGTGGCCTGGCTGGATGCCTGGTCTGCTGAGGGATATGAGGGAGAACTATGGAGTGACCTTTTTCGATGTGTCTGGTGACTAGAGTAGCCGTTAGGTTGTGAGGCTGTAAGTGCATGCTCGTAAAGTGGCCAGAGTGACTGTTAAGCTCGGGATCAAATAGGTTATCCGGTTTTGGTTACACATTGAGATTAAGGCCCGGGATGCTGCTTTCTTGCTACAAACCGCTGGAAGGGTTAGACATGTCAGGCGCTGGTGACCAATGCCACACGCTGATAGCAACACGACATCCTTGGTAATGCTTTATAAACAGCTCCTAGGTTGTTTTACTACCTAGATCGTAGAAGATGAAATCTCCTCACGCTCCCAACTGACCTGTAGCCGCATCACATTTGCTGACGAAAAATCGGATCGTTTGATTTATAAAAGCATAACACTGTAAGTCGGTGGTGTGTATTTTGCCAATGAGCCATCATCAGTTTCGAAAGTGAAGTGTGCAGGCTAGGCGATGGGCTTTGTACAGGAAACTGGAAGGTTGCTATAGGTTCACTAAGTGCCCATATGCGCAAAGGACAGCGCCGAGTACTGGTTACCGAGCGTACTTGGATGTATTGCAGTTTAAGTCATGCGAGGCACAGGCACAAGAACACAGCCAGAATACCCAAATGGTGCAAAATTCGGCGTTGGTGATCAGTACCAAGGGAGTACAGCAATCACCGGCAGCCATTGGATTGTATTTTCAGTCAGGACTCTTGAGTCAGTCCAACGTAGAGCTCTGGTGCCTCATCTGTATGATCTCAATTCCATCCTCTCGACCGTCTCTCTCCCCGTCTCGCTCACCATACCATCACCTCAAGAGTCACCTGGACTGGGTGTTTATGTCTGGGGATTAAAAATACCCCAAAATTCATACACTTGAATGGTCGATCGATCACCTGGGCTTTATCCCACCTTTACTTTCTTTTTTCTCATACAATCCCTTACCACGCGCAAAGCAAATTCGATCGCAGACAGAATGCAATTCACCAATAGAAATCTCGCTTGTGACAAGTGGACGCCAGTGCTTAAGAGTGCGTAAGCAAAACTATACACAAGTGGGTATCAATCGAAGCAGAAAACGGTAGAAGCACAATAGCCAACGCAAATCCAATTCGGTAATGCGAAAATGCATCAGGTAGGTGGTGATGCCATGTCGCATGTGAGAACCATTGATCTCTCTATCAACGTTCATCAGCCGGATCCGAGGTCGGATTGCTCTTGAGATGGTCGAGGGTGGTCGTGCTTGTGATATTACTGGTATTAACGGGTCTTTTCAAGGGGTAAGAGAGTCTCATCGGCCCGTGGCCATCATTCCAAACGCCGGGGCTAACTGCATGTCGTCGTAACTCACTCACTCAGCCATGATTGGAGAAGGATTGGCCTTTCACATTGGAGGCGGTCCTCCTGAGCCGCTCTCGGTCGATGTATCGCCTTCAACAGTCTTCTTCCATGCCTCGGGGAGACAGACGCAAACCAACGGGAAGGCCTTGATTTCTCCCAACGGCGTGGCTGAGTCTTCTCGGTTTGCTGTACCATTTGACACCCCGCTATCGCGTTGCAGCTTGTGCTTGCCATCATAATCTTCAGCACGATCATCGATCCGGACACCAGTAGCCCATCCATCATCCCAGATGCCCACTACTTTGAGCATGTCTCCTCTTTCAAGTTCAAACTCGTCTCCAGCGCGAGGCTGATATGCCCAAAGTGCCGAGACTTTATCTCCGGGGTGGATGTCGTCATTCGAGTAATAGTCTTTGAAGAAAGGCAGCTGTTCTGACTGTCCACTGGCAACGCCTTCTGGTGAGGAGAAGTCCCCTCCGCTACCAGGCGAACTGCCGTGTTGCGAGTCACTCCCAGGAGAATCTCCGATCTTAGCGGCGGCAATTCCCAATTTCTCGTTAGATCCAGGGCTGTCGCCGTAGGGGTCAGTATGAGAAGTATAGTTTCGTGGACCTATTTGAGGCCCTCCTGAGGGTTGTTCATCCTGTAGGGCTGACATGCGAGCGACCCGCCCACCAGGAAGCACCTCGTATCCGGGCTGTGTCATTGGCTGATTGTAAGCGGATGAGGTTGGACCTCTCCTTTGCGGTGACGGCTGATTAAGCAGACTTGCGGCTTTACTGTCACTGTGCCTGCGGCGGAAGCACATGAAGGCCAGAACAATCAAGGCAAGTAGTAGTAGAAATCCAAGAACGGACCCGACCACGATTCCGGCAATCTGACCGCCACTGAGTCCACTACCGCCTCCTCCAGATGCTGCAGCACTTGTTGTAGCACTTCCCGTGGACGAGGAGGTGGCACTGGCAGTCGAGGAGAGTAGGTTGGAAAGTGTGGAGAAGACGGGGAGGGTGACATCCTCACAACGGCCAGTCGAGTTGGAAGTCAAACAACAAGAGTCGGTACCATTCTCGGTGCTCGCACGACAGAAATTACACAGGCCCATCAGATTCCCGCCAAAACCACAGTCGATAGGTTCGTTGACAGCCCCAGCTACGCAAGAACCACTAATGGAATTGGCTGGCAATGCGCAATTGGTGAAATCGGCGCGTAGTTGGTCGGCATAGTTGTCGGCACGTCCTGAACACAGGTTGTTGTTAGATACAATCTGCTCCTCACTGATTGCCATATCTCCACAAGCGTCTGCGCAAAGAGGTGTTAGTTGAGCCGGGGTAGATTGACACGAATCCCTCGAATTCTGGATAATTGCGTTGCAGAGAAAACTGGTTGTATAGCGGGCATAGTAGCTGGAGGTGTCGCGCAGGTTGACGTTGTCACATCCGAAGATATTTGTGAATTTCGTCGAGACATACTGCTGAGATATATACTGAGTCAACTGAGTGTCGAAGGATTCTGTCGAGTTGACATAGGCCAGGAAAGGGCTATTCCAGTTAGTGGAGGAGTGCAGCGGTGGGCCAGATGTAGACTCACAATAAGCCAATTAATGTTGTATTTGTTGAAGATATAGACGACGCATTGAAAGCCGGGCAAGCTTTCGAGGTAGCTAGTGAAATACAGTCCTGCGCAAAGACGCCAGGCGTGACGGTGACCAGGGCCAATGCGCCCAGCACGTTGAGCTTGACCATGGTCGAAAGGGAAGGTTCTCAGTCGGTCAAGTATTGTTCCCCAAACCGAGTGTCCAAAAGGTATTTGTTTCTTCCAAGGTCATGCTGAACGCATTGTTGCCGCGGCCCCTATTCGTTGTCGCGATGGATCCTGGTGCCACGGAGCTGGAGGCCGGCGAGCCAAGTGACGAGATAGGAGGTGTCTGGATTGACTGAGCTTTGACAGGTACCGAAGCTCTGGAGCAGGGACTTGGTCGAAGCAACCAGCGGGAGGTCCGAGCTGGAAGGATGGCGGTGGATGGGGGAATGAAATAGACCAAAAGGCGATGACGCAGATCCCAAAAAGAAGAAAACGAGTGACTAGAGGTCAGAGAAACCTCAAAAAGAGCTCCGGGTCGTGAGACTCCTGCGAACGAATGGCGAAAGGACAACAACAAGGTTGAATGGGGAGGTAGGAAAGCAGAAGAGGGAAGAGAGTGTGAAGGTGATTGGGAGACAGAGGATGCGAGATGCAGGCGGCGGCGGCAGAGGCAGATGCAAGAGAGAAAGCGTGCGTCTTGGGGTCGCGGACTCGCGGGTGGGTTTGTGGACAGCTGTGTGGCAGGAGCCAGACGCAGGAGGGTGGATGCGGCAGAGCATGGACTGCCAACAGTTAGGTACTCGTGCTCGTAGTTCTCACGCCGGCAGAGAAAGACGCCCGTGCCCTGGGTCCCTGACAGAGGCCCCGTAGGTCCTCTGTTTTCTCCGTTCTCTGCTCTCTGCTCTCTGCTCTCTGCTCTCTGTTCTCTGGACGAGTACTGCTCTCTCTCTCCCTCGCTCTCTCCCTGCTCTGGGGCCGCAGACAGAGGTGGACCCCCTCCAGAACCCACCGAGCGCCTCTGTTGATCTGCTGGAGCAACCAACTGGTAGGGTTGAACTTAACCGGGGGGTTAGTGACACCTCTAACTCCTCCAGGTAAAGCTTGTGGGTGGTGGACTGCCCGGAAGGTCTTAGTTCAGCCTCCTACAGGCACTAAGCGCCGCCCTCTAAGCCCGTTCCTCTCGTTTCCAATCTCGGGGACTTGATCTGCCCCGATCCCATGCTTTCGTCTCAAGCCCTGGCTGTTCTGTTCTATCTTTGAAACAAGCCTGCGTGTCCGAGTAGGAAACCAATCTCACCAGTGCCATGAACGCATACAGAGTATGGAGTGGCCATTAGCATTGAGTGCTCAACTTATTAGCTGTATACGAACAAACTGGCCTCGTGGGCAAACGGACCAAGGGTCAAGACACACCCGATCATTTGGACCTGGCCTGGTTACTCCGTCCGCACTTTCGGGACATCTGCTCAAACTACTCCGTGCTGAGTACTCATACGACGCAGACAACCGAAACCTCCCGCGGTCCGTTTGAGAATGGTCACCATGTCAAGATTCAATGGTGGTTGTGACGCAGTGGAGTCCCGCGAGTGTTTGACTGAGGGGAGATTGCATGGCGTTGCAGCCCCCCACGTCCTCACGTCCGTCACACCGCCCGACACGCTTCTCTTCCATCCTAGGCCGCGCCGAGCCCTGGAGATAGGAAAGGGTCAACTTCTCTTTCGCTTGCTCCCATCGCCAGGCATCCCCATGCCAGTGATTCTCCCCTCCAATCATCAAATCTCCTGTCCCTCCCTTTCCCAAATGCATGTCGCCATGTCGACTTCGCCTTTTCAAGATGCGAATAGCGTCATCCCGGGAAGTCTGGACCAGCCATTTGGTGTCCCAATCCATCCAAACTCTGCTGTGTTGGCTAACATCTGTGCCATGATCGTTGGAACACAGCTGGACCACCAACTTCTGCCCTAATGCACAAACTTCTGTACGTTGATGTCAGGACGCAGGCACGGTCCCTTTGGAATGCAGGTACTCCGTACTAGTTCTTGTTCTGCTCCAACACGAACGGACATTCGAGGGAAATCCCTGTCTGCCACCCCGAGTTCTGAAGCGAGCAAGAATTGGGTTGTATTTCGACCTGATAGTCTTCACCAATGTGGCGAGCTGATGCGAACTGGGGTTGAGATGGATGCATGAACCTGCATCTTGAGGTCACACTCGTCTCGGTCATAATAGAACGTTTCATGTTTTCAAGAATCAATATCGCACCATCAACCCGCATGATCAAGGCCTTGTGATCAATACGAAGTACTGGGTGCGAAGCTTCAAACAACTTGCATACTGTTCCGAATACACTAGACATCAACTGCCATAAGGCTGGCACCATCAGGTAAGTGCCATGGAAGCACCAGAGCTGGTAAGGACCAAGGGTTGATGTCTGGACAAGCTGTGGCTGTCTACCCCACCAGCATGTCTAAGATGCTTTAATTAGGGTGTCCTTCTCTACCATCACCACAGGGCTGTCTGGAACACCAGCTGGAAACCCAGCCTTGTGAGCATCGATCAAGAAATGAATGATGTCTCTACTCAGACAATCATCGACCCAATACGCCCGTTTGTCAATTACCCTGACCGTCTACAGTGGGCTTCCAACCCACGCCTGAAAAGGTGCACGTGTTCGACTGATCTCCTTGACGGCTAGGTTATTATCGGTGCACAACCCTCTCCGATATAACTCATACTTCTACCCTGCCGAACTCGTTTGCGTGTGCCCCATATGGTTCTTGATTCTGTCCGTTCATACTATGAATGATTACGAACAGTCGGCCCCTCTCGAGGATTTCAGCCGCTTGGACATTGCGCCTTCTTTGTCGACCAAGGAGTGCTTTTGTTTGCAAGTCTCTGTTTGTTCCGTGAGCAATGGTCATCGTTTAAGGCCAAGATCTTTCACTTGCTAACATCGACTTTGCGTGTGGGCTGCAGCCAATCCAAGATGCAAGTCTGCGCAGATTTGGCTACACCACCTGGTTGCCAATGCCATTCCTCCCCCCGCTCTGCAATTGGCTTGGCCAGTTGGTCGAACGCCATGCATACCAGCCGCGCCTGCTGCCAGTCTTCGAGCGCCTGATGATTAAGGCCAACCAATTGATGGCGGGGGCACACGATGGGGAGCAAGATTTCCAGCGCCAAGGGGAACCCTTGATGTCCAGGCGACGCCACTGAGAGATTCGAGCGGCGAAGCTACAATGGTAGACATGTAAGGCCCAAGGTCATGAATGATACTTCGAGATATTTGTTACTGTCTGTTCTGTCGATGGTTTGTTAGTAGGCATCTATTACAAGCAGAAAGTGAGACGGTATGACATACTCCACCCATTGGTATTCTGTCCAAGAGTCCGGAGACGATCATTACTCGTTGGAAAGTATCCCGTTTTCAACAGAGCACAGTTGTTGATCTTCCTGGGAACTGAGAGGGGAACCATTTTGATCGTTGTTCTCACTTTGGGTCGCTGTGAGTCAGAGTGTACCCTCGAAATCAGCGCATTCAATACTAAGATCTCCATCCTTGTCGACAAGCTCCTCAAGGGAGTCATGGCATTTGTCTTCATTTATGAGATCCCAGCTATCCTGCTGAAGGATCATTGAATGCAGGCGTAGGTCACTGTGTAATCGAAAATAATTGACGTCGGTTCTCACGTCGTCTAGCCTGATATGGCTCTTATGTTTCTTCATGCCGTATTCAGTCGATCGATTCCCCACCACAGCATTCTTGCACATGGGAAGTGTACATTGAAGGAATTTTGGGACCCGGTGTTTTGATCATCTGCATGCTCCAAAGTATCCTTCGTGGTATCGTGCGAATCGAGCTTGACGTGGGCAGAGAAACGGGTGAGTATGAATATGCATATGGTCTTGGGCTCCTCTTTCGCTCTTGAAGGCAGACAGTACCTTGAAAACTGGCCCAGTCACTTCACACGCTTTATATTCCTTTTTTGGACAGTGAAGTGCCCACGAGCAAGCATCAAGCATACTGCTCAGCGAATTTCCCCACGATCACGCTCAGGATCTTTCCCTTACAACTTTCCTCATCACACTCGCTAATCCTTTCCATCAACACTGCCTCGACTCCTGTGGATCCCACCTAGCTACCTCTAATGATTGCCCAAGTCCAATTCCGGGGCCTCTGGAGGGTAAGGCACACTCACCAACCACCCCAGGAGGCGTAGGAATCAACCAAGAGGGAGGCAGACAAGAGCATAGTAAAGTGGGTCTGGCGGCCAACAGGTTAGAGAAGTCGTTTGGCACGGAACGATTTATGACGGAAAAAGTATTCCCCGATGTACCGCCCCGGCTGCTGTGGAGAAAATGAGCGCCAAGGCCCAAACGCCATAACATCGGCACCATAAATTCGGCTCTGGCTCCCGACAAATGCAGCGAAGTCGACAACCCTTCGACTCACACTTCTACAGTAAACCCAGGCGGCAATTTCTTTTTTTGACCGCGGCCCTAACACAACTGGGCCCGGGCACCATATCTCAACGTCACTCTGTTCGATCTCACTACTTCGTAAGGAGACTGGCGACGTCTCCAAGTCTGATCAGTCGTCTTAATTATCGCAAAACGAGGTGGAGGTCAGTGAATTGAGCTTCCTCTGCTTATCGCTTTGTGAGATCTGACTGTGTCTGAGGTTATAGGTGGGCCCTAAAAACGTGCATTCGTGCCCTTATTTTGGAGCTCCTCCGGCGCGGTCTCCAGTGCAGGAGAATGCATCAGATACAGAAGTTGCGATATGTCTCTAGGCACACGCGGTCCCGCTATCTGAGCACGACAGCCCTTTATCGAGCCGAAGCCTTCCACGCGCAGCTTGAGGACCCTTCAACATCGGCTTTGTTCGCTTCCCTCAAAAGACAATCGCAGACTCCGCAGACCTTGACGGAAAAAATTGTACAACGTTATGCCGTCGGTCTACCAGAAGGAAAGCTCGTGAGGGCTGGCGACTATGTCAGTCTTGCACCACACTATTGTATGACACATGATAATTCGCGGCCGGTCGCCAGCAAATTTATGTCTATGGGAGCCTCGAAGATTTATGATAACAGGCAGATTGTTATGACCTTGGATCACGATATCCAGAACAAAGACGAGTCGAATCTTAAAAAATACCAAC